GTGTTACCAACATAAGAGAAGGAACGAACGCGATTCACGGTGAGTAAACGCGAATCGAAAGGTTAGCTTCGATTGTAACACACACTCGCTTGTCTTCACTTGTCGATAGGTATGGCGTTAACTCGGTTAACGCGATGGTGAAGTCATTCGAAATATTTTGTGGAACTCGCACTAGGCACACAGTTCTTTTAAATCATTACTCGAATCGAATGAATGAACGCGAACTTCGGTGGATCGGACGGACCGTATCCCGTATCGCTCGGGCGCTATGGTTCAAATTGCCACGTTGCGACTTTTGCGAGGCTGCGCCACAGATGCTCGATCGCATGACTGGGCCACGGAACGGCGACAATGCTTTCAACGAAGTTAAAGTTTCACTTCATTGTTTACGTTTGCGGGGGAACTCGAGAAGTGGTCAGTTAAACAAAGCTGGCACGTACAACACATTTATACGTTGCGCTTGTGTAGTGTCTGTGAATAAGCCCTTGGCGTGACGTCGCACCGCATGCGCATCATGAAAAGTCTGCCCGTCTCTCTCTCGCGCGATCGAGCTTGAGTGTGAAGGGGACAATGATTGTTTTGCTTTTGATACTGTTTATAAATACAGCGTGGTCTTTTTGGTATTCAACCGTTAACGTCAGTCACGTGTGATCGACACGCAGCGCGTTTAATTATTCACATATTTGGAGTTTAGAATAAAATGTCTTCTGAATGAATTGGTTCCGGAAAAACTTTAACAGGACAATCTCGTGAAATAGTGTACAACGTTTTTAACTATTTCATGCATTATCATAATAAAAAAAGTGATGGCGGAGATCATTTAATGAAAGATTTGTACGGTTTGATATCAGATGCGACTGGTGTTTCTCAGAGAAGTGTTCAACGAGTTGTTTGTGAAGTACGCAATCAAATTATAGCGTCTGTTAAAGCGTCAACACCACAACAATCTACCTCAGGAGAAGGAGAGCCACCAGCATCCAAAACATTGGTACCTCAAGTTACTTTTAGAACACCGGGTAAAAAGCGACCAAGGTTAGCAAAAAAATCTTCTGTAGATAGTTTTGACCAAGTCATTAGGCGAACTATCTACAACTTTCATCTGGTTCAGCATACATTTCCGACATTAAAAAAGTTATTAGAAGTGTTAAAAGAAAGTATCAACTTTGAGGGAAGCATTTCTTCATTAAGAAAGGTCGTTCGGAGGCTAGGTTTCAGATGGAATAAGACACAAAATAATAAAAAACTACTTATTGAAAAAAGGCACATTAGACTCAAAAGAACATTATATCTTTCGAAACTGCAAGAATATAGATCACAAGGCCGACCTATAATATATACGGATGAATCTTACATACACAGCTCGCATACGTTGCCACGATCATGGTCCGACGAAACGAAGAAGATTTAATTTACGATTCTGACTAAAAGCAATAATGTAGTACTCGTAATTATAATATATTATAGCAAGCAACACATATTTTTTATTTATTTATCCACAACGCACCTAATCTTACTAAAACCTAACTCTAATCTACACTTAGACTAGAGTAGCATTTTGAACCAAAATCATTTATTTTTAAACATATTGTATAGAGAAATTGCATAAGTGTGAGTACTGTGAACATGCCAGCTATAGTTAACTGACCTATAGCATTTATTTAGTATTTCGTGAATCATTGTTTTGATTAGACAAGAACGACCACTCTTAAATCTAAATATTTGCAAATATATATATATATATATATATATATATATATATATATATATATATATATATAAGAAACATCAAAAAAAAGTACAAAAATCAAAAACAAAAATTATATAACAAATAGGTAGGTACCAAGAAGTAAAGTAAGTAGGTACCTCAATTTGATCATTGTAAATATACCAATCATTTAAATGCTCCAAAGAAAAGCAAAATGATATATTTTTTATTAGTTACTAGTATTATTTTGGAAAAAGCATGAAGGCAAGATTGGAATATTACTTGAAGGTGCGTATTTACGCGACCAAGTTTTTACGCCTGACATTTATTTGTAAGAACGCCAGATTGCCATGAAATACTCAAAAGTCTTCTTGCAGCAAATATCACAAATGGAAACATATTGAATATTTCCATGATTATAAATCCATACCTGTATACACTGCGATGAACGTCGTAAAATAAAAGAAAAATAATTTCGCGGGCTAACTCAGAAAGTCGATTCATGCTTACTATTAAATAACTAATGATCAAGTCACTAAGCCATTAAACCGTTCCGCTATCATTTCAGTATCTACTCATAACTGAAATGCTGTGATCTTATACTCAAATAAAAATCATTGATGATTTTGTCATTGTTCCCGTCATCGATATTTTTTTGTCATTGTCATGCAGTCATTGATACAGAAAAATCATCACTCAGCCCATCTCCAGTCCGTAGTGTGTTAATTTATGGTGTGTGTGTGTGTGTTGTCGTTAGTGTGTGTGTGTGTGTGTGTGTGTGTGTGTGTGTGTGTGTGAGCGCGCGCGTGCTTTCGTGTATGTGAGTGAATGTATGTGTGTGTGCACGTGTGTAAGTGGGTATGTTTAAGTTTATGAATGTATCACATTTCCTACTGATTTGTGTTGTATCGGTGTGTGTAATTTACAACAGGTTCAAATCTTTCTCACCAAAATAACTTCCACGTCATCGTAATTAACAGTGGAGAGCCATTCGGTCAGTTTTTCTACACTCATACATTTGCATGGGGTAAATATTAAGTAAATGATTAGTACTGTAGTACATTGTAACATATTTTGAGCCGCTAAAAATAAATAACCATATTATCAAACGGTTCAATTACCAAAAATACCTTGGCTTATTTTTAGATGATAAACTTACATGGAAACTTCAACTAGATAAAATTAAATCCAAACTATCATCAATAACGGGTACCCTTCGAAGTGTAGCTTGGTGTTTCCCGCGTAAAATACGTGTTATTTACAATTCTTTAGTGAAACCTCACATCAATTATCTGAGAGAAATTATGGGGGCTCAGCCGCAAAGAATAACTTAAACCCAACACAAAGATCTCAAAATAAGGTTATAAAGGTTCTATTCAACTATACCTGACACCAACTCATATAAAATATATAATGGCACTAAACTGTTAAATATAAATCAATCGTACGTTTTATAATACATGCATTTTGATTCGTGAAATAATAAATAAAGATATCCACACTCATTTAAGTTTCACTAAAAAGAGACAAATTCAAAAAATTTAACTAAGAAACGCAAATGATCTCATTCTACGTGCACCAAGAACTAGTTATGGTAAAAAAAACCTAATGTTTGAAGGGGCACACAATTACATAGTAAACTTCGTAAAGACATCAGGAATCGCAGTCAAATGTAAGCTTCAAAAAATTACTAAAAAAACTATTGATAAATTTTCAAATCCAACAAGGCTTGCGGGCTTGATAAATCCACACCATAAGCTACTAAAACCCCCTTTTATGTAAAAATAGCAATTAATCGATTTAATAAAAAATATTAATAAGTTCAACAATCATCTGGGGGCACGGCAGTGCCACAGCCAAGTCGAGCAAAAAAGCGGCACGGCCATACCATCCTTTTCTCGAAGCAGTTCAGGCCATTTTCGGAACCCTATAACTTAGTTGTGAATAAAACTAGAAGCCTGAATTTAAGTAACCAATTAGCAATTGTATAAGCTCAGTATATTTCAAATTTCATTAAATTTGAACCAGTAGTTTAAGAATTATAACTAGTCAAAGTTTCTTAATTTTGTCACTCACTGACTGACCGATCATCAAAACTCTAAGGCACTTCTAGCAGACGTAGAAGCTTCAAATTTGGAATACAATTATTGTGTAGTATATAAATCAAGAAAAAATTAAAATATTTTACAATTTCAGTCCAGTGACCATATCAATATTAAAAATCTTTTATGTTTTACATAAATAAATTGACTTGGCAATCGCACTAAATGCCTGTGTTTAATATAGTATGTATTACTTGAGAGATACATTGTGTTTTCATGCGATTGCCAAGTCAATCTATTTATTGAAAATATAAAAGATTATTAGTATTGATGTGGTCACTATAAGATGTTGTTAGGTTAGCTAACTACGTAATAACTTAAGACAGAACTTAAGTAGGGACTGAATAAATTAACCGACTTGGTATTACATGGATTTCTCAACTTTTTACGCTAGAAGAACTGAGTTGTGAGACTTGGTTTTTTTACAAGTTATGTTTTTGATGGTATTTATCTTTCTGACAACGTGCTTTTTATATCATTTATAATATGTATAATATGATTGCTAGATACGATTTCATGCGACAAAACGTTGGAATCTTGATTTTTAGGCGCTAGTAGAACATACCTATGCACTTTGCGCTCGGCATGCAATATATTATAAAATCTATAAAAGAATGGTCTTACTATTAAATTAAAATATTACTAAATATGTATTTCAAGCCACTTCTTGTAACTTGGTGAGCGTAGTTCAACCTTCAACGTTATATCTGTGATTGTCTCTGTGTCTGACGCTGTGACTGTTTTAATTGTTTTCGTAATTTACCTCCAACCTCTGCGTTTCCCCAGATATTGTTATAACTTATAAATTTTTATGTTCTCATGATAAGTGAATTTTGTGTTCTTAGTGAGAATTAAGATCTTAAACCATAATATAGAAACGATATAAAATAAATAACTTTAAGCACAGCTATAATCTTGTAAACATTAAAATAATACTACATTATCTACGGTCTATAAATCTATGATTTGAGGGTTACTTTACTTTGGTTCTAATATTTAGCAATAATTTTGAATTATAAAAACACTGTTTTAGTTATTATTTCAGCCATGTTATAAATCTTTGAATCTGCTTATTCTTTTTTGAATACTGATTAATTTATAATTAATGAACGGAATTGTTCATGAATAAAATCAAAATATACAATTAAAAAAACATGAGCAATCCTATAATTTGAAAAGATATAATATTTAACCTGCATCTCCCTGTTGGTGATGACCACAGCTTTGCCATTTTCAACGATCGATCCATTTGTAGGGTACATCCTTATGAAAGGCGGCGAGGCCTGGATCTCCAGGTTCCCGTTGACATCGAACAGGCCGTCCGAAATCCAAAACGCTATTTTGCCAAACTCCTTCCCTTGATGCTTGAACAGTACCAAGTTTTTATTGATATCGTCTTGTGAGAACTGAGCGATTTGTTCAGAGGGGTTATCAGCGCGAAAGATGCCACCATTTGGGGGGTCCTTCGTGAACCTCTGCACCGTGTAGATGATATCGGATGGTCTCGTATCCAAGTCTGCGTCGGTATAACTCAAGTCCCTCGAGGTTATAAGTCTGGCGCCGCCGTGTACTATGTGGAACACCTTTTCGTTCACACGAACGGGACTATTGTCGTTTTTCAGTATAATATCTATGTGGAACACGCCGACGTACTGAAAATCCTCCGGCTCCGGGCTCAGAGCCATGAAGTGGAATGAATCGTGTCTGCTTTCAGAGTCATCATGGGCGTAGTAAACACGATCGGTGTTCAGTTCTTGAAGAGTGAAATAAGTGGTGTTGTCTCTGACCACTTTTAAATTCTCATTGATCACTTCTATCTTGCCGTGTCTTGGCAAATGGGTGATGTTGAACAGTAGGTTTGTTACGGAGTCTGTACGGAAATTCAAATGGGACGCCGGGATTGCCATTCTGGAGCCTTCCATCACTTGTAGCCTCTCTAAAGTTGTGTGCACTCTACCCGGAGAATGATCGGACGTTAGATAGCTAGGCGTGTGACGTATGGTCATAATGCCCGTCACATTTTCGCACTCTGTCGCCCCCACTACGAACGCAAACTCGTCGTGAACGTGCGAATACGCTCGCCTGTGTAAACGGTACCACAGTTGGTCCGTGTCTATATCTTGCTGCGTGAACGTGCCGTACGCTTGCAAGTGGTGTTTGCCCGAAGACAAATGCAGAATCCCGTACTTCGGTGCTTTCAACACGGTGTAGAGGATCCGATCTCCGGACAAGGACAACGGTCTTGTCTGAAAACGTAGATGCTGCGCCGAAATAAAGGCTTCTCTGGTATTGTTTAGAACGAGCTCCTCATTCATTGCTTGGTATAGCTCGAGTTTGATGAAAGTCAGTCGAAAGTCGTATAGTATGCTCGTTCGTATCGCGCCCACTGAAGCTTTGAACTATGGAAACGAAAAAATATGTTAAGGATTGGTACTTGGTAAAATTAATGTATAAAAAAGTAAAATTACAAATTATATATGTCCCACTGCTGGGCACAGACTACCCTTTATTTTTGAGTGTTTTTTAGACAGGGAAATGTACACCGCGCTGCTCTAATACGTGTTGGCGAACTTTAAATGTCTTCGAGAAATATCTTCGATGCTAAAACATAGTGTGTGGAAGAATTAATCGTCACCGTCACAGATCTCCACTCTGGCTAAGAATTCTCTATCGAATCGAATCGTTGTCGCAACTAAACTGTATCTACGTTCACCAGGGGGCGCTTTACATGTTCCCATACAATTTAAGATGATGTCGTAAACGAAATGGGGACGCTGCCATCCACCGGCCAAGCCGGAAAGATCATTTTGGCATTTCTAATCATTCGAATACGTTAACTCGTGTTTTATATATTTTTAAAAACTGTTTTGAGCCACAGGACGTAGGGCTGGTTACAGCTAGTATGTAAATGAATAAATTAATATAGCAAAAAAAAAACTACATTTCATAATTCGTCATTGAGTAATCTATCCTTTAAATTTTAATTGAATAATATTAAATCAAAGAATTTAAAAAAACACACCTTAAACTCGTCGTGCGACGGGTTACCCAACAGGTGCATATAGCGGACTCGTCCGAAGTTGACCATTTCGCTGGTGAACGAGTCCACCGTCTGCCATGTACCGTCCAACACGCGGAGTCGTTCAACCACGCCGAACTGGGGTGGTTTTACAATGTCGTATCTGTAAGGAATGGGAACCGAATTACGATTTGATCAGTACTTCCTGTAGATGAAATATTACTAGAAGTGTCATGTATGTATAGCTATTGTTCGTGCATTGTTTGGGAACCCATAAAACTTTAATATAAAATGGCAGAATAACTGTGCGGGACAACCAGTCAACATAATTAAGCGACACAAATAGTGAAAAGATACAAGGAAAATGTATAACTTAGATATAAGATAATGAAAAAATAAGTCATAGAACTTTCAAAATAATTCAAAGAAATAACTATATCATTAACGTTGACCTCTCAGTATATACATATACGAAAATATTATTATTTATACGAAAATTTCAAGTATATACACAAGAACAAATATAATTTTATTTAAAGAAAGTGATGTACATTCTGTAAATACTAAGAACGAGCACAAGCTAGTTATACCCGTTACTCAACTCCAAAGATTCAGTAATTCCTTCATGGGGCAATATATACGCTTTTACCTAGTCAGGTCATAAATTCCGTCACATGTTTAATATAAAATAATTGAAACAAGTTTATTCATTATGTAACCATTTATATACCAAAATGAACTTAACAAAACAGATTTTTATTACACTAAAGTATATTCAAAAAGACCTTGATTTTGAATACAGGCCTTCAATCTGCGCGGCCAGTCGTCTATCGCAGCACGAACGAGGTCCATGTCAATATCAGCGGCTGCCTTAATCAAAGATGTCTTGGGTGACTTCAAATTAGGATGAGGCTTTGAGCACGCCTTTTCCTCCAAGTGTTGCCATATTTTGAAATCTAACGGATTCAAATCTGGACTGGAGGAGGGCCAGTCTTCGTGCCGGATGAAGTCGATTTCACGCACCGCCAGCCAGTCTTGTGTACTCTTCGCTCTATGAGCTGGCGCCGAATCTTGTTGGAATACCCAGTGCCTGTTATTGAACATGGTACGAGAAACAGGTTCCACAAGGTTCGTCAGGACTGTATTTTGATACAAAACTGCATTCGTTTTTACACCTTTCTCACAAAAATGTACCTCTGTTAAGCCCCAATAAGAAACTCCAAACCATACCATGAGCGAGGATGGAAAATGACCTCGTTGGACACGTGGAATACGGTTGCTCACTTCTTCACTTCTGTGTGCGTACACCTTATCATTTTGTTTGTTGTAGCTCTCTTCTACGGTAAAATTTTTTTCATCCGAAAAAAGAATTTCCCGATATTTTTTTCCCGCGTACCGCTTCAACAAAGCGCGGCATCTCTTCAGTCTCAGGTCCATTAGACGAGCATTCAAACGATGTCCTGTTTTTCTTCGATATGCCCGAAGTCCTAAGTCTTCATTTAACACCCTTTTCACCGTGGTTCTGCTTAACCCCATCTGAAGGGCCAACAGTTTCTGCTTACGTTTGGGATTTCTTTGAATTCGCGCCTTCACAGCTTTTATCACTGCTGGAGTCCTAACAGACCGAGGGTACCGACCACTTCTTGACCTGTCATCTACACTAGAATCTTCATTGTATCGTTTGATGGTACGATAAAGGAATCTTTTGGTTATATTCAAATTTTACAGTATGGCGAAAATTTTAATTGGCGCGTAACCGCAACGATGCAACGCAATAACTGCAACACGGTCTTCTTTAAGCGTCCACTCCATATTTAAAAATGAGTAAAATCCTAAAAAGTATACAGTTTTATTTTCATGAACAATTCGAAATTCGAATTCAATAAACTTTTTTGTGGCCAGCATTCAGAAAAGTTTTTACTGTGTGACAATACTTATGACCTGATTAGGTATATGCTTTTACAATAAAGTTCCAGAAGAATATGCAGGACTAATCTATCAGTTCAAATATATCTTTATTTGAAGATTTAAACATTTGTTACTTATGATAAAAAATCTTATTTTTGTAGGACCTGGGGTTTCGTTTTTATTTTTTTTTATAGGATCGAGTGACAAACGAGCACACAGTACACCTGATGGTAAGTGGTTGCTGTAGCCCATAGACATCTACATCTATCCTCGTATGCGAATCAAAATGCAGATGCGTTGTCACTCGTGAGGACTAAGATGGAATGCCTGTTATCCAGTAAAAAGGGTCTCCGGTTCTCTACACTCACCATACGAAACACAGCAGCGTTAAGCTGCTATTTGACGCTGGTATTCTGTGAGAGCGTGGTCCTTCCCCGGTAGAACCGACCCATTCATTCTACAACTATACTACTAATATAGCTGCAGCATATTTGTAGGTTATGTAGTAAAATCACTCGTTCTTGGTGAAAAGTTGTTTCAATAAATTGAAAAAAAAAACAAAAGGATGCCGTTTTTTATTTATTATTAAATAAAATAAAATAAATTACAACTCAAACTTTTCTAATTGTTTAATTATTTTCTGCAATTATTAATAAAATGTCATCTAGAAAATCAGCCGGAGGCCGTACATTGTCTGTTCTATTCCTCTCAAAACCCAAGTAACACATTATTAATCATTATCATTATATGGGCGCAACAACTTACTGTCCTGTAAATCGAGAGAAAACTGAAGGGTCAAGTTAAATTAATTGACGAAAATAAAAACACGAAATATATCCACAAACACAACCACAATGCCAAATACGCATGACAAGTTTAAACTCGAAGTTACCAAGTTAAGTCTCCTTCAATACAGGCAGTGATCAACGACCATACAGTGCCTATTAAATCGTGTCCAATATTATTCAAATATTTTGTTTAGTTTAATAACGTAGCCTATTCAATGGATTTTCTAAATAGATTTCTTTTATTACGTATTAATCTCTGCAGATTCGCCTCAATGTTTCAATATTATGAGATTTTTTGATACTGAAGGCTATTTATTACAAAAATAGTCTTCATTATTTAATGCCATAGACAAAATACATAAAAATATTTAAAAACGTTTTGTTTTTGCTATGGTAAAAGCATTAGCTTTCGTTTTTCAGTTTTAAAAAATGTTTTTATGATTGTCCCATACACTACAGAAATAAAAACCATATAATTATGCTTATAATTAATCGTTATATTACCTACATATTTTTGTATAACTGTTACGAACGATGTCAATAACCCAATTTCATACATCTCCTTTTTTTATTAAACAAAAATTGTTTAATAACTAATAATAACCCGTACGAATAATGTGATCGCTAGCATACTGTATCTAAATGTTTTCATACTTAATTGTATAAAATATTAAATATAATAAATTAATGTAAAAGAAAGCCACGCAGAGTTTTTTGCTGGTTGTTCTTAGGACAGAGGTTTTTTCTGAACCTGTGGCAAAGATTAAATGACTTTCAATAAGTATTCTTGTAACCCCGTAATCGATATTGAATAAAAAATGTTCGTGATGAAGTTTCTATCAAAAATTAGTACAGTTGCTTAATTCAAAGTGTAAAACAAGCCATTGCAAACGTCAAAAAGGGTCATAAAAACGAACCATAGTTGTTAGCACACCAAATACGGGCCGAAGTCGTGCTACAACACAGTCCAACGGTAACCGTAGAGGCAATAACAGCTAAGGAACATTACGGACTACGTGATTTTTTGATTTGAGTCTAGTTACCTGTACTCTAGTCTCCTCCTGTAGTCTCTAGTCATTTGCTAGCACATACTTATCTGTCGAAATTATCTATAAGGAATGCAATGCTTACTTGTTACTGAAGTATATTGTGATATCTCTATTCTCTACAGTTTGTTTTTAGTATTAACTATTGGTATGCTCCGTTATTAATAAATGCTTACCTGACTTGCGGATTGCTCTCTTCAGCGTTAGTGGTAAAGGTGAGGTTGTCAGCAGAGATTAGAGCGTACGAATTGTGCACCAACTGTAGTCCGGTGTTATTCACCAAACGCACTTGTAACGGAACTATGGAGATGCGGAGTACACTGGGCCCGCTAGTCTCTATACCGTCGGACACCTGGGTAAAAGACGAATTTTTTAAAGTGAAACATTCTTTAGATTCGCTGTGAATTGAAACTTGATGAATCGAAATAGCGACACTACGCGCTAAAAACTGTGAAATTATTTCATTCTTTTCAATTATATGACTAAACTCCTCAACGGCTGGACCGGTTTTGATGAAATTTTGTGTGTGTGTGATTAAGTTGATAAGAGAATGGTGAATGAATTCACAATTGGACTCGGTAGGTGGCGTTATTGTTGAGAATCAGAAATCACCCGTACGATGCCGAGGCGGATCACTAGTATAAGATAATATTTGAGATCAAACTATCGATGTAAGAATTGCCGCGTTCGTCACGGCTGATGACACCCCCACTACCCCGTATTCACCGTGGCCCATGGACATACTGTGTGTAAACAAAATATATTTAAATAATAATATAATTTAAAAAAATATATATTTTTGTTATATTTATTTATTTACCTGTAAAGTTAGACGTAGCGAGGTTTTATTGAGTTGTTTGTCACCACCAGAGCCGTGGACGTAAGAGATTACTCCCGAGTCGATGTCTTGTTGGGTAAACGAATCTACCGGCTGACCGGACATTTCGATGTGACCACTATAAAAAGCAATAGAGATTAAAGCAGACTTTAAATTTTATAACCTTGAGTTTTGTGACTTAGAAAATTATGTAACTTTAGAATTTCGATTTCGTTATCAACTTAAGAAGGTAAATATATTTTACTGTTAAGTAAATATGACAAGAAATTTGTGTCAAATATAGAAGTTATAATTATAATTATACTCGAAGATATCGTATGAAATAACTATGTCAAAGACAAAAAAAAAGGTATTAATTGGTTTAAGTTTCTTCATTTAAATTTCATTGAATGTTTAAATGTGATTAATGTTATGCGATAAAATAATAAAACAAACTACCTGCCAGCCTCATTCTTGCCATGCAAAACGGTATAGAGTAAGTCTTCGGGCGCAGTATCCGGGTCCTCAGCTTTCAGGATGTCCGAAGTAATTACCTTGCGTGTACCCTGCACACATATACTATGCTAGACTATGCTTGCAGAACTTAATATAACAGGTTTAAATCAGGAGGCACAAAAAGTCGATAAAATTTATAGAAAACATTGGCTTAATTTTTCTCTGCGCAACATACTTTTGAAAGCAACTAAAAGCTATATTAAGATAACTTTTAATTACATAATATTTCATTAAGAAAACATCAATACTTTTATAAATAATGATATTTCATATGCGTATTAAGTTTAAAATTAAACAAAATAACTTAAGATACTTTTCTAATTTATTTTGCAAGCATCTTCACGGAAAGAATAGACAGTGCTTAATTACTATTTCACCTGATGGTAAGTGGCAATGTAACTGAAGGTGGTAAAGCGCACTTACTTAGCCTATTCACTTTTGTATTGAAGACATCCATATTATAATCAGATGGAAAGACTGTACGCATTATGAACGATGAAGCAAATCTTTTAGTTCGAATGCATAGTATGTCGTCTACAAAGGGGTGGAGACCAGCCGATTAATTCCTCAAGATATTTTCCTTCACCACCAAATGCACTAAAACAGCGGTACTCGCGAGGAAAGGCGCGCCGATGACATTTTTTTAAAGTATTAATCTATTTAATTCTAAAGGTATAGTAGGTACGAGTGTAGATAAAATCATAAAGTAATCATTTTACACAAGTGCAATTCGTTTTCCGAATGTTAAAATGAAACATGCCGAAACAATTTCTGCACTCTATATTTGATATTAAACTATGAAACTCTAAATTAGTAGATGCACATTGCTCATAGTTAAAAAAAAATTGTAAGCCCAACGCTTATGTTAACCAATAAATTTAGTAAACTCATGCAAAAAGAATTGTATGCAAACACAAAAAAAATAATAAGTCAATTGCGAACTTATTACTAAAGCGAAGATAAAATGTCTATTTTATTTTTAATCTCAAACTTTAAGGTTGTTGTAAAAATTCCGAAAGTCCAAATTTTAACCCTTTTCCTGTCCCATCAATTATATATGAACATTTCGATTGTTTAACAATTGTGTCTATTTCGCAGACCCAATTCCAAATTCCAATCCACAATTCTGTCGTTTTAAACCAATGTCTGTACGTACGTTAGTAAACCTTTTTCTTTTCACATATCTCGAAAAGAAAAAATGATATCGACTAAAAACATACAATCATTATTCATTGTATATTTGCATTATTGCATGCCTTAAGAGCAAAGCGTGGATGTTCTACTAGCGCCTAAAAATCAAGATTCCAACGTTTTGCCGCATAATTAAAATCAACTCTGTAGTTTAGTTTTAAACAAAACTATGCTGTGCATCCATCGACTTCCTGCATGTCTTACCAGGTCGTCACTCATCTTAGTAGGGGCTCGCCCTACACTTCGCCTACCGGTACGAGGCTGCCACTCGAAAACCTTTCTTCCCTATTGGTTGTGGATTATTCGAGCTATATGGCTTGCCACTTCAGCTTCCTAATCCATTGGGCTATGTCGGTTAATCTTGTTCTATTGCTGATATCCTCATATCTAAGTTTATCACACAGAGCAACTCCGAGCATAGCCCTCTCCATAGCTCCAAATACCACGCCAGACCACGCCTCAAATCCATAAGTGATCACTGGCAATACGCACTGGTTGTACAATCTCGATTTCAAGTTTTGAGGTATACCTGACGAGGTGTCGTAATTTCTCGAACGCTGCCCAGCCGAGTTGAATCCATTTATATTTATATACTCGTATTAGATAAAAATAAATAATCTCCAAATGGCAGGGACTGAGTGCATGTGTATGTCCTAGGGTACTAACCCTGTGGCTCGGACTGGCACCTCACCACAGGTATATCAAATAATATTTGTTTTTTTTTTTAATTATTACCTACTTTTAATGACAGATTTTAAGAAGTTATGTTTTGTATATATATAACTAATTATGAAATTTGTTAGTTGGTCTGCAATAAAGATTTCATTTTTATTTTTAAATGTGAAGTCAGGTAGATAATTAGGAGCCAGCAGCACGATTGTGTTACACTACTGAATGGTGGCTGGCTTCGTTGCCGGTTCAAACTTGACGCCATTTTTTACATTCATACCTTTTATATTACACTAACAATTTATAAATGTTAGTGTAATATAAAAGGTATGTAATATTTATTTTATAATATTCAGAACTATTTACTAAAAAATATAATATCTTTGTTGTGACTGGCAAACAAATTTAATTAGATTCCGATTCGCTTCAGGAGGTGTTGTCTTGGTCATCATCTTCGTTTATATGTATAATTATATTATTATCATCAATGACAGTATCAATTTTGATATCTCTGTCAAAGTTTTAGAAAATAAGATCTTTCGTTTTTTCGACGACCTTCGCCCAGTTATCTTTTGACTTTCCTGCAGGCTTCTTTTAATAGGCTCATCATCATTTTGTGCCGAATGGCAGAAAATTTTATTTGAGCCCAGTTTAGCTCAATCACGTGGTACTGGCAATTATAGGGAGGGATTCTGAAAACGCGATGACTGTAGAAAGAATTCATTTATTTTATAACTTTTACCGGCTTGTTGTCTTTAACTAATTTGATTAGCATTAGCCGCTTTTAGTATTTGCATATTTGCGTCAATCAGTGTTACATCTCTATTAACTTTTAGTTTCTAACTCCTATCTACTACCTTGCAAAAAAAATCTACAAACCTTTTGGAATTTGTGTAAAATTTTAGTTCTAGATCCGAAAAAATGATATTAATTCAATTCATTTTTTTTCATCAATATGTCTTTCTATTTACCTAATCCGTCAACGGGTTAATTGAATATAGTAAAGAATAGGTAGAGGACATTAATTTATGCTCTGACCAAAGAGAATATAATCACTATATTTCAGTGACGGGCCTTCCTTAGTAAAAGTAAATGTATGAAAATTTCGCAACTCAAACTATTTTTAACGTTATTGTATTGAAGATTTTACATTAATTAATTCTAATTATAACATACCATAGAATCTCAAGTTAATTCTCAATTATCACTGCTATAAATTAAGTTTATTTACAAGTAAGTTTATTTATACAAATAAAGGAATTGAATATTTATAATTAAAAATTATTAAATTTTCATTATCAGCATTAGTTTTTCAATTTTTAATTTTTTTCGGGTTTTATTTTGGGAATTGATGATAATGATCCTGCTTTCACAAGAGGTTCCTTATAAAAGAGGTGAAATATTTGCTACCCAATAGAAACATTAATTATGAGATATACATATAAAAACTCACGCCTGTCGGGGTAGCCAGAGACGTATAGAATATAGACTTCCATTTGGCACGATCCTGACACACCTCTCTCGCTTCCTCCACATCCATATACCTACCTACGCATACACGCTCGTCGGTTAAGGGTACTCTTAATTTGGCACATTTTCAATATATCGCCAATTTGGTCGATAAACTTTCGCCTGAATTGCCATATGTGCCTTTTTGGACACTCTGATTTTCCACAATAGAGTGTAGTAGAGCCCCATTTAGTCTATAATCTATTATGAGTATCACATTATTATTGGGAGGTCTAAATAAAACTTTGCTTTCTGTATTTGCACCGAATGATAAGAGGCATTATTTATAAATGTTACAGAAGGCTCTGGCAGGTCGGGCAATAGCACATTCTGGAACCACTCTTTATATGTGGCGGCATTCATTTCTTCGTGGTAGTCAGTAGTGGTTTTTGATTCAAATACTAGTAAGCCGTTCTCTACGAAACCGTATTTTGCAGAACTGAAGTGGCATATTATCAGCCCTTTACCCATTGGTACTTTCGACGTAGACGGTTGTGTATCATCTATCTATCATAGAACGGGAAAGCGTGTGATTGGCGTTTAGCCATGTCTCGTCAATGAATATGATGCTATCCCAGTTATCGATTTTTTTAGCTTCCCTTAAAATGATATTCGTTTTAAAATTATATTATAACGTTCTAAAACAATTTTTCTTTTATCTGTTCTTTTTTATATTGAAAACCAATATCTTTTAAAATTTTGGATAAATTAATTTTATCTCCCTTAAACAAATCAGCTGATTTCAAAGATGCCAAAAGCTTGGTCCTGTTAATGTAGTCATTCCTCGAATAATAACTTTATATATGATTCCTTATTGCATCGCCGTCAAAGGTATCAATATCGGTCACAGGTTTTGTTATGCGTTTCTTCTTCGGAGTTTGTAAAATATTTTCTTCCATGCTAGTTGAGTCGAACTTTTCTTTATTAATATGTGTTATTGTTCATTTGCTAAATCCAAGCGCTTGAGAAAAGCATTTTTGTATCCGTTCGATAGGTATCAAGGGTCCAATATTTTGCCTTTCACGCTCAAAGTAATCTTGAAGCTTGATGATTAGCCCACGTGTTTCACTTTTCAATGTTTGTCCACGTTTCGGCATTATTATGCACCAAACAAGGTAAAACACAACACAATCGAAGTGCAATTTAGCGCCAATGTCAGTATAAAAAGCAGGAACATTCAATTAGCGAAAGCCGACCAAAGAAAAAACGGAACGAGAATATACAGGACAACGTAGTCTATGCGTTCGAAACGACAATAGACGACTGTTTCAGCGTCACAAAATGGAGGCCCAACACACTATTTGGGGTTGCAATTTTTTACCATAAATGGATAATAGACAAAAGTTTAACTTTTTTCAAATAAGTATAGAAATAGTTACACATATTACCATAGAATACTATATTACACAATGGAAAGTAGGGGGGGGGGGGGGGGGGGGGTCAATTCACACCTATAAATGTCAAAACGTCTCTTTTGAGAGGTTAAACGCCAAGACTAATATGATGCTACGCATCATAAACGTGTTCAGCAACTTTTTATTTACAATAAGAAAAAAAAAATACTTACTGCGAATGTATTCGCGATTAGTTTGCACACTATTTACAAATATACTAATAGACGTGTATTAAAATTTAAGTGCTTTCTTTTTTTAATTATGATTGTGAACATCGATCAAAAGCCATGTGCAAATTCACTTAGTTTGTCAACACAGTTATTCCATCTCTTTCTTTTCAGAAAGAGACGATCTGTATAGATCCGTTGTAATTGCCTTGGAATAAGGTCGGATTTTATGTAATATTAAATTTAAATGCGGTAATAACATTTATTTATTGAAATTTGTATGACCTATGAGCGAATTGGGTTTCTAGTAATGATAATACGACGTAACCGCTTGTATGTGTGCTCCCGGCGACACCGGTTCTGGTACAAAATAAGGTTTGCAACCATTCTATTGTGTGTATATAGTATAGTATTCTATTACGCTACTTGTCTTCGCGTATTTGGTTTGCGCATCGTTTTATAATATTATTAACTTTATTACTACTTTCTTTTATTGTCAAATTATTCGAAAGAAAAACGCAATTTTGTATAATATAACATTACTTTTATACAAGTACACACACTTACACACTTTGGCACATCACTACAAAAATAAACAATTGATCTATCCTTGTAACAGCGTAGTATGGTTTTAAAAAATATTGTTTTCTTATTTATTTAACATTTTTTTAAATATTTAAATTCAACGCCACTTCAAAGTTATGTCGTCCGTTCGATCGCGACCTGTCAGGATCGCATTCTTTTATTCTTTAGTTGGCCGCACTTTAACTGGTATCCGCTCGCTTCGCTAAACGCACGATATTTTATTGCAGAACCTATTATTGATGAGCTAGTCAACGCCACAATGTCATAGTTAACCACGCCTTAAAAATATAAATTTCTGGTTCGATTTACGCAGAATGAGCTTATAGTATATTGACGTCTTGCGGCTATGTCTTTGGGTTGAGATTTAATTTCAAGCAAAATATCTTAATTAATTAATAAAATTAAATCCCTCGTTTGAAGGAGTTCAAAATAAGTTAATATACGCAAAACTTACTTTCATTTAAATGTGCACTGTTAGGGTAAACATAAGAACTTTCGTAAATATAGTCTGAATGTTACTTTGTATCAATTTTTCACAGTTATAAAATCTTGTATGAAATAATTTCATTTTAATTGAAGATGTTTTAAAACATACTCACTCAATGTTAATTTGTTATTCAGCGGGCTTGTGACAAACAAAGCATGCAACTACGAAAAGCAACTCAAATAAACTAATTGAATCGCCTCCAACACTCTGAAAAATAAAAAGTAAATGTAATAATTAAAAGAACATATAAGACGCAGGCGTGTTGTAAAAAAAATATCTACATTAGTAGAAAAATAAAAGTACCGGGAATTTTGGAACGTATTAACATTTGGACATGAATTTAAAAAAAAACGATGAAATGCATAAATTTGTAATTGGGATGCATAAAAATATAAAATAAAGTAAAAAAAAACAATGAGGATAAAGTACTACCTAAAGACCTAAAATATGATTATCTTTTTTTAAGCCTCTTCTTTCTAAACCGGTGGAGACATCGATAATGTGATGTAAATTATGCTGAATAACGATTATCCTAGCTCTCAGACGAACAAATGAAGATTTACGAAAGAAGACTCACGCACACATTTTACATCTACTGGTTCTTTGGTGGAAGGTTAGACAAACTTGGTGGGCGTGTAGGTGGATCTATTTGTAAAATAAAAATTGAATTAGAAGACCCTAATTGTTCACATCTTTTTTTTTTTTTTTATAATATTTTTTTTAAATAATTCGCAACCACCAACGTAGTTTTATATGCTATTTGTGCTTCCAGAACTTTTACTAGCTATTAAAGAAAGAAAGAAGAAAGATGTGTGCGTGAATTCGTGCAAGTTGATCATGGTTTCAGTCATGAAATGTACGTAAAACTACGTCTATTAACTTTGTCGGTTTGAGTTCCAGCTTGTGAGATGGCATGTGACTTCAATTTTACTTAAGGTTTAGGTATTCCCGTGGATAATTTAAAAGTAAACCAGTCATTTATTCTGCAAAGCTAGTACTATAAATAGGTATCTTTGCAATGATCCCTCATTCATGGAACATGCTAAAATTGTTAATGATCCACGGGTATTTTGATTAATATTATATAAAGCATATAAAGCATAGGCGATAAAGCAGAGGACAAAAATGGTACAGCCACGAAAGAACGAAGAAGCCTCTCAAAAATGTTTCGAAATGATGTGGTTTTATTTTGAAATTGACATAACTATTCACTATACTAATCTAACAATTCCCGGTACTTTACCAATTTTTTTTGATTTAATGCTATTAAATTAACTATTAATACTATTATTCATTATTATTAATAAAAATTGCGAAAATAAACAATATACTTGTTATATTAATCACACTACTATATCAAAATTTGACGGCTCCTTGGCGCAGTGGCTTAGCAATGAGTTGCTGCGCAGCAAATACTTGCTGGGGGCCGCGGGTTTGAATCCCGCGGCCCCCAGCAAGTATTTGTATGGCCTACAAATAATTGTTCCGAGTCTGAATGTTTATCCTTGTGCAATTTGTGTTTGTAAACTGCTTTCACGATACTGGAGAAAATGCTAGTGGGGGTAATGTTAAGAACAAAGTCTTCCGCATTGTGTTTCCTTATAGGACTATTCTAAATTATTTATATCATATAAGTCTGTTTGAATCCATTTCCCCGAATATAAACAATGTTTTAAATTTTATTTATAATTAACTCAAATGACAAAATACAACACAAACAAATTAAAAATTACTGTTCTATGAAGAAAATAGTTAAACCTTATCACTTTTAATTCAGTCAAGTTATAGCTTATTCGATGACCTTTAGAAGAAAATAGAAATTAAAATTAGTTAAACAGTTTGTAGTTCTAAAGTATTTTGTATGGGTATAGCTAAACAAAGAATATTGCAGTTATGAGTATTTAAACATTGTTTAAATTGGTCGTAAATTAGATTTGAAGAAACTATACCTGTGTCAGTCGCAGCACTCTCCCTGGTGGCAGATTTAACACGGGCGCATCATTCACGGGTGTTACGTTGACGTGTAAAGCGAACGCGTTGCGTCCCTGCAGGTAGCTGGGTAGCGTGAACCTCGCTTCTGGAACCAGCTCCATTTCTAAAACGATGGCGTCTTGGTGGTTCTCGGAGCCATCGTGAACGTAGCGCACCTGAAGTCAAAGCATGTTTATGATATTACCACCTTTTAATGAGACCAACTAATAGAATAGAATAGAATGATTTTCATTCAATACTAGCGATCCACCCCGGCTTCGTGCGGGTGATTCCTAGATCTCGACAATAGGGCCACCTACCGGGTCCAAATGTGAATCTAAACCATCTAGGGACCGATTCAAATACACAAAAAAATTTTTAAAATTTTAAATCAGTCGAGCCGTTTTTGAGTTTCAGTTAGACTAACAAACGTATGGGTAATTCATATTGAAAGTATTTTTTTACTTTTACCACTAATTCGCAAAACTCTGTCCTGGGAAGAACCAATATAAAACCCAGCGAGACATTTTTTTTAAGTAAAATTTTACAATAAAATACACATTGTACAAACTACGTACAAAACTTATATAAGAAACAGCTTGGTAGCGACCTCTTCATTCCCAGGGGTTATCAACTATGAATTCGTTTATATTACAATAACCCTTTTATATATAAACATAATGTTACAAGTTATAGACTAGCCTAGATTTAAATAATCATCAATGACCATTTATTTTATTAATTATCCGTTTTCACAAAAATACTCTAGATTTCTCCTGCCATTGCTCTCTCTATCTGTTCGTTAAGTTTCAACACAATCGGTTCAGCAGTCGCCTACGTCGGCTAGCCGACAACCAACGAGGCAGTCATTTTTTATTATTAACTTTGTAGTGAGATATTCTAAATATCTATACATCTATATACACGAACAAATAAAATTGAAGTATGTTTCAATAAAATAAAAATAATTGCCTTTTATCGAACTCAGTCAATATTTGCTTGCCATAAAAACAAGAATAACCATTTCAAAATTTTATCTGTCTGTCTGGGCTAATCTTCGGAATGGCTGAATCGATTATAATTAAACTTCACGAACAAGATAGAAAGCAACGTCAAAAGTATTCTAGGTTATATTTTATCTACCGACTTCAAAAACGAGACGGTACTCAATTCGACTGTATGTTTTTTTATGTGTGTTACCCCATAACTTTTTACTGGGTGAACCGATTTGGATGATTCTTTTTTTATTTGCTTAGCTGGTGCTTTACATGTGGTCCCATACAAATTTGATCAAGGTCTGACCAATAGTTTTTGAATTATTCTTAATAATTTATATTGAAGTCGGTTGTACAAAATTTTTAATTTTAAATTATCCAAATAAATTAGTAGTAAAAAAAAAACAACGGTCTTTAAATTAAATCTAAATGACACCACATTAATAGAGTCTACAGAGGCAAAGCCAGGACGCGTCGTTAATATATCTATATAAATAAAAATCATTACTTGAGAACGGCTCTACCGAATTTGATGAAATTTATTGTGTGAGTTTGAGTGGGTATCAAGCGTAGGATGCGCTGTTGTGACGATCCAGAAATCACCTGTGCGAAACCGAGTCGGATCGCTAGTTAATAATATATAAATTTCATCTTACCTTATCTCTGGACAGATCCATAAGGGTGAAAAACTGCTTAGATTTTCCATCACCATCAATAAAGTTGGCGTACTGTGGCGAATTTCTCTGCAGAGATAGATCAACCGCGATACGTCCGTGCAACGGTGACTGGGCCACATGAAGCACCACGCCCGAAGGTCTTACACCGTACTTATGGTGATCGAGTACAACGTCTATATTCTGTGTAGTGATGACCGCCACACCGCCCTCTTGGACTGTCAAGGGGTAAAGCGATACCAATTCCAGTTCGCTGCTTGATTTCGAGAACACCTGTAAGATTTTGAGTTAGAGTTTGCATATACCTCTGAAAATTGTGTATGAACTATTTATAACGATATTTTCTTACCAATAAGAGTGACCAACGAGAAGAAAATGCTAATATTTACCTCTGAAGATATGAATGAAGTACTGCTATTACTATTTTACTAGATGTCTCTCCATTTCAGGTGTGGGTAGGTCCCACTCTCTACATATTTCTGTCGCCAAAATATTCTGATCTGGCCAGGGTTTAGAGAGGCAGTATAATCACAGGCTGTGTGGTATTCCATGTTAATCCTCAGAGGTGGCAACACATCTGTGGCCTTCTTAGTTTGACATTGGCTGTAGGTATGCATAGACTACAGTAACTATTAAGATGTGACTTTAAGTTTGCTTATCACTTATTTTATTTAAAAAATTACACTGCTATTTTATTTATTTTATTATTACTATTATATATTTCACTTATTTTATTTAAAAAATTACACTGCTATTTTATTTATTTTATTATTACTATTATATATTTCACTTATTTTATTTAAAAAATTACACTGCTATTTTAGCATTGAGTGATTATTTATAGAGGTTATTAAAGAAAAGACTTCTCAAAATTGTACACAATAAAGAACTTTCTAATTTGTGTGTAATGTCCATGCTTAAAAATTACTTTTTAATCTTAGAACATCCCATCTCTAAAGCCTTGTAGTGGCGGTTTAAAAATATCCACTACCTTAATTGGTGTAAAAATATCCACGGTTTAAAAATATCCACCACCTTGATTTCTCTTTGTCTCGAAGGTGTTGTAAGACTAAATATATATTATAGGTTGGTTAGTCAGTATAGTAGTCATTAAGATAGGTTTTATCACATGAATGGGACATTAATTGAGATTTTTTTTTTCAAGAACAATATAAACCAGCGTGATGTAGAGGTTTACCTCTCCGTTTCGCTTGGTGAGTGCAGGTAGCAGGAGGCCCTTTTTACTGGAAATGAGGCATTCCATCTTAGTCCTCACGGGTGACAACGCATCTACATTTTGATTTGTAATAGAGGATAGATGTAGATGTCTATGGGCCGCAGCAATCACTTACCATCAGGTGGACTGTGTGCTCGTTTTTTCACCCTTATACTATAAAAAAAAAGTAAAAGAAAAAAAAGGCGGTTTTGTGCAGTCTGTATTCTTTTCTTTGCTTTTGTTTGGTTAAATTTGCTGATTGTATAATAACAGCGGCATAATTGTGAATTTTTTTAAACGACTTCAAAACTGAAGAGGTACTCAATCCGACTGTATTTTTTATTTTATTTTTTATATGCGTTACCTCATAACTTTTTTCTAGTTGAACCGATATTAAAGAGAAAGCTGGTGCTTCTCATGTGGTCCCATATAAATTTGATCAAGGTCTGACCAGTAGTTTTGAGTTATCGTCAATAATTTATACTGAGGTCGGTTGTACAAAATTTTTAATTTTACCACTTGTGTAATGTTATATGTGTATAACGTTTCCAATTAAATAATGAATGACGAAGCAAACTGTTTGGTTCGAATGCGTACTATGTCGAAAACGATAAAAACAGATGAGTCTGGTAGTCCGATGATGGAACAGAGAGTAAAATAGTAGACGTTACATATTTATGAATGACTATCAATTGAAATAATGCATTACTAAGAGTAATTACTAGCATAGAGAGAGACCTAAGAAAAGAACAAAATTCTTATAGCTGAAATTTTTATGCATATGACGTTTAACATGGTACAAAATAAGATAGATATATTATTCTCACCTTCTTTCTTTTACAAAGTTGTTTCAGTTTTTCAACTCCATAGACACCTCTATTGATATGCCATTACATTGTCGATAAATTAATTTAGTCTATGACTTAGTAAAATTAGGAATTTTTATTAATCCAGAAAGGTTGTGGTAGCGTCATCTGACGTCTTACAACAAAAAAGAAGTCAATAATGCGGAATTTCGTACTATCGTTGTATAATTAAAAATATAGCGTGGAAAGGTCACTACGAAATCTACTTAAATTCAGCCGGTATATTTCCGCCAAATTATCCTTAGACTTATTATGGGTTTCACAGTGAATAATAACTGTGTTTGTTTAATCGACACTGGGTTTGCTTCACGGAACGTACACAGAGGGCACGGCTACGATAGTACAATAACAGTGGTCCGACCGGGGTCTGCCTTCTATTTTATCGCTAGGTCACAACTACCAATAAATCGATTACGAACGTATTCCCGGTTTTCCTCTCTGCTCCCTAAAGATATTATCCATCATTCATTCATTAATTACAGCCTATCAAAAGTTCACTGCTGAACGCGGGGGAAATATTTGCCATAGTTCCCTCTCTTAGCAAGTGCTTTGACAACCGCAATTTTTATTATTTTGATTTGATATCAGGAAGATACTGTTGCCAATCTCCTGTTTAATCTCGTCTTTTACGATACTTACGGGATGGTGTGTGATCTTAGAGCTTCTAAGTATATATAACATATTATTTGGTAGGAGGTAGTAGTTTATTTTACTCCACCGCTACACGACATTATCAAGATCCTGTCTTAACATCATGATTTCTAAATATTTTCATTCAAGCAGATAAAGCTTTGTTGAATATAGTCGATGGGTTTCCGCTTAGCAAGTGGTAAATCCATATAAATTAAAATCAATTGCCGCATGTATGAAAGATCGTCTCTTGAGAACGGCTGGACCAATTTTGATTTGATCCTTTGTCGAAATCTAAAAAACAGTCGTGCGAAGCCGTGGCTGGTTGTTAGTCAGCATATAAAATTGGGATTACAAATGGGATCCAACTCGATTATGTACCGTGTGTCTACCAAGACTTGGTATTCATACCTCCCTAACATTTAGTTTTTAAAGTTTGCGAAACGAATATTTGCTATGTAATATAATAATCATTATCACTTGATTGAGAAAAAAAATTCTTGATCGTTCGGATAATAATAAGACTAGTCCTATTTTTTTTTTTTAGACCTATAATATAGTAAGGATCGTAATATAGTAATATAGTAAGGTTTGTAAGGATCGTGACACTTGGCGATCTGTTCTCTCTGGCTACCCCGTCAGGGATTGTGCGTGAAGATAAGTATAATATAGTAATAAAAATAAATAACTAAACAAAAACGAGAGTATATCGATGTCGATTGTTGCTAACATTACGAACAAAATCACTATAGATTAAAGACGTCATGTCTTGTAAAGAAACGTCACATCAAAGAGATTTAAATATATAGGTATACTATAGAGCGGACATTGGGAACATTTATATACAAAAACTTTGAGCTAGTGCGCGTGTGGCACCCTCTAGCTAAAAATAGCAAAACAACGCTAAGCATTTATTAAGACAACATTTTAGCTATTCCCCAGTAGGTGACGCTAATAAATATAACCTCGTTTTAGGAATGTTATCATTTTGATATCAAAGTATTGATATGTTGAAGATTACTAAGTTTGAAATGATTTTCGATATAATAATAGATTGTTTTATAATTAAAATTGGTAACTAAATAGTGACGTTTACTGGATAACAGAGGGCGCTTATTACAATAAAAATAAATGTTCTAGAACAATCTACTAGAAATAATAAAATTTAAAGATTATTCGGTAAATATATGTTATATTTACGATAATAAACCGATATCACGTTCATTTTTTGCTCCATATCGTGACTTACAATATCTTAATGCACAACCGGGCATATTTTCTTTAAAAATATTTTTTAAATATATGAAACGAATGCGTCTTGACTTTTTGACGATGTCACTATGACTAAATGACAAAAATCGGAGATATATCCTATAGGACATAAGTTACAGACGTCAATTTTGCTACTGATGTCCGGTCTATTACTACTACTACTTAAATGTCTTTGCGTCACCACTACAATTAGGGATGTAATTTTTCTAGTAAATCAGAAGATACGAGTGTACTTACTCTCATATTTGGCGTAGTATAAAGGGACTAAAGATGATCACTTTACATTTCTATTTCCACGCAGGTATTACACTCAACATCTTTCAATAGATTTGTCTCTATTTACCTTATTTGAAAATTAAATTAGAAAACGCGAGACAAGTATATTGACTTAATTTATGTAAAATTGTAGGTTCTCTCTATGCATATGTATGTATGTAATTACTCTAAGATGCATTATCACACATTCTGAATTTAAAAGATAAAGAGAACAGTTTTTTCACCATTTGCTTATATTACCTATTCTGTACCTCCTCTGCAAAGGACATTGCTAAAACTCGCCTTAGAACCAACATATATTTGACAAGTACCAAAATTCTTATTCTTGATTATGCATTAGATAACATTCATTAGATAGTAATGGACACTTCTGAATTGTGAAATAAAAAAAAGGACTTTTTCGATTTTGAACTTTGTACCTATTTTTTAATATGTGTGCTACGTTTATGACCTCCTGTGATTTGACCAATCACATAATACCTTCACTCACATATTTCAAAAGTTGTCATAAACTCAAATATATTATGAAAACGTTTATATTTTAAAATATATCTCAGATTAATATATGCCACAAGGAACTAGGGTACAGTGAAATCATCCGTTTTCATTTAAAATAACAATACTATTGTACTCTCATTGGCAAATCAGCATTGTGCCACGCAAAAAAAAGTCAATAACGTTGACAGATGACAACACGTCAAAATAGATAGATGTCAGACGTGTGATCGTTTTGATTTCGTTTGAAAAAATACATTTCTGCAAATGTTTTCCGAATCTAAGTGCACTTTGCAGTTGGTTTGTTATGTGAAAAGTTTTTATAAATTACGACACGGCTTGAATAACGGATATCGATACTCTTCTTTAGCGACCTACCTGGCTTGATTCACGGACTTTAACCAAATGAGACACTATAAGTTGTATTTATTTGGTACTAATAAAATAAATACCTATTCACAACCTGGGTTTTATTTACCGTATAAATGCTAGGGTAAGACTGAACTGCTTACATTAGCAACAACATAATGTTTCATAAAAATAAAACAACCTCAAAATCTCTATAATAACTGCTAATATCTAAGTTTTCAGAAGTGTCCGTTAGGACGTATTGTTCTTACATATAATTATATATAATTTCGGACTTAAAAAGGTACTTTTTATCACTGTTGGTTCTTAGGCGAACATTGTATGGACGCAGAACAATGTCCTTTGGGAATATATTGCAAAATAACCCTGTATATAAAAAAGAAATACCACAGTCACAAGATCTCCAAAACTACACACCCGATTGACTTGAAATTTGGCATACATACCCCTTTGTCGACACCCGTAAAGAAAGGATGTTGGAGAATTCTACTCCTTAGGGGGTTTGAATGTTGAAATTACGTTATGAATATTGACCTTAATACGTTATATGATGTAACATATGCTATAACACCAAACCCACCTTATACTTCTCGGCGTAATCAGGATTGATGCACAGCTCGGAGTCGCATTTACAGGTGAAATGGTCTAGACCGTGTTGCTCACAAATCGCACTTGTAAGACAAGGCGGATTGCCTGGATTCGCGTGACAAGGATACCACCACACGCACTTGGGACTGACACCGTATGTCACCACAGCGTTTGGCAAGCCGAAGAGCTTGTCGTCGACTTCAATCGGTTTGATGCATCCCTGCAAAGAATTATTACGATGGATCATCAGGATCATAAGTCTGTACGGTCTAATGCTTCACAATCGTCATTATCATCATCGGCAGTCAACAAGTCAAACAAGACACTTCGCCCAATTTATTTATTTATTAAGATTATAATTTTAGCAGAACTTACAGCTGTGAACAATAACAACATAATAAGAGTAATGAAGGCAAATTAAAAGTTTCCATTTATAAAGTTTCCATATTCGGCTTTCCCAGCCAGTTGCTGACAGCTACCTTATGTAGATTTTCGCTCCATCCAAACAGGTCCACGCTTGACACGTACATACTTCAAAGATGAGATAATTTGGTTTAAACACCAGTTATTGTTAGAAGTGGGTCGCAGTATGCTACAGGACCATTGCTTTATTAGACTAAACTCTCCTGAGATTGTGGCCATGGCCTTTAAGAACAACTCTAAGGCCATTGTCGAATTTAAAAAATATTCGACCCGATTTCTGATTAATCACCTTTTAAAGGAATACAGAGCTTAAGCTACTTAAGAATACAGAGATTTTTTAATATATTTTGCTATGGGTTCACCGGGGAAATTTGAAGAAAAGGAGATGTTCGATTTTGGGCTACCACTATGTACACTACATAGATAAATAGGAAAAAAATTGAGGAATTTCATGAAAATACTAACAAATTAATTTGAAAAAGGGTTTAGCCGTACAAAAATGATCAATTAAAAATATTTTTGTTATGATAATCCTATTTTAAGGGCAGCCATGACAGTTGTGTTAGATAATAGATATGACGTTTGACGATTATTACTTCTCTGTTGACCCTCTGTTTGTTATATAGTTTCTGAATCGTCTGTGATTTGGGTTTCGTCATGTGTTATTTTACAATAACAAGTTCAGTTTCAATGTCTAATGATAGTGCTCTTGCACGCGAAGATCACAAACTCCAGCATTGCCATGATAGTAATGTTTGTGTTAGGTGTAGGAAATCTTTGTTTAGGTGTGCTCACTCTATTCCCGAGGGTGCCGAAAGGCAATATATTGCTGAAATAATTACTCCAAGAGAGGTAAGCACCCCTTTTGTTTTCTTTTTTATTCATACAAAGGTATGCAAATGTAGATGTTTCTTAATTATAGTCAAAGACAACATCGTTTCAAGAAAAAAAAAGAACAGTCACAGTTTAATTTTTGGAAATGTGTGTAGACATGTGATTTATATATAACATCACCTTGGATGAGTCTATAAAAGTGATATTGAAATAACTAAATATTGATTAATTTAAATTATTTAGAAATATTGTGATATAAATAAATAAATCTTAATTTCATAGAATATAATAGAATGATTTTTTATTCAATATTGATTATTACATAATACTTATTGAAAGTAATTTTTTATTTACATTTTTTGTTTTAGATACCTGAAGGTGCTTTAATATGTTTTGCTTGTTGGGAATCATAGCAGCTTCTACTGTTGTTATGAATATCAATGTATGTGTATGGTGTCGATGGTCTCTTGCCCAGACACACAGCCACTCCATACCTGAAGGACCTGAACGGACCATAATAACAGAAATAATATATCCAAGAGAGGTAACATTAACAACTTACTTAATTACCTAGTGTTGGAATGAAATAATTGTGTGAATAGCCAATACATATTGTATTCTTTTCTTTTATTCAGATTCCACCAGGAGGACTGGTTTTCTCTGCTTGTTGGGTAGCAACATGTAAAAATGTGGAGCATGCTACAAGTATTGAGGATAATCGGCAAACTCCAACCCCATCTAGCCTTCACCAAGACCAAGTGTAGAATGTCTCTACACCGAAGGCTAACACACATGGCTAGTGGTCCTGTAAGAGATAAACTTGGAGCAAGAATTTACCCAAATCAGGTCAGATTATTTTAATTTACCAAACCACCATACACAAGTAATGTTACTGTACATTCAACTATAAGTAACCTTATCTGTTGCCCTATAAGTAAATTGTTTCTTGTATTGTTTCAGTTACCAGAACATGTGCTTATTTGTTCCAACTGTTGGACACGTGCACAGGAAAATATAGGAATAGAGCAAGAAGTTTTGCAACAAATTGATATGCAGCCACCAAGTGCATCAATAACACTTGATGGTTTTACACACACAACACAGACAAGTGCTCATTGTTTTGTGCCGGCTTGTAACAATGTAGAACGAAATAGAGTGCCGGAATACTTAAGAAAATTATATATATATATATATATATATATATATATATATATATATATATATATATATATATATTTTATTATTATTATTATATATAATCAATCACACAATAAATGATTTAATTAATAGGAATTTATTAATACCCAAGGGCTTGTTTGGAAACAGAGAGGCAAGAGTACCAATAATAATATGTGATGGTACCTATATATATCTTCAAAAATCATCCAACTACATGTTTCAAAAACAAACTTATAGCTTGCACAAATATAGAAACCTTGTGAAACCTTTTCTCATTGTTGCCACTGATGGTTACATTATTGATATTTTGGGGCCCTATCCAACAACCAAATCAGATTATGACATCATGAAAGCTTTGTTCCAAAATGAAAATGAGGGTCTAAGGGCTTTTTTTCAGCCCAATGATGTTTTCATATTGTATAGAGGCTTTCGTGATTCCATTCCAATGCTAGAGGAGTTGAGCTTCAAAGTATTTAAACATGAATCCTTAGAACAAGGAGATACTCAGTTATCGACCATCAATACGAACAAGACAAGGTGTGTGACACTATGCAGATGGGTGGTAGAGGTAGTTAATGGTTGATTTAAAAGAGACTTTAAGCGATTGAGACTTGAATATTTTGATTTGGCTGCCACCCATTTGATGGACGATGTTAGTATTTGGACGATGTTATAATTAATGTCTTCCATCCAGTGATTGAAAATAGACCAAAAGCTGTAGCTATACTTGAGCAATACAGAGTGAAAATATGCCCAACCGGTTAGCAGAATTTTTAATTGCTAACCGGATCAACCGCTTTAGAGCCCAATTCACAAGAATTGATGGTCAACTTCCAGAGTTAAGTATTTTCCCTAAAATGACTATGTCTGAATTGATACTTTTTGGGTTGGGTACCTATCAAATAAAACAGGCTAGAAGCTATTTCGGGGAACATATTAGGCAGCATGGATCATTTCAGGTAGAAGTATCGGACTAACTGGAAGTAGTAGCAGAAGCAACCCCATCCCAACTTGATCCTTTTTTAATAAAAGCCTTTATAAAAACTCGACATAGCTCAGGACGAACATATTATACCTACATATTGCTGGCAAGGGAAGGATGAAGTGGGGATGATAAAATAATTAGCTATTATTGTAATTGTATCTCCGGACATCGGACAATGGGTTGCTGTGCTCACGTCATGACCACTGTGTGGTATTTGGGTAGGGCTCAGTACCAAGAGAGCATAGAAGCACCGGTGTCATTCCTGGATGGAATATTAATAAGGGATGATGTGAAAAACGAATAAAATCATAAGTTCTAACAAGTGGTTTTATTTATATACCACTCATGACTGATTTCTCATCTTTTTGATGTCGCTAATACTAGGAATTATATAACATAGAACTTGTTTGAAAAATTGATAGTGTTAAGTTGGGACACTGGGCTGGCATGGTGGATTACACAGTCCAATCCCTCACAGAAAGGAAATATATGTCCTAGCAGTGGGAACATTATAGGCTGATTATGCTGCTCCTGCTTAAGTGAACTAAAATAGTTGGTATCTTCTCAGCTGTTATTTTGTAATAGGAATAGTTAACTACTTTAACAATAACTTGCAGTTGTATAATACTGCACAGCTCACTGCTCGCCTATGAATTATCGAAGTCCAGAATATATTGATAGGCACTAAAGAATGAAGCAGCAGGAAAGTGTTAATAAACAAAATAACTTTCAAGCCTTCGTTTCATTTCGATATAACCAATCTCTAACTACTCTAATAGGTGATATAAGATGTGCTGCCGCAATCGAGTTGAATATCCTGTAGTCTAAGTTTATCGTATCCAAGATTTTCGAAATTCGTGTTTTTTTTTATTGTTGATATTACAATACACGTCAATAAAATGTTAATGTCAAAATAACATTTTTCGTGTTTTCTATACTAAGTCTATGGTTTTCTCTGTGTGATCCACCATGTTTAATTTAATGTTGTGTTGCTCTCCTTGACTAAGTTAATTTCAATGTACATTGAAACGAAGTGAAATTAAAGAAAACTAACAATAAAAAACGGTTACTATATTATATAGCGATATTTACATATAGTGTACATAGTGCTAGCCCAGGCTCCATATTTTTCTGGAACATCTCCTTTAATGCCAATAAAATTACAGATAGCGCTCGAGTTTAATGCCGTCGGGGCCTGAGGTGAAGAGCGGGAGCATCTCCCCCCGCCGTCCGCACGCCGCGTCTCGCGCGCCCGTAGTGTAGTGCTGTGCTGTCCTTGACAACTACCATACGCTTACTGTGTTATCGTGTTAATATAAAGTTGCAGCCACGTGTTATTTTTGTTTTTAATGATGTCTGATCCGTGTACGTCAAGTTCTGTTACAAAAAAACGAGTTTTTATTCATCGCCAAGCACGGGAAATGACAAAAAATGTTCTATACATGTGTGTTAAAGAAAGGCAGAACAACAATTTAACATTCACATTAAATAATGCTTACGATCGCGCAAGCCGTTACACTGGACTTTCGAAGAGAACATTGTCTGCAATTCAAAATGAAGCCAAAAAAGGGCCTCTTTGTTCGCCTTTTAAAAAGAAAAGACAGTGTAACAAGAAGACAAATTTAAACTTCGATGATTTTGATCGAGATGTTACATACAGAATTATTGAAGAATTTTATTTAACTAAAAAAATTGTTCCGACCTGCATTAAACTCCTCGCAGCTATTCGAGAAAAAATCGAGTTTCCATGGGGAGTGACGAGTTTAAGAAAATTGTTAAAAGACATGGGATATAGATGGCTTACATGTCATAATAAACGTAGAATTTTGGTGTAGAGACCAGCTGTCGCATAACAACGGTCAATTTATTTGCGGAAAATCGTCAATATAGGCAAGAAGATCGAAATATTTTTTTTCTCGATGAAACATGGGTAGACAACAAACTCACATTTAAAAACATACTGGAGAAATGAAATGATCGACGCCGTGTTGACAGATACAAGCTCCACGAACAGGCTCATTCTTGTCCACGCAGGATCGAGAGGAGGGTTTTTAAATGGTGCAAAGTTACTTTTTAAGGCTGGTACTACGTCAGGTGATTATCACGGGCAGATGAACAGTGTTAATTTTGAGAAGTGGGCCACTGATATGTTAAACCCTAATCTACCATAAACCAGCGTTGTTGTGATGGACAACGCACCATATCATAGTGTACAAGAAAATAAAGTCCCAACAAAGTCCAGCATCAAATCAGTAATGTTGGAATGGTTAACCAAGAACAATATCGAAGCTTCACTTACTATGAGAAAAGATCAGCTCTTTCACTTGGTTCAGTTACATAAACCTACGGAAAAATCTTTCAAAATCGATGAATTCATCAAAAGTCAAGGCCATATTGTAGTAAGACTACCACCGTACTTGTGCGACCTCGACCCTATTGAGTTGGCTTGGGCAAAAGTAAAAAGAATTGTAAGGCATCACAATGTTACTTCTGATTTCTCCCTAAAAAGGTTAAAAGAAGTTACGGAGCTGGCTCTCTCTCAGGTCACAGAGGAAGATTGGCGTGGCTTCGACGATCACGTCATAATTTTAGAAGAAAATTATTGGCAAAGAGATGGATTAATGGAAGATACCATAGATCGATTCGTAATTGAGGTCAGCGATGGTGAGGATAGTGACACCGATTCAACCAAGTCTGCCATTTCAGAATCGGATGCTGCATAAATTATAATTTTTTTTATTGATTTTGATGTGTAAAATAATAAAAAATGTGTGATAATTATTACCTTGTTTTTTCTAAACTTAAAACGTTAAACTTAAAACAATGTTGAAATTTATCGACATATAGTCATCATTAATTCTAATTAGGTCACAGCACTATCGCATTCCTGAGCTCTGCATTCAACTCGCGCGCTATCTGTATGTTAATTTTACACGAGTATATGGTATAATCGCCCTTTCTGTTGGATGCAATACCCGATCTAGTTTACCGTCATGTTTGCAGCGCGCTTGAAGCGGCGTCCAGTTTGCAGTGCATCTAAACCACAACACAGTTTGCAGTGCATCTAAACCACCACACATGTTTAAATTCGCTGTCAAGTCTGCATGATGCCGCATCAGTTGAAACTATGGCGATTCTCGCTTATTGCTCCGACTAACGTCATGCATACTTGACCGTTTATACACACGTTCGAGTTTGCATGACGCTGCAAGCTTGATGAAGTCGGCAGAATCGAAATCCATGTTTTGCTTCAAGTAGACTTACCATGCACACTGATAGCCATACACCGTCAAGTTTACCGGACGCCTCTTCAAGCGCGCTGCAAACTTTACGGTAAACTGGATCGTGTGTGACATCTATTATGTATTTTGGCTTATCCACATTGGATGAAATACTATAATAATAGAATCCTATGAAACTTGTGAAATAAAATATGACGTAACTTAATTGTTGTGCGCATTATTTTAAATCAAATAAAGCAGCTTTTAAACTAAGTTTAATGGCTACTTACCATAATACTGGAATCGGCAGCTTTGATCCCCTTAGCAAAGGCTCGCTGTCGCTTCTCACTTTCTATTCCACCAAGATAGAAAGAGTCTGATAGATCTAGATATCGCATCCCTCCGCTTTCTATGCGAGTGCTCATCGCTATGTTGTCCACAGATAGCTGGAACATGATTTAGTTTTTAATAAAAAAAATAAACCGGGATATATTCGGGTTCGGTTTTAAGCGCTCTGAAATAAGGCGAAGCACAAACGTCTTATTAAATAAATATTAAGCTCCATTTCTTTGAGATAATTTGATTGTAAATTGTTTTATGCCAAAATTCCATGTGTAGTCTTGTGAGGTACTCCTTTTATTTCAGCGTTGACCTTTCAAACAAGAAGTATGTATATATTTTTATAGGTATGCTAATGTCTACTAAGTATTTTGGGCGAGCATAGTTTTTATCATGTTTCTATAAATGACTGTAAACAACCGAGGGAGAAAATCGGAAGAAATTAATACATATGTATTCCGATTATGATGTGGATAATTAGGTGGATCCGATTATGGGGTGGATAAAAGGAATAACCCCTTCCCAATGTTGCTGTGTTAAATTTAAACGTAATTTAAGTAACTATGCTATTAATTGCAATCACAAATCCAATTACGAATATTGTTAATTTAGTAAAAAATATTGAGTCATGATAAAGAAAATGTTTTGTCAGTTAATGTTGACACTTCATATTTAAGGAAAAAGTAATCTTTGCAAGTTATTTAAAATTTTCAAGAATATCCATTTAATCACTTAACAAAGTGACATGGATTTTTTGTCTTATTTTTGCCAGAGCCGTTATAATCTAGCCTATCGCCCAGTACCCGCTTGACCTTGAGTTTCGGAACAACCCGTATACAGATTAATACATATTTTTATAAACAAAATACCTAAACTGGCGATTGGAAGCAGCATCAAAAGTCCCAGACATTCAGTTGGTACTGCTATCGTCATGAAGCGTGGTAATTAGAACGAATTTAACCTACTATGGGACAATGACTTGTCCAACAAAAGATTAATTACGATCTGATTGGGTAAGAAGATGCATCACATCATAATACAACTTCCTATTTTGTTTATATGAGCATTGTTATTATGTTTTTTTTTTTTTATTATGTTTTTGTTATAATGTTAATAATTTCCTGAATCTCTTAAGGTTAAGGAAATTATTAATTTAACTAAATGTTTAGGACACATTTGGATAGTAAAACAAATTGCAATTTAACAACATTTTATTTCACATAGCTGGCATCCGGCGCGTTGCTGCCACAGAAGAAATAATTGTGGAAATATCGTTTTTAAATTTGAAAACATAAAAAAGGAATGATAATACATTCATTGAAATTGAACGATATTCTATATAACTTTGATAACTTTGAATTAAATTTGTCGGTACGATACGCGTGCCAACGTAAGTTAGTTGCACGTAGTACGGTAAGTTAATTTTACTATGCCTAAAACCTTCGCAAGTGCAAGCAATAAGTTGGCAAAGTTTTACCGCAATGTGATGAATGGTGGTATAGCAGCGCATAAAATACGAGCAAAATAAACGTTAATTTTTACATTAAAGTTTGCAGTGAACTATAAAATCGTTCGAATGAATTTTCTACTGCCGTGTGTTGCCTTAAGAAAATCTATCTCCCCGTTTCGTCTTGAGGAAGTCGTAAGAAATCGACTAAGGGATACGAAAGAAAGATCTTGGGACTTAAATATCCAGACCGGCGACGGGAGGCAGCGCCTAACGTCCTTGACCTCTACTACTGTTGTCGTCAATTTGTGTACAAAATTAAGGTTAATTTTCCCTATAACGAAAGGATATAAATGTAGGATAAAATCACCGATGAAGAAGAAAGAAGAAAGATGAGCACATTAATTGGAGTCCTAAGCGATTCTTCTCCTTTTCCCTTAACAGCCTATTAAATTCTACCACTACTGAACATAGTCTTCCCCCATAGATTACCTAACATATTTGCCATGGTTGTCATACTTGGCAGGCAGATTGGCAACCGCAGTTTTTTTAAGCTGTCACTAGGAAGATGCTGCTGATCAGAAAGATGCTGCCCATATCCTTTTTCAATTTCCCTCTGTCGCCTCTCACGACACCCACGTTCTTCTTCATCAATGTGTAAAAGTCCACGGTTGAGCATGGGCCTCTCCTAACGTAGAGACGATTTGCCTTAAACGTTACGACCGCTGACGAATTGATGATCGCAGTAACGTCTCACACGTTAGACACTGCTTCCCGTCGCCGGTCCTACATAGTACTGGTCCTTAGACTTGTTATAAACGAGATTGTATACGGCCACGTGTTCAAAGCCGTCAGATTTCTCCATTATTATCCACAATCGGCTCTTACGACACCCACCGTACGAAATAGGATTGATTCTTTTACGCCACGTTACGTTATAAAGTGGTAGGACTCTTTCTCTACCTAGGACAATATAAAAATATTGTAAATATCTTGGAAGGTTGTCTATTTCTACCGCAAAACAGCAGTGCCATATTTGAATGTCTCACAGGCTGTGAGACGTTCCATCTTAGTCTTCAAAGTTAACAACGCATCTGTAGCGTTTTTTGTTTGAAATTTTCTGCAGGTATCCTTAGACTGCAGTACCACGTACCATCAGGAGGATTGTTAGTTCATTTGCCACTTCAGTTTTATAAAAAAAGCTACCACCAACCGGCAAAAGCCAAGGACATTTCCACCAATTGAAAACTTAACGGCACAATACTTGACCAATGCTTCCTTTGCAACTTTTGTCTTTAAACTATTTTTGTATGTCAAATGTTATTTATTACTCATATATCAAAGCAACATAGAAAAGATTATTTCAAAACTATCTTTTAAGTTACTTTAAAAAAATAGTATTTTCAACATAACCGCAAAACGCAGACCGTTCTAAAGAAACGTCGCTGAGCAAACAGCTAATGAGCTTACATTGTACAAAGTAGGTTGACAGCAAAAGCAGATGCAAATTATTTTTAGACTTCGCCGGGTTTTGTTTTTGCGCACAGCTTTAATATTAATAGTGATGTTATACATGACTACGAAAAACTGTAAAGGCGTAATTATAATGATGTCATACAGGTCAATTAAGTCACGTTATGAACTCTCGATGATTACCAAAAATTTATTAAATATCGCGCAATTACAAATATGTACATTATTGCATGAATGTACTTATGAAAACAAGCACAAAGATGTAAGCGCAAAGATTAAGTTAAAACATGGTAGAGTCACTAATCATTTTACAAGATTCGAGAAGTGACTAATTGTTTGTTTTTGAATATTAATTAGTGGTATGACTCTGACTGTAACTCAGAACTGCAAACGCAGTGGTAACATGCGTAAGACAGGAACTTCAACCTGTCTCTATTTATATACCAATATGTAACGCATTCCGTGAACTAGAACCTCGTAACGGCTCTGTAAGAATATCCGCTACCTCATATCTTTGGGTGGGTGTCGTAAGAATCAACAGAGGGAAACTGAAACAGGAAATGGGCATCAGCAACTTCCTGAAACCAACTCAAAAAAATAGTTGCAAAGTGTGGCAACTATGGCAGAATTTCCCGTTTGAGGCAATCTATAGTGGAGACCTATGTTCAGCAGTGGATTTTTATAGGTTGTAATGGATGGATTGGATGGATTATGATACGCATTCAAACCAAACTTTATTATTTTTCTTCGTTCGAGTTTAGAACGCTAAACGCATGAGGAAAATAGTTGAATAATTTATCAAACCTTAACGACTTTTCATTTGTTAAGCTAGGTGATTGCGCTTTATCATCCAAACCTTACACTGACAAGCACTGGCTTTTAATACGAAAAAAAAAGGATGTCATCTCAAAATCTTTAAAACAATGCACATTTTTAAGGACTGATGATAAAAATATAAGATTATAATACGTCTATTAACATATCTTACTCCTGGGTAAGAATTCACCTTAGTCAAAAACCATTACATTACACAAATCGTGAAAATTAAGTATACAATACCAATAATGAATACGACAAAAGCAAAAAAAATATATAAGTTCATCGCAGCAGCAAGTTCAATCGCAACACATAGTTCCTTAGAAGCAAATTACTGATAACACACTTAAATTAATATAACGAACAATAGGGTTGTACATAATCTTGCAATATACATAATATTATGTAAAACTATAATTAATTTTAAATAGCTCCCTTCCCTCGAATCAGCTTAAAACCTAATTATATTTAATAAATATTATGTGTTAATTATTAGAATTTTAATTTTTATTTAACAACCAAAAGAAGAATTGATTTATATTAAAAATTGTTTTTTCTTTTATCATTAATTATTATGTGTTAACTACCAGTACACCTACACACTAAAATGGCTTAGCATATAGCATTTCTTTACTTCTTTACTAGATAATAAATCGGTCCTGTCCAGCACAAATTACATTGCATAAGTGAAAAAAACAAACTCTTTAAATATTTCTCACTCATGAACCTTTGCCCAAGTTTGTTGATTAAAACCAGCACGTTGTAATATAAATTCAGCAAATATGTGAAGTAATAAGTAGTTAGAAGGCTGACGGCTACCGCCTTTGCCTTATATTTATAAAGATAACAGTTTGAAATAGTAGGTACATAATACATCGTTATTTCCTAGTGAAAAGGAAAACGATTCCGTTATATTATAAGTAGTATAAAGGTGGGTTTAGACCAAACGAGCGCATGCTCATACTATCCTCACTCCATCAAATTCCTTTAGTGTAAACAGAGGCAGAGCATTCTTTCGTTTTTCTATCTCTGCTTGAAAAGATTCTATGGAATATTATAAGAACGCTCGCGCGCTTGATGTAAACGGCGCAAGAGCGAGCGAACAGTAACCTAGAGCGTTTTTTCGTGTTCAGACGTGCTCGCCCCTTGGGGCGGTTTCGTCAAAGCATTCTTGTGTATTAGTAAATCGGAGGTAATAAATGTGGTTATCATGGACTGGTCTCAAGAAAAATGTTTGCTCATAATCAAGACCTGCCCAAAGACACTTGACCAATCACCAACAAACACTTCTTTATCCTATCTAAGCATCTCTAGAGCATTTGCAAGAATTCTAATTCTTGTTGTTCTCATTCTCGCTCATTGGGATTATTTTGGTGCGAACGCTAAGGACTAAATTTTATTTTCACTACATTCTTGTTTTAGCTCTAGCTCTTTGTTCGTTTGGTCTAAACCCACCTTAAGAAAATAATCATAAATAATGGTTTTCTTTACATAAGGAATTACAAGCACAATTTCTCACCTCAATAAGCGATGGATTGAACAGCAAATGCATTTTGTGCCACTGTCCATCATTAACTCTGACTGTGTGAGCTATCTGACCCTTCGCCATCTTAACCCGTACCACTCCTTCGAGAATCTCCACAGCCAAGAAGTCAGAGCCGCGTCCTCCTCCAGGGTTGTACAGAATTACGGCGTTCGGTGTTATAGTTTTGAACTCTATCTGCCATCTGCAAGTCATGCGTTTATTCCAATGTGTTATCACTAGTGGTAGAGCCATGCTGCAGTTATATTACTGGTATAGTTGTAGCACGAATGGGTCGGCTCGACCGGGGAAGGACCACGCTCTCACAGAATACCAGCGTAAAATAGCAGCTTAACGCTGCGTGTTTCGTATGGTGAGTATAGAGAACCGGAGACCCTTTTTAATGGAAAAGAGGCATTCCATCTTAGTCCATGAGTGACAACGCATCTGCATTTTGATTCGTAATCGAAGATAGATGTAGATGTTTATGGGCCACAGCAACCACTTACCACTACTGTGTGCTCGTTTGTCACCCTTATCCTATAAAAATCAATATATTATTGTTGTTACACGAATGGATCGGTTCGACGCGGAAGGGCCACGCTCTTACAGAATACTACTGTAAAATTGCAGTTTAATGCTGCTGTGTTTCATATGGATGAAATGAGGCATTCCATATTACTCCTCAGGGGTGAAAACGCATCAGCTTTTTTATTTATTTTTATTTAATTACATAAAAACAAACAAAACACTCATTGTTTTGGCCTGCAAATCATTTTACATCCGATTATTATATTAGTTCGGTTGTTGTCAACTCGACTTTTTATTGCCTATTTATCAACTGTCAATAATGACATGTATGCAGTGAAAAAAAAATATTGGCTTTGCGCCTCCGTGTATAGTGAATGTTGTTTCGGTTATTTTTGCGAAGTATTTTGTTTTTGTTATAATGGACTCCGATACCGCTCCAATTGAAGACCCGGCTTTACCGTTGGATACTGAATCTACTCATGACGATGACCCTGGTGTTAAACGTAGAACTTTTTCCAGCGACAAGTTTTAGCATTACACATGCTAAATATGAACTATTTTTACACTCTCCTGCAACCTTATTACTATAATTTGTTTCTTTGAGGTATAAACTACTAAAAATCCCAGCCATTAAATATTATAGTTAATGTTCACGTTGAGCCAAATTACCCTAACAAACTGAGCAATTCCTTTTCATTTTGCAAATATATTGTATATAATATGACGGGTTCAATGACATAATACAGATACGTATGTTACATCTATAATGTGGGACGGGGGAATTCTCTTGCTACCGTCAATAATTGCTTTAATCGATGAGTCAGTAGTTCGAGAATGAAAGAAGAATCGATTACAATCGCAATTAAAAACGTATACCAATAAATCTTGAACAACTTTCGTAGCTATTACAAACGTGGTGGGTGGTAGGACTACTTTTCTGCGTAGATGTCCGACTGGGTAACTACCAGTTGTGCTGTGCTAAATATGGACTTGTGAGGCACTCCATCTTAGTGACAACGTAATCGTAGCTTTTGTTTGATGCCTGTCCTTGGATTGCAGTAGCCACTTAACAACAGGTCCACTGTAAGTTTGTTTGTCACCATATTATATTTAAAAAAATATATATATATAATAAAAATGAAAGTGCCAACTCACCTCCCTCCTGCCCTGGAATTGATCCTCGGTAAAATCAAATAAGCACCTTCGTCAACGAAACTTATATCGGAGTTAATATCGGCGTCGAACTCTGGGGCGCAATTCCAAGTGACTCCTTCTACATGCACAGAGCCACTGCGGCTACGGGCCTTGTCTATTATTTTAACACCATTGTAGTACACCTAGGACATAAACATTTAAAATGTCTTCATTACATTAATAAATAAAAACAGAAATTGATTTAGTATTAAATTACGCACATAAAGAATTTTTTAGAAAATTTATTAATTGGAATATAGCCCTCATTCAAAGATTGCCTCAGTACATGACTCTCATGCCGCCTACTCCTGCATGCCTCATCAGGTCACCACTGAATCTAGGAGTCCGCCCAACAAATCATTTGCCGAGACGAGCTACTGAATACATTATTTCTTGCTCTCTAGTTTTCGAGTCGGCATGAGGTATCGCGGCAAATTGCCACTACAGTTAACTAAACCGTGGCGCTATGACATTTTAGTTAATCTTGATTGAGCATTCAAAAATTCATTTTTAAAACAACTGACAATTGAATGTGTTATGGCAAACACTGAACTCATTTGGGTTGAGCGCTGGCTTGATACAGGCATTAAGGTCTCTTTATAGGGTTTCTAGTGCTTGTGTCAGGATCAACGGGGGCTACTCGGACTGGTTTGGCATTCATAAAGGTGTCAGACAGGGATGTGTAGCTTCCCCGTGGCTGTTTAACCTATTTATGGACAGTTGTTTGCAAACTTTGAAAGTTGAAGAATGTGGGTTGAGAATGGGTGAGTCAACCGTCAAATGCCTTTTGTACACCGATGATCAAGTCATATTTGCATCGTCGGCGGCCGAGTTGCAAATGAAAGTGAACGCAAGTAAGACGAAAGTGATGGTTTTTGAAAGAGAAGAAAGTAAAACTTTATGTGAAATAAGAATAGAAGGGGAGTTGATTGAGCAAGTGGATGAGTTTGTATATTTGGGATGTTTATTTAGCAGGGATGGTAGATATGATAAGGATATAGAACGACGAGTAAACGCAGGAAATAGAGTGAATGGGGCTCTACACGCTATTATGAGGAATCAGAATGTGTCAACTAAGGCACGTATGGCAATTCATAATGCTGTGTTAGTCCCTACTTTAATGTATGGTAGTGAAAGTTGGGTCTGGCAGAAGAAGCATGAGAGTAGAATGAATGCTGTAGAAATGCGTTCCTTAAGGAGTATGCTAGGGCTGAATCTGAATGACAGGGTGAGAAATAGTGTGATAAGAGAAAAGTGTGGTTTGCAAGATGACGTTGCGACAAGGATTAAGAAAGGAATGCTTCGGTGGTTTGGTCATGTAGAAAGAATGAACGAGGAAAGAGTGACAAAGCAAATTTATGTTGCAGAAGTGAACGGCAGGGTCGGGAAGGGACGCCCTAGACGAAGGTTTATCGACCAAATCGGCGATACATTAAAAATGGGCCAGATTAGGAGTACCCTTAACCGACGAGCGTGTATGCGTAGATATATGGATGTAAAAGAGGTGAGAGAGGTGTGTCAGGATCGCGCCAAATGGAAGTCCGTAGTCTCTGCCTACCCCTCTGGGTGACAGGCGTGAGTGTTTATGTATGTATGTATGTATGACAATTGCAGGTTGTGAGGCATTCCATCTTAGTCCTCAGAAGTAACAACGCATCTGTAACCTTCTTTATCATAATTATATAAATATAAAGTATCTTATAACTTAACTATTAATATAAAGTGGACTAGAAATTCGTTTGTTTTTTTTTCAAGAGTGAGTTTTATAGAAAAAAAAAGTTATTTTTCAGCATTACAAAAGTTTGGCGCAATGGAGCTTACGATAATCTAGTAAATTGATCTGAACATGCGATCATCGAACAAAATTATTTATATTTGCTGTTAGAACTTGTTCAAAATTCATTGCATCGTTATATCGCGTATTACAAACTTCGAAACTTGAACTAGAAAGTTAAGTGAAACGCTCGTTAGTTTTGTGCTTCAGTAATGGACGTCGCTGGAGTATAAATTGTGCATACGCGATTTAACTTTACGAACCGGTGCGGCAACTTGCCCTATATTCATTTTCTGAAATTATATTTCAATTACTGAACACGTAATGAACATAAATTATAATAGACGACAACGTTTAGAATAAAACTTCGACATCATACGAGGGTGGATTGAAAAGTACTCGGCCTAACCAAGAAAATAAACACATACTAAATCAGTTATATTTTTATTTTTCTACATAATCACCATCAAGTTCAATACACTTTTGCCACCTCCCCTTCCAAGCATTTAGACCGTTGAAAAAAAATGATTCTTCCTTAGAGTCAAAATATGCGTCTACAGCTGCTTTGACCTCGTCGTTTGTCGAAAATCTTTGACCTCCCAAGTGCTTTTTTAGGTTAGGGAACAGAAAGAAGTCTGATGGTGCCAGATCAGGTGAATACGGCGGATGCGGTAACAGTTCAAAGCCACAGTTGTGAATTTCAGCCATTGACTGTACTGACGTGTGAACACGGGCGTTATCTTGATGAAACAGGACTTTTCTTCTGAGCATTCCTCGATGTTTTTCTTTTATTTCCTCTCGTAAACGACGTAGTAAGGTGCAGTAGTAATCAGAGTTTATATTCTGACCCCTTTCAAGATAATCAATCATAATCACACCTTTCGAGTCCCAGAATACTGAAGCCATCACCTTATTTGCCGACAAAATCGACTTAGCCTTTTTAGGGGGTGGTGAACCAGGTCTTCTCCACTGTTTTGATTGTTGTTTTGTTTCCGGTGTACAGTAATGAACCCATGTTTCGTCCATAGTAACAAAACGATTCAAAAAGTCATCTGCATCGGCTTCAAATAACTCCAAACAGTCGCGTGAAATAGTCAATCGCGTCCTTTTTTGATCAACTGAAAGCAGTCGCGGAACCCACATCGCAGACACCTTGTGGAAACCCAACTCGTTGACAATGATGTATTGAGTTCGTTCATAAGAGATGCCTATAATCTCGGCTATCTCTCTAATTTTTAATCTGCGGTCTCCCATTATTAAATCAAGTACTTTTTTAATATTTTCGTCAGTAGTTGACGTCGAAGGCCTTCCAGAGCGGGGTTCATCTTTCACACTCTCTCTACCACGCTTAAATTCTGCTATCCATTTTTTGACGGATGAATATGACAGAGCACAATCGCCTAATGTACTGACCATGTCATCATGGATGGCTTTTGATGATAGCCCCTTCTTATGGAGGTACTTAATGACGGCACGCTGCTCGATTTGCTCCATTCGCGGAAATTATGTCCGATTACTTTGTTAATAAATTTATAAAATCACAACTAATTATCGCACACGTTTCGAACTTCACACAATGAACTAGTCTGAACTGAACTAAATAATGTGGGTAGATTTGATTTTTAGAATTGAATGGATCTGTGTTAGGCCGAGTACTTTTCAATCCACCCTCGTATATCACTAAATAATTTTTTTCTTTTTTTTTTAAATAACGTTACCCCCACACTAGGATAATTGCAGAATTATCGAATATAACAAAAAATTAAGAAATAGTACCATCCATTGGAAAATGAATAGCTTTTTAACGACAAATTGACTTTTTTCTGGTTTCTTGACAGGAGGCTTAATTCCTAAATATAGAAATGTAACCAAACCGTTGCGAGGCACAGCTTTTGTACTGTACTATTGCGTGCTGTGCTGTATCTGTCTGTGCCTGTGTTAAAATACCAATATCAATTTTTTGCTTTTCGGGGTTTGGATTTTAACTTTTTTTTATAATATTTATTTTATTTTTATTTTTACAAAGATTCATAAAAGTTGCAATCAACTTCAACTAAAGATGGTCCCAAATGCGTATCACCCCTAAGTAGGGATTGAAAAGTTTTCCAAAATTCGTATTTAACGGATATACACACCGACATTTTGTATATACGACAATATTATATTTCTAATTTAAGTTATAATATCTAATTTATATACAATAATATTGAATGTTGACGATATGATATTTTATAATTTAGGTATGTTTAAAAGTTAGATTATACAAAAATAGTTAGTCCTCTAGTGTTGCTATGCCCTTGCAGAGCGTCACATGTATACCTATAGTCGTATTTTTAATTAGACGAAGTCAACTGACGTTTACTGTGTTGTCAGTTTTTGATGAAATAAAAATAGTGTTGTGACAAAGTGAATGATTGAAAAACTCCTGAATTAATGAAATTGCCTCGATTGTCTAGTGAATAGTTAGTGTGCTGAACTGCCGATATCGGGTACGGGGTTCGAATTTTAGTCGTGCTTTGTACATACCAACGAGTTTTCGACGACTATGTTCCTATAATATCTACCTATACTGAATACCGAGTGTTTTAAACATTAAGGAAAATATTGCGAGGAAACTTGTAAGACTGTCCTATTTTCAATACATCATGTAGTTGAAACTATAGATGTATAAAATATAACAATTATAGGTAGGTAATGAGAATAAAAAAAATCGCTTATTACATAATTTGTTTTTATTCATTATCAGATAAAAAATCATCACTATCGCTTTCGGTGACATTAATTAAAAATCTGTCAGTAACATTGTCAATCATGTGGTCGAGACCATACATTTTGTCTTCTTTTTTAATTATATGAGACACGCAGCTATTCCATTTTTCAGGTGTGATATGTTGAAGTCCTTCTTCAAAAAGTTTTTTTACTTCTGTCATTTTGAAGGTTTTGTTATTTCTTGCAACATATCCTTTAGCCTGCGCCCATACCAACTCAATGGGATTGAGCTCACAGTGGTATGGGGGCAGACGTAAAACAATTATCCCATGCTGCGCTGCCATCTCGTCCACAACATACTTATCGCAATGTTCTTGCTTGTGCTGCCGTACAATGTCTATAAGAGTAGCTTTAACCATTGTTGCTTCGAATGAAATATTTTTGCTCGTTAGCCACTCTAGTATTCTAGGTTTAGTCCAAGACATTTTAGGCAGCGATTCTAGTTTCCTGGAGTGGTAGGGGGCATTATCCATCACTACTACGGAATTTGGTTTTAGTTTTGGCAAGACCCCCCTAAACCACTTCTCAAAGGAATCGGCATTCATCTCTTGATGATAATCTTCTTTATTTTTTTTGGCTTCAAATATTAATAAGCTGTCTTCTACGAATCCTTCTTCCCCGCCTATATGGCCGATAATTAATCGTTTGCCCTTTCCTGAAGGCTGTTTTAAGCCAGTGGTCAAGCCATCTAGGAAGGCCTGGCGGGACGATAACACTGTCTGGTCAATCCATGCCTTCTTCGGTGCATGACCTTCAAGATAGTGAAAAATATCAATTAATTATTGAAAGTACAATTTAATGTAAAGAAAACAGAAAATTGTAATTACCTTCGTTGATCCAGGTTTCATCTTGGTAATAAATATACCTTCCTTCCCTTCGATACTCTTTAATTTTTCGAAGGTATCGCTGGCGCCATAGAATAATGTCCTGTCTGTCAATTAAAATGCTGTGTCTTGATTTTGTGACATATTTGAAATTTAAATGTTTCATAACATTTCTTAATGTACTCCAAGAAAAATTGGGTAAGTCTGGGTCTTCATTGACAACCTTAAGAATCTGTAAAGTAATAAAAATATGTTTTGAGTAAGGAAGTCTACGCAATCTAATACTTTGGTTTTACAAAGAACATTATGGTGGACACAGAATATAATGCAGTAGAAGGAATAAAGTTTAAGTTACCTTTATAATGGTGGGTGACTCATTTGCATAAAAAAAATTATGTACTTTTCGCCTTATAGCGGCAAAAGTAAAATCGTCTAATTTATCTTTGAAACTGTGTTTCGGTCCACGTTTCTCGGGAGACTTAAATTGTTCATTTTCTTTGCATTCTTTTAACACACTGTAAACTGAGGTCACACCAATTCCCAAAATGTCAGCTGTTTTCGAAACACATTCTTTTTTTTCGGGGGCCTCAATAGGTAATAGTGAAGCAGCTTTTTCCTCAAATACGTGTTTGTAGACGTTTTGTATCATAAGTTTTTCGGTAACGCTTAAAGCAATCCGTGGTCTCTTCTTTCTTGGAGACAAGCTTTGGCTTGACGTGCTTGGTTGAGGATCCATATCATTTGTACGAAACAATATAGCAACAAATAAACACAACAATTACCACAAGCACAACGTAACGAAAAACTTAACAAAAACAATAACTAAACAGCGTGAGCGCAGAAAAAACATTCGTGCTATCAGACCAGAGGTTAGAAGCCGAATAACAAACAAAATGGCGACCGACGCGCGCGGCGTTGATCGGTGTTGGCAGTAGTCGCCGCGCCGCGCTTTGTAATAAAACCTCAAAAAACTGATTGTAGTTACATACTACTAGTAACTTATATCAGAGCACTTTTATACAATTTTATTGTAAAATAGAAATAATATTCTTTTATAGTTTGAAATGATTAACTATACACACTCATTGTTCATTCATCTGATTGAACGAGAACTGAACGCATCACTATTACTTTAAATATGGCAACATTATTTTACAAAGTGACATTAGCTACTGTCAGTTGGCTTCGTCTAATTAAAAATACGACTTTATCAAATGTAACATCTTAAATTTGTAATGTGACATGCAATAAACAATTTGAATTTGTATAAAATACCGGAAATATTTTTAACGATTCAGATTCATTATCATATATCATATCATCATATCATATTCCGTAACAAGAACCTTTAGGAAATTTATTTCACCCCTACACTAGCGAAACAAGTTCCATACAGAGCCGAAACCGTATTTGGAATCGGTTTTCAAGGCCTGCTGATGAGAACTATAACTGCCCTTTATTGCTTTAAGGCGATACACAGGTGTGGGTGTACTGTAGGTTGGCGAGAGGGATTGTCAAAATGGTTCTACGAACCGGCAACCCAAGCAGATTACTAGACAGAAAAAGAGCCCTTCTACCTCTATTGTACGCTTATACGCTATGTAGTATATGCTTCTGCGCCAGTTAGATAGACCTCTTTCCAACCGCTGATAAAACTCGATTCGATCACCTTTGTTTTATTTTTAATTATTCAAAAAGGCCAACTGCAATATTCATGTAAACATACAAAATATTGACTCTCAGTTCCCAATTTGTATTCATTTATAGTGTCAGTCACGGTCACCAAACCTACTTATAATCTTACCGCATTCTCGTTATGATACGAACTGACTTGCAAAATGCAAAATACAGCACTTTCAATATCCCACGAAAGTGACAGACGTAGGCAGATATAGACTTGCTTTAGACCATCACACATGAAGATTCCTTGATGTATTATATGATACAAGATACAGGGACAGGGAGGTTAAAAGAGATGTAAGACTATTTTAACGCATACGTTTACAGCACTAATCTCTTATACCACAAGTTCAATTAAATAGCATAATCATCATTACTTACCAAATATAAATACGAGTCAAAAAAGGATAAAGTAAAGGTAGGCAACGTTTGTGAAATATGATAGCAAAACATTTTTATAACTTTTCCCAAAAAAAAAACACCCTTTTTGTAGACCTTCGTTAACAAGGTAACCTATCTCAAGTTTTGAAACTTAGGTTCCCTTTGGGAAACCTTAAAACTCTTAAGAAACTATTGCGCACTTTTTGCTACTTATTAACTTTTAGGAAGTTTTGAAACTAGAATACATATAAAAACAGTTACGCACGTCTTCCATACAGCCACGAAAATTTTCCATGTGCCCCAAGAACAGTTCCGAAAAGTCGCCTTGACCGCCTAGGAATATGCCGAAGTGTATATTCAATTCGAAAAATCTTCCCGGAAGGCGCTTCTTAACTGTGCTCTCGTCCACCTAAAACAAAATAATATTAGAATATAAATAATACTTCATTTGTTATACATAGGTATTACATATCAAAAATTAGGAAGGCTTTAGTAGCAACAGTATTCCAGATATCGAGAGCTACGATTTAACAAGCAACTCTATGTGCGTTTGAAAACTAATAAGTTTCAGACACATTAAAACACAGGCGGAATAGTCCTCGAAAGGATGGGAACCATGCAGTTTTCCTCTGACAAACATTATTTAATGGTGCTAACATTAGCCATTCCCGATTAAACGAGTTATACGCAAAGGACAATATATTATGAAGCCTTTCTCAAACATCAAACTTAGAACTCTTATAATGATTTTATGAAGAAGTATAATTCTCTAAATGCATATAGTATAATATCCGATTGCAAATTTTAAGAAATATAGGTATTTTGCTTTTAAGTCTTAGCATGTTTCAGTAGGTGTTATTTTTGACAAATTGAAAAAGTTGATAAAGTTCAGAAAGAAGGAAATTCTCAATTAAACGGTATTTTGTTTCTTTTATTCTTTGTATGTATGATACACGATACATTGCCAATTGTAAATAACAGCTATAAAAATATTAAAAAAGGCATATTATACCTAATAGCACATATTTTTGTAAAAATTTGTAATTTTTCTCATTACCAATGTTGCTCGATGTTTTAAACGAATTATTTCATGTTTTCTCGTCAGGAATATTGGAGGTGAGGTAGGTCCTTATCATCGCCATCGCTATATCTCGTCCGAGGCGTGCACTAAAGTGAAGTGACTATGTGCCACTTAAGTTTAAAAACACATCTTTCCTCTTAAAGATACATCGCATATTCTGAGTGTGAAGGCGAATACAATATAAAGGACAAAAATACAGTGTCGTGTTCCACTAAGTTCCGTCAAACTGCTGCCGTTGTAGAACATCGTCCACCAGTGCAGATAAAAAGCTATTCACCTCCCGAAAAGAAAATTATGATCATGTTATGTGTATCTATATTTGTCTTGTGATCACTATGACTGTTTTATATATGTGTAAGTCATCGAAAGAACATGGATGTGAACCTCAAAATTGCTTAACTTAAAGTTGGCTTATTGAACTTGGGACTCAAGCAGGGTTGTTTTTATGGATCTAGATAAACACAACAGAGATTTCGAAACGCTATGGGGTGGATGTGTTAGGTCTAACTATCATTAATATTATCCGTCTAACATTAGTTGCTATGGAATCTTTAATGCCCGCTGATTCTTTCACGAACACAACTAATGCCAGCCGTTAGTAAATCTAAATTAGAAATAGAACGTTTATTTTGTAAGTTTTGCGTAACTCTTAAATAAAACTATTTATATGTAAACTAACAATTATTTATACTTATATTTAAAGCTTTCTCTATTACATTTTTAACACTATTTCATCTCTTCAAACCATTTTTGAAAACATAAGGGCCATTGGTCTAACGACTTGATTTTTCAGGTGCTGATTGAAATCTATCACAGCTTCTTATAGCTCCGTAAATGTCAAACCTCTTATCAAATCTATCAGTTTTGGGAAAATAAAGATATCGCATGGTGTGAGGTCAGTACTGTGTGCGAAATGAGTCACGAGCACTTTTTTAGAAGCCAAAAATGACTTTTCCATGTTCGCGATGTGCGCCGAAGCATTGTAATGATGCACTAGGTTGCGACTTCTCGGTCGTTTTTCCCTAACTTTTTCAAAGGCACTTGGCAAAGAATTGGTGGAGTATCATGTGTGCTCAGACACTAACTGTCTTTTGCTCATCAAGTTGGATCGTGCAGACAGGAGCCGTCTAGGAGAAAAAAAAAACAATCATATTTTTCTCCACGCTTCCTGCCTACCTCGATTTTGTTGGTTTGCTATCGCTTTCAAATATCCATACAGAAGACTGTTGCTTTCTTCCCGGAATATAACAATATTATACTCAAACTATGGTCAAGGAATTTCAAATGCTATACTATGCTAACATAATTTTTTACACCAATCAACTTGAGCCCGTTTATGAGGAAACCAGCACAACAAAATTTTCTAACTTTTAAATGTTAACGTACATTTTTTTGAATTTCGCATATACTTCCTCCTCATATGTGATGCGCCGGTTTTCTTCAATCAGTCATCTGACAATAGCAACATTTTTTTTAAATTGAATAAGGGTGACGAGCCCACAGTCGACCCGATGGTAAGTGGTTGCTGTGGCCCATAGACATCTACATCTATCTTCGATTATGAATCAAAGCGTTGTCACCCGTGAGGACTAAGATGGAATGCCTCGTTTCCAGTAAAAAGGATCTCCGGTTTTTTACGCTCACCATACGAAACACAGCAGCGTTTATGCTGCTATTTTGTGATTGTAGTTGAGAGTCAACCTTCACGAATTACATCATGGACGGATACACGGCTAAGATAAATTTCTACGTTCAAGCATCTTACGGTGCTCAAATGAGGTGTTTCCCGTTTTTTAAAATCGTAAAAATCATCGCCCGAAAATCTTTTCGCGTTAATTCCCTTTTTGCTACGAATGTATGAGTATATGTAATAAGGCGTGATCCATTTCGACGTTCCCTACTTTTTTAAAGAAAAAAACACAGAAAATTCAAATTTAATGGAGAATGTTTATAATCATTTGAAAGAACATTCTTTGGCATTTATTTTTTGAAGATTATGTCTATCAAATGTTGGCCGTTGCTACGTCGCAGATGGTCCATCAGTTGAGTCCAATTTTCGATGACTCGTTCGAGCATTTCGACTGGTAACTAGCGAATGACACGCGTGATGTTTTCCTCCAAGGCCTGAATCGAAGCGGGTTTGTCCGCATAAACTTTAGACTTTACATATCCCCACAGAAAAAAGTCTAACGGTGTGATATCACACGATCTTGGTGGCCAATCGACCGGCCCAAAACGTGAAATTATGTGCTCACCGAAATGTTCTCTCAATAAATCCATTGATTGATGCGATGTGTGAGAAGTGGCACCGTCTTGCTGAAACCAAATGGCGCCGAGATCACGAGCTTCAATTTAAGGCATCAAATAGTCGGTTATCATGGCACGATAACGGTCGCCATTGACGGTTACTTTCGCACCGGCATCATTTTTAAAGAAATATGGACCGATGATTCCTCCGGCCCACAAACCACACCCGTTGTTTTTTCTGAATGAAGTGGCAGTTCTTGAATCTCTTTAGGTTGTTCTTCGTCCCAAATGCGGCAATTTTGTTTGTTTACATACCCATTGAGCCAGAAATGGGCCTCATCGCTAAACAAAATTTGCCTCGAAAACGTCGGATCTTCTTGGAACTTTTCAAGAGCCCATAGAGCGAAGCGATATCGCTTGGGAAGGTCGAGCGGCTTCAGTTGTTGCACAAGCTGTATTTTGTATGCTTTCAATTTAAGATCTCGACGTAAATGCGCCAAGTCGTTCCATACGACAGTCCGAGTTGCTGCGAACGGCGCCGAATCGACTCTCCACGGTCTTCGTGTACACTCTCAGCTACGGCCGCTATATTTTCTTCACAGCGTGCTGGACGTAGTCTATTCGGTGGAATATTATCCAATAATGAATGCTGGGTCTCAAAATGGGTGATGGTGTTGCGAATAGTACGCTCAGTAGGCCGATTATGTTGACCATATGTTGAGCGAAGTGCACGAAACACATTCCTCACAGAACGTGAATTTTCGTAATAAAGTTGAACGATTTGTAAACGTTGTTCAGGCGTAAGTCTTTCCATTATGAAATGCCAAACAATACTAAACAAAAATAACATGACAACATGACACGACTCACACATGATCTGTAAAAAAAAGGCTATTGAAAAAAGTATCTCTACTTGAATCACCCTTTATGTATAACCGAGCATTGGCTTAGAGATTTCGAAATTTCATTTCATAATATGATGTTATGTGATTGATTAAGAGCATGTTTTGTAGAAAGTCTGCAATAAGAGGCGGTTCTCTTATATATATGTAAATAATAATTTAAAATGTAAAACTAGATATCGAAATAAAATCTATAGAACGAGTTATTTAACTGTCCTGCATTGAACTGGAAAAACATATCATAGTAAGCATATATATACCTCCTGCATGGTACTTATTGGCTATTGAGTATGTCATGGAAGATATTTTAAAATCAATAGAAAAAAGTAACAAGTAGATTATTGTGTATGGTGATTATAATATTAATTTTATTGAAAAGTCATCATATTCAGATCGAGTAATTTATTTATTTAAATCATTCAATATAAGTAAATTATTTCATCAACCTACGAAAATTACAGCTAGAACAGCCACTTTGCTTAGACAGAATTTTAGTAATTGTGGAGCCACAGAATATACGATTATTAACAAATTATAATCAGATCACTGTGGTCAACATTCGTTATTTCCTGCCAACAATAAGAAGGCAATAGACCAAATTTCATGCAGAACTGTTAACGGGCTTCGATAAGAACGCTTTAGGAGTCTTTTAAATAAAATACTATACTGCATTATTAATATAGAATCAAATGACCCTGACACCTTATACAAGCTGTCCAGTAAATAGTACGACATAGTGCAGGGCGTGATAGCTTGGGTCAATAACTACCAAAACAACACAGTATTTGTTCCGCAAAATGTTACGGATTTAAAGTTATACTAAATTATCCAAAATGTCGAAAATCTCTACCTTGAACCAGATTTTTAAGCATCTCGTAATCAAAAATTCATTTTCTACTATTTTTTTAATTCAAATTATTTGTGAATAGTCACTCTACTCAACGATAAGTCTTTTTTTTCTATCAAAAACAAAAATGTGAGCAAGAAATAAATATTTTTAAATATTTTTCACGGAACAATTTTCTTATCGCTTCACTTTAACCTACAGTGGTGGAAAAAAAATGTATGTGACAGTTTTGTACAATAACCTTAAAAAATGGCTTGTTTGATGGTGGTTTCGGAATGGTACAACACTAGCGCATTTTCTTTAAAAATAATGAAAAATATGCTATTTTTGTTCCAGATAAGCTGATTTTGTTTAAAAAGCAATTAACGTAATTTTGACAAAAACTAATACGAGAGTAATGTTATTGCTGCTCATTTACGCAAATTATTATAAAATAAGTTGTAACACCTTAAATGCGATATGCACGCATAATGGATAAAGGACAACGGAGGATGTTACCTGCTCGCCGACCCAACCCGACTGGTAATATGACAAATAATGTAGATTTGTTTAAATTTTGCTATTGTTGATTGTAAGAAGAAGTGTAAAGAGCATTTTTTATGTTTTCAAATAAAAGTATTATAACTATTAAAATTATTTTATTACACATTACATTGCTGGGTAATAACTGCATAATTATTGGATAATTATCAATCATCAATGGACATTGCTATCTTGATAAATTGCAACCCTGATTCTAGTAATGTACTATAAAAACATGTGCTGAATAACTACAACCTTCCAAGTCTTTTCAACACAAAACTCCTGCTATCCTCTGAGGCAAAATATTTAGGTTTTACTTTGACTAAAATAACTGTAAACTCAACTGGAATAAAGACATAGAAAACAAAATCAACATGCCTAGTGTAACTTTCTGGCAATGCAGAAACACAATTGGCAAAAAAGGGGTCTTTCACCAAAATTATGTGGCTCTACAAAATTGAATTCTTCCCAGAGCACATATGGTGGTATGGTATAGTGGACCAATGTGAATGAAACCAGCACTATAAAGAAGCTTCAGCAATACCAGAGACTAACATGTACGGCTGCCACACACCAACAGCAGCCTTAGAGGTTATGCTGCAGCAAACCTCGCTGTACTATAGCTGTTATATATATGTTATATACATCATTTAGTTTACAATGGGCTATTTACAGTAACTCCAAGTCTATGCATGTATTTTTCATGTGGGTGTTTTTGTGTTTGTAATATGGCCTTTTAACTAATGATCAAAACCTGCATGACCAAAAATTTTGACACACTACAACTTTTCTTGACACTTTCTTACCAACTCGTCACAAAATCAACCAACCCAACTTTACAGAGCCGAAGGGCAAGAATTGCGAAGAGACAATGGTGCAATTCCTACTTCAGTGGACTGCAGTTGCCTACTACATGGCTAACTACCTCCTCGTTTTGGGTTTGCTGCCATGATCTAGATATTAGGATTCCAATTATTCCTATTCCTAGGATTAAGTATGTATATTTTTAATAACTATATTCTATTTATTTATACTTTATTGTATCTTATATCTTTATTACTTATATTTATTAAATTTATGAAGTCATTGTTTACACCTACTAGTTTTTCAAATCATCCATGATTGACTGGTAGAGAATGCTATAAAGCATTAAATCTGCCTTTCATATCCCTTAATATAAGATGTGTAATAAACGTCAAATAAATAAAAATAAATAAATTACTGAAGGAGCTAGAATGGCTGGAATAGTATTAATTCCTACCTACACACATAATATGTGCTTAATTGTAAAAAACAACTTGTGTAACACTAAAACTACCTAGCAACAAATTTAAAATTAAGAAATCCTTAGAACACAGTGACTAACACAAAATGTACTTTGATGGAATTTGGAATTTCTGTAGTTTATCAAACTTAATAATCTAGTGACAGAAAACCTGTATATTTTATATTTCATACCTTCATGGTAAGATTTGCTTCTCTTCGTATGATACTAACATGATGCCATTGTGTATCATTTAGATGAATCCCTTTAGGTGATGATAGCTCACTCTCACCTGCTCCAAGATTAATATGCAGTTTTAAGCGACCACTCTCCAAGCGAATCTAGAACAATAGTATAGTAAAAATTATATAATTTCATAAATATATAACTAAAATAGTTAAGCTAAACTTGGAGAACTTTATGAGATACATAAAAAATAAAATACAGTAAACATTGTCTTTTTTTAAACGTAAATAAAGTTAATACAGCAATAATATGAATAATGTAATAGATGCAAGTGTTAAAGGAAAAAAAATTTTAACTTAAATATTAGACAAACTGCATTATAATTGTTGCTACTGAATACATACCATACAATAATCAGTTTTTCCAGCAGCAAGTAGAAGCAGAGCATCAGAAAGATGAGTTCGAAATTTAAAACTTATGTCTGTTATTCCTTTGGCTTCTTGAAGAGGGTATGATATGTAACTGGCTCCATAAAATGATGCTGTTAGAAAAATAAATTTTCTTAAAAAAATTACAAAAATATAAATATGTAGTTACATTCAATACATACAATTTTCTTTACTTTTTTATAGTAATATTTATGCGAACTTAAATCTTTAACGAAAAGAGTAACATTTGAAGTTAAAAACTCAAAGGTAAATTCATATTGTATAAGTATAATAAAGTTGTTTTATTGCCTTAAAATATCGTACGATGTTTGTTTTAAAGACAAAAATAAACTTACCTTTATCATATGCCAGGCCAAAAGAAAAAAGAGACAAAACTAAAAGCAACTCCATTTTAAAGTAATTAAGTACTATCATATGAGACATACAAAACATAAAATCAGCACATTTTAGTAAACATAATATTAAGTGTTGTAAAACTTTTACGCGCCCCTTCACAGAGCAGCACATTACATTGTGGAGACATCTTCAAATCAACATTGCAATTGAAGACAGCAGGCGTGGCGTCACACAAAAGGAATACTATGGTTGTTGTTCACTGTGGATAAATCATATTTATCTTTAACATTATTATTTTCCCTAAGGAAACATACAGTCACTAAAATTATATTTTTGTTAAAGTTATTGGTAGCTCAGTCAGTTTTAAAAATAGTGCCTAAATCTAGAAAAAAAATAATATCTTGTCTTGTAAGTATTTGTACTCTAAATTCTGATCTGAATACCATAGATAAATAAATATGACTATGTAGCAAGCAAAGCTGAGCTAAACGAAGTAGTCTTGGGTAGTTCGCAAACGACCTAGGTGGGAAGATCGCTCTTTTAGGTGAACTATGCGAACTAGTTCGTCGACAATCTCGCTATTAGTTCTTTAAATATTTATTTTTCTGGCGTCCGCTCTATTATGTAGTAGCGCTGCATGGCTAACAGACTGATTTATTTTTACTCTTACTGTTCTTACCAGAGTTTCTTATTAAAGTGTATAATTTATAGTCTATAGTAAAAGTTTTATTAGTGCACAATTCACAACAAATAACAAATATTGTTGGCTCACAATATTAATATGAAAGTGATAGTAAACAGTACATAAATACCGCATAGTTGTCAATTTGACCTTACGGTAAGTTTATTCAAAATTGAAATTTTACTTTTCTATTTCAACTAATTTTAACAAATACTCGAATATAGTGCAACCTCGATATAACGAAACTGAATGGAAGTAGAAAGTATTCGTCATTATACCAAGTAATTCGTTATAATAATGTTTGTTATATAGAGGTTAGGTGGAACTACGATTCGTTTTAACAAAGTAAGAAAACTTGTTTATTAATCTCAACATTACGTAAATAGTCATCTGCCTGTCATGTATGTGTTTGAACCTGTCAGGACATGATTTATTGTGGAATTAAGTGGGAATAATTGATAGGATATGTTATGTCAAGATTTCAAGTTGAAAAAATTGGTTTAATAGAGATAAGTAATATATATATTCTGCAATGATTAAACATTTGTTATAAAGATGTGTTTGATAAAATCTATTCGTAATGTATAATTATATTTTGCATTTGCTCTTATAAGCAGTTCTAGGGGATTTCGAAAATTCGTTAAATCGTGGAATTCGTTATATAGAGGGTTGTTATATATTAATTAGCGACATGTAATCTATAAATTGCAGTTGTGTTATTTTCACTACTTCAATACACTTCAAAATATAAAAACATGTTTAGGTTCGTTTATTATATTTTACTTTAATTTCCATATCATTAAATAGTTCTTGATAAGTATCTTGCATATATTATATATATATATATATATATATATTATGTAGTATATTATATACTAATTAAGCCAAGAATATTTTTTAAAGTAAATTCAATTAATTTTTATTTACTGACATTAAATAAACTCATCCTTTTTAATTAGATCTACTGAAAAATTAAAAAAGAAGTAACGAACTAAATGAACGAACTAGTTCACTATAGGACTACGAACTAAATTGAGCGCTCCCAATGCCACCGGCTACGAAGCGAATGCCAGCTTTTTTTTAGTTTATGGCACGAAATGTCAGTTTTTTTTTTGGAGTTTATGGCCTGGTATCTAGACCTTTAGGCCAAGTCTTAAGTATTTTTATTCGGTTTATTGTAATTTCCCCACTCCTTCATAGTATACTGCTTCACAATATGTTGATGCGTCACATTGTGCAGTTCTTGGGAGATTTTGGCGGCAACTTGATCCAGCAGACAGCTGATAGTTGGCGATGGTATCTAAAGGTGCCTATGCAAACAAACAGCTTATCTTGAGAATCCATCACCATCAGAGCACTTGTTTCACTGTTTCCACTAATAGTTCACATGCGTAGACACTTAATACACAAAATCGCAACACTTTTACATATCAAAGTCCACTTCAAACCATTATTTAAACAATAATACAGGAGCAGCAAACCGCCGCCGGTCAATTTCCCGCCAAAACTCCACGAAATGTCAGCAGTAACAGGCAGGGTTCCCAACTTATATTTTTTAGTAGATCGTACCATAAACTGGAAAAGTTGGTATTTTGCTCAAAACACAAAAAAAAAGATAGAACGCATCAACATTTCAATAAAACAATGGTAAAAAATACAAAAATATTATTATTATAATGTTTAAGCAAAATTTTACAGTTAGGGTATAACCATATAACATTTAAGAATCTCACATTAAAATTTACTACGACTTTTTTTTATTAAAAAAAGGGGCTTGTACTATGTCCACTCTGCCCTCTATTATAAAAATAAGAAAATAAAAATAACAAAATATGTAATATATGATTATCTGCGTAGTGTAATATTATTTGTGGTGTATTTGTGTGTAGCTTGATTATCTCTTCTTCCAGCTTCAGGATCTTTTCATATGTACTCAGGGTGCGTGCGTTATATGTTGCCAGGTTGAGTCGTCGTAGATGGCAACCGAATCTCCACCGGAGATTCTTAGCACCCCTTAGTTGTTTTGTAAATTATAAAATAAATATTACATTTTAAAGTGTATCGAAATTGATACTGTTACGAGCTTGGGGTTCGAGGCAATTAAAAACTGCCGAGTGAATTACCAAAATTGACACTTTAATTACTGAACACTAATTACAATTCAAAACCCCATTAATAACAAAACACAATTGTACTACTGATCACTTTAGTTCGCAGTTGTATCGCTTCGAAGTATTCAGTTGTATCGTCAATTCTATACTTACTGGGTCGCGGTCTATATCGGCCTTATATAGGGCCTCAGATAATTTACAGAAGCTTCTACTGTTGAAACATCTAGAATGTTCTAGTACATACCGGTCCCGACTGACTATTATAGTACTTGAAAGTTCTCCCATGGAAATTTCTAGAAGGATCTTGACTCGCCTAGTCTGCTACTCAGTACTAGAAGGCGCTAGGGGTAACTAGTGTCGCCATGTACCATGCATTAATAGTGGTGCGCAGCAATACGAATTCGATACTCTAAAATAGATTTCGAATATCGATATAACGTGATTAAAAATACCGATAATTGCGTGATATTTCGATATATCTGTATTTTTTACCATAGACTTAGTATCTTATCAATCCTCTACGTCTATCTACGTTTTTTACCCAAGCCCAAGCCAAAGTTCGAGTTATGGAGTGTAAAGTACAAGGAGAACCATCTTATAAGGGGTGAAAGTTCAAAAAGTGTCCTACTATTTACTTAAAATAGAGGTTCCAAAACCTACCACAATAGCGCTGGCGTCTGAAAAACTACGATATGAATATAGCTGCTGTGAACGGAGTGAAGTCAGCTGATGATGAAATTTTTTAAATATTTGAATATTTAAAAAATTTCATGATTAGAGTAGTTAGTAAAATGCCAGTATACAAAATCTCAACTATTTACGTAGTACAAAACCAAGCGGATTGGTCGGTCCTTGTTTATTTCTCCATCTTATTCTAATTAATTTTGGCGCTTTTTTTTTAATTTATCCTATGCTACTGCAGCGCCACCCTTATTGGACACGTTTTTAGGGACGCTTTTCATATATAGAGATGGTCCTCCTTCTCTCTACACTCCATAGTCCGAGTGTAATTACACAGAGTACCTTTATAAAATGAAAGTGTATTACTTGGTCTATACTCTATGGTGTATCGTATATACAGCAGTAAGGCCCATGAAGTTATAGATAAAGATGGAGGCCACACTTGGAACAACAGCTTGAGTCAAATACCTACGTATCTTTATCTCACTCTCTGTGGTCCGACTTCTCTTTTTAGTGTGGAACACAATATTGCTATGTTTTTATTTGAATCTCTACTGTACTGGCTGTAATATTGAAGACCAAACTAGTAAAAAACTATGTCGAAAAATTCTTGAAAATTTATGCAATCTTAACAAAGTACCTGTAAGTGTCCTTTTCCTTTATTACTAATTACATACCTTTTATTTGTATTTATTATGACTTTAATATTACATTACATAATGTATTATATAGCTTAAAACACATACATATTTAAACTCTTTAGTGCCAATCGCAGTGTGGTAACTACTACGACACTAAGCATAAAGCTTCTTGTTTGATGCTTCATTTATACGTGCTCATGAAGGCGCGCTCCGGTGTATTATATGTTACCTATTAAGTGATGTAAATTTGTACTGACATTATGATGTAGAAGAGTTATTTGTTTCTTTTTTTTGTTAGAGTTCTCTAATCTCTGGAACTATACCAGTCTGATTTGAAAACATTTTTTTGCATTTTTAAAACCAATTCTTCAGGAAGTCTATCTATTTATTTATTCTACTTCTTTGAATGCTTATGCGTATGCTTTTGTAAATGTATTTGATCACTGTGTTTGTTTGTTGCACGGAGGATTGAAATTGAATTGTATGCCCTTTGAATGCTTGCGCATATGTTCTGTAAATGTGTTTGATCACTGTGTTTGTTTGTTGCACAGAAAATTGAAATTGAATTGTGTGACCTTTAAATGCTTGTACATATGTTTGACATCACGCTACGACCCTGTACCCCTACGACGATGTACGATGCTAAAAATACTGATTTCATAAAGTTTTCTTGTTTTCTTAGGTCAGCAGTGAATACGACGACGTGCAAGTGAAAATAAAGTGTACTAAAGAAGAAATACTTGAGACGAAAACTAAGATTCTTAAGCAAAAAGTGGCGCGCCAAACTAAAAAATTCAGGATAGGTCTTCTTTAATGGACACTATTAAAAAGTATACGGGTCAGTCAGAAATTGAAAATATTATTCAAGGGCGCTTTGCTCATATCTGTAAGGACTTCAAAAAGCCACAGAGTAATCCACATGGTGTGAAAAATTCAATAAATAATTTTAATATGGAAAGTGTTTTTATTTATTTTTTTAAGGTTTTTAACAAACCATGTAGTGGTGGTGTGAGAATATCCACTACCCCATATCGTTCCGAGGGTGTTGTAAGAGGTGTCAGAGGGAAAATGAAACAGGAGGTGGGCAGCGGCATTTTCCTGATAACAACTCAAAATAATAATATATTATCGTTCCTATTATAGTACATGTTACTAGAAATCTAGGAAATCCGTTATTATATAGAATTCCTAGGAATTGTAGATAATTCTTAAAATGAAGTGGATGTGTGGAATATAGTATTATACACATTTCAGCTCAGAGCAGCCTGACTCGGATGGGTTAGGTCAGAAGGCTAAGGCAGGAGCTCCGCTACGCTGCTTTAGTCCTCGTGATATTTTTTTTAAATAATTGTCCAGAAATAGATTTAGTCTGTCTGAACAATAAATCAGGTATATTTTGCCCAATTCATTGATCACCCGGGGTTATAATAAATTTTAATTTTATATTTCGTTGGTACCGTTTAGGAATTGTATACAATAACCAGAAAATACGTTATTGAAATGGTAGTTATAAAATATTCTCTGATATATTTATTTTCCACATTTTCTAAATAGGCTCGGCATTATATGGGTTGTGACGGAAATGCGTGGTCATATTTTAATACCGGTTCTGCCCATGGAAATGAAAACCTTTCTTCATAAAACTAGTCAATTCCCAAAAAAAATTGTACAAAAATATATAATCTATATAGACTAGGTCTTAATAGTAAACAGAGATATAGATATTTATAAATAAAACACTTAATGTAACTCAACTACTTATAGCGATATCCTGGGAAAAATAAAATAAAGGTTACCTACTTAGAAAGGGAGGGCCTGCCCACAGAGAGCGAGATAGTAATACATAGGTTAAGCTTCAAGTAGGTATTCGGAGTGTGGTCTCCATCTTTATCTATAACTTCATGGTAAGGCCGGCCACATACATACGGATATCCGTTTCGTGATTCCGTTTTGGAATCCCGAATCGGGATTCCGTGAATACATCACACACACACGTTTTTTTTTCCGTTCGGAATAACAAGGGTCAGTTGAGAGACGTTAGCCATTGAGTCTAGACATTCTGCCAGAGAATAATAACGACAATTTTCTAATTGCAAATTCCATTGTTGCTGTATCATTCTTACTAGGTGCATCCCCTTATCACCCTAAGCTTGCAATATAGTCAATACTATGTAAAAGGATCTATATATCCAGAGATATTTTTTCATTATTTATGTATGTAAATTCTATCGATGAATTATTAAATAAAATAAGATGAAAGGTTACGAAAAGCTATACATCTACAACATTAAATGTATAAACATACATTAATACACCTACTCGCTTCGGTCGTGCGACGAACACTAAGCGCATTCCGTACGGAATTTACGTATGTGTGTTGCGACTCGTACAAAATCTATGGAAGACATGCGTTACGAGCGGCTTTTTTTCGTTCGGGATCCCGAACGCACAGGCGGTCATACGGAATCTCGAATCGGAGAAATCCCGTAAGGAAAAATAACGTACGTGTGTGGCGGGTCATAGATTTTATATGGACTTGCTGCGTTCGGGATTCCGAATCGGAATATCGAAACGGAATTCCGTATGTATGTGGCCGGCCTTAGGGCGACGATTCGGAATCCCGAACGCAGCAAGTCCATATAAAATCTATGACCCGTCACACACGTACGGTAGTTTTCCGTTCGAAATTTTGCGGGCAAAACAATATTCCGTATGTGTGTGGCCGACCCGTTCGAAATTCGGAAACGGAATCTCGAAACGGAATTCCGTATGTATTAGGCCTTAAGGAGTTTTGGCAGGAACTTGACCGGCGGCGGTTTGCTGCTCCTGTATTATTGTTTAAATAATGGTTTGAAGTAGACTTTGATATGTAAAAGTGGTGCGATTTTGTGTATAAAGTCTGCGCAAGTGAACTATTAGTGGAAACCGTGAAACAAGTGCTCTGATGGTGATATGATTGTCAAGATAAGGTGTTTGTCTGCTTAGGTGCTTTGAGATACCATCGCCAACTGTCTGCTGTCTGCTGGCTCAAGTTCTCGTCAAAATTTCCCAAGGGCTGCACAATGTGACGCATCAACATATTGTGAGGCAGTATATTATGAAGGATAATTATAGATTTTAACTTCAGGTTCAGAAAGGCTAGAACCCAGAGTCGTAAAGCCAGTTATATAAAAAAAACAGCGGTAATCTGTGGGTGTATCTCCTCAATTTTCCAAGTTTCCAGGGACGTTTTAGAATATTAGAATAATACTTTACCCATAGATGGGTAAAGTAGTGTGTGGGTGGAGTGTACGGAAACCTATGTAGGTCCTATTCATATACTAGGCGTTATATTGGTGTTCAAATTTTGTCATTTAGTTAATTTAACTGTGTAATTGTACGCAATAAATTAATCATTTTCGAGTACGGTTACTTAACTACCATGAATAACTCCGCTGCAAAAGTAAGTACCTTTATATTATTAGAATACATTTGAATGATAACTTTTTTATATTTTATTTTAACTTATTGTTCATTTTATGTATGACCTTTAGTTTTAAATTGAGTATCTTAACATTTAATGTCGTAATAATTTAACTTAAATTTTATTATTGTCTAATGAATTATTATCACTCAAACAACATATTCTGGCCGAATGATAATACTTGAAGTTATTTAGCGAGCTATGGAAAGGGTTTTAGTCAAAGTTTTTCTGTGTGATAGAATACGTAACAATGATAATTGTAGTAGGTAGAATAAAAGTAACCGATAAAGCTGAAGTACCAATGAGCCGGTCATATAGCTCAAACAATGGACAATTGATAGTGAAGAAAGTTTCTTAAGTGGCAGCAGTACTGGCAAGTACAGTGTTGAGTGACCCTCATTAGATGGAATGTGGATTTAATGCAACATACAAGTAGTTAATGGATGCAGGTGGTTTTAGGTCAGGACCATGTTTAGTGGCATTCCTCGTGGGAGGCCTCTTTTTAGCAGTGGACTTGTAAACAGCTGAAAAGTGGGCTTAGCTTTCCATTGACTCCCACCGAGTTGGGGGTTGATACATATTTTTACAGAAAAGTTACACTATTATAAGCACATACAACATGAGGAAATGTGTAATTTTTGAGAAAAAAGTTATTGAAAATCAATTATTCTTGCATTGTTTATATCTAATCCTACCATAAAACTGACGCCATTTTGTAATGTCATTGTCATCAGTAGGAATGTCAATTCTTTCCGAAAAAGGTCGATTTTTTAATCGATTCAAATTGTAAGCTGATGTATCGATTCATAAAAAATCGATTTCTAAAATATCTATATTTTTTTATGTTTGAATTTATAATGTAAATATAATTCCATTTTATGAAAAACAAGAAAGATACCATAATAAATGAACTCTTATTGAATTTTGTTTTATTTTAACAGTATCAATTAGGGCAGATAACAAATAAAATAGGTTAGGTTCAACTTATGTCAAAGAACCAAATTGATTGACCCCAACTCCACCTGGTAAGAGTCTGTCCTACCCCTAAAGTGGTTTTAAAGAGCCGGAGGCGTGTAGGGGGAGCAGCATCCGCCTGCTGTAACAAATCCTCGCTTCTGCAGCTTCGGCTTGTTGGTCGCCTTCGGCGACCAGCTTCAGCCACTCCGGCTCGTCCGATGCCTACGATTTGTTACGCTAAGGCGTAGAGGCTGCTCTTTCCGCAGCGCCGGAGACGTAGCAGTCTCAAAATAGATACAGAAATCCTTCTGAATCAGTCCCCCTATATTTTATGATGAATGGGACTTTTTTCGCATAAAATGCATTTATATTTACATTATAAATGCAAACATGAAAAAAATATATATATTTTGGAAATCAATTTTTTGGGAATCGATACATCAGCTTACAATTCGAATCTATTTAAAAAAAATCAATATTTTTCGGAAAGAATCGACATCCCTACTGACAATAACAATAAAAAAATGGCGTCAGTTTTATTGTAGGATTAGACATAAACAATGCAAGAATAATTGATTTTCAATAACTTTTTTCTGAAAAATTACGTGCTTCCGCATATTGTAACTTTGTGTGTGTGCTTATAATAGTGTAACTTTTCTGTAAAAATACGTATCACCCCCAACTCGATGGGAGTCAATGGAAAGTCGTACCGGAAAGTGAAATATTCAGCAACGAAATCAATCTTTATTGATATTACTTGAGGGTATATTTACGGTGATTAACGATAAGTGGTATTTTAAAAATAATCAGTGAGTCAGTGACCTCATTATATAAATTTATCATCCATCCATATATTACATCCTATAGAAGTCCACTGCTGGACATAGGCCTCCCTCATTGATTGACTCATAGGGATTTTGCCATAGTTGCCATGCTTGGCGGGCGAGTTGGCAACTTCAGTTTTTTGTTATTTTGAGTTATTATCAGGAAGATGGTGGATGTTTTTAAGTTCATTCAAAAAATGGGCTGATTTAGTATGCAAAAAAATTATATGTCTGTAATTTTAGATTGGAATTCCAATTCATAAATATATTTAATACCCAAAATAATATAATTAACAAAAATATAAACAATATAAAATATTTATATAAATAAAAATAAATGAATAATGTAATAACTTAAATTGGCTGAGCTGCCTATATTAAGTAATTAACATAATGATTGTCATAAAGCATAGTTCTGAGTCTGCTATACCTACATCCATCAACATTATGTTTCAAGAGTTGTCACTCTTTCAATTTGTTATTTTCCAATAGTTTCTTTAAGCTATATAGTCAGGACACGAAACTTAAGTTTAGCAATCAATTAGGCTTTTTTTTCCCTTTCTTGGCCTGCACGGTTTGTGCGTCAGCCATCCAAAAAGGTTAGGAAGTAAGATTTATTTATTGAATTGGAAATTGGAACAGAATTTGGAAAAGGATCAGGTAAATTTAGTATATAAGTACATAAATGATTATAATTTTATATTGTTATGAAAAATGAAACTGGCTAAAATTCTATATACGTCAATATTTACATAAGATAAAAGGACAGAAATTGAAGTAGGAAAAGGAATTTTAATGGACAAAAGTGAGGAAATAAAAGCGGAACGGTCATGTCGACGACAAGCAAAGAATATATGGTTAAAATCCCCAACGTCATTGCCACACTCACATATATCGCTAGGCAAAAGTTTAAGCTTTGCCAAATGCAAGGGAATGCATGCATGGCCCAGCCTCATACGAATAAGGGTCGAAGTAAAAGTGTTAACCAAACGTCAGATTTGAAAACCACGGTTTAGGAGGTATATCCACCTGGATCGTGCTATAATATCGACCTATAGTCTGACTTGAAGAACGCCAAATGTGTGTCCAAGAATTCAATAACTGGGATTTAGGAAGGAGAGCCAAATCACAACAAAAGTTTTTGTATGGAACTAGATCTCCGTCATTGACTGCAGCTTTGGCAAGGCTATTGGCCTTGGTATTGCCAAAGATACCTGAGTGCCCCGGAATCCAAGCAAAAGAAACTGTGTAATTTTTGATGCAACATTGATACAATAAATCATGACATGCAATAATAACTGGATGATTATTTCTGTTACTGCTAAAAGGAAATCTTTCCAAGGCTTGGAGGGCACTTTTAGCATCGGTAAAAATTATTGAGTTTTTTAACTTCATGATTAAAATGTACTCCAGAGGCTTCAACAGAATACTGAAGTCTCTGGAGGCAATTTTATTTTCTGTACAATGCCAAACTGTTGATGGAAAACGCCAACTCCCACACACTCCTCGGAACCGGGTTTGGAAGAATCACTAAAAATTAAATGGCAATGTTTCCATCGGCTGTCACTGTCAACAATATCAATAAATTTGGCGTTGGCAGAAGGATCTTGTTTACATACACTGAAATCAAACAAAATAGATGGTTTTAAAATTAAGGCATCATAGTTAACACAAAATATAGGAAGGAATTGTGATCTATGTGTTGGAGCTTGAAGAGCTAAGAATTTTTGGAGACTAACAATAAGGCATGGCGGTGATTTATGAGCCCAGTATGGATAGTCCATACATTCTAACAGAGACCGTAACTTAGAGTAAAGAGGATGATTATAGACTTGGATTGCTCTAAACAGGAACTTGTCACAAAGAAATTGTCGACTGAGATGCAGGGGCGCTTCAGAACATTCAACCTGCAAAGCGTTAATAGGGCTCGAACGCATAGCCCCAGCAATTATTCTCAGAGCCTTAGAATGGATAATGTCTAACTTATGGAGAGCTACTGCATTACAGGGTTCAAGAATAAATGTTCCATAGTCTAAAATACTCCTTATTAGGGCATTATATAGAAGCTTTAGAGAGAAAGGGTGGGCTCCCCACCAAACTCCAGAGAGGCAGCGCAGTATATTTAGAATCTTCTCACATTTGGCACTTATATAGTAGCAATGAGGGATTCCTGTAAGTTTCGAGTCTAAAATTACCCCAAGAAATGTTGCTTCACTTTTAACGGGAACTCCAGTGTTATTATAAAATACAGACACTGGTGGAGGAAGCCTCATACGTGAAAATAAGACTATACTACTTTTAGGAACCGAAAGGCTTAGACAGTTATTGTCAAGCCAAACTTTTAGCAACTTAAGGGAATATGTCATGGTATCAGACATGTTGTCAACAGAATCACCAGAGACATAGAGGAGTAAATCATCTGCATATTGGAGTGTGCTAACTTTACCCTTAAGGGAGGCTTCTAGATCATGAGAATATATATTGTAAATTAAGGGACTAAAACTGAGCCCTGGGGTACTGTTGCCCTTTCCAGGCAATACGGGATTGGTAGGAGTCTTCTGATATTACTTTAAGCATTCTACCAGAGAGAACATTGATTGAATCTTATAAAAATTTGTGGGATATCCAAATTCATCATTTTTTGTTTCAGAATTGAAAGGTTGACATTATCATAGGCTGCAGATACATCTAAGAATGCTGCTAACACAGACTTATTGTACGAAAATGCCAATCTTAAGTCTGTCATAAAAATGCTGAGACTATCCATTGTACTCCTACCTTTCCTAAATCCAAACTGATTTGGAGATCGTAACCCCTTACTGTCAATAAACCATTCTAGCTTATTTTGAACTAAATGTTCGGAAATTTTGGAAATAACTGAAGCTAATGCAATTGGTCTGTAAGATGATGGATCATTAATCGGTTTGTCGGGCTTATGTATTGGGATAACTTCATGGATTTTCCATGATGGAGGAATATTACCTGATGTTAAAATTTAATTAATTAAACTAAGAAAATAAGAAAGGCAGGAGTAGTTCAGGTTTTGAAGAAAAGAAGGGATTCCATCACAACCTGGGGCTGAATCCCTAAGTTTTGAAAGAACCCCTTTGAGTTCTGAAAGGCTAAAGGAAATGTATGAATTGCTACTATCATGCTGGGAGTGGAGAGGAGGCTGTGGGTCAAAAGAAATATTATCTATAGATGGGACAGATGGTGGAGCTAATTTGTCAAGAAACAAATCAACTGTACTACTATCCATAATAGGAGACCTTGGAGTTTTAAAAGCGGATCTGAATCTACGAATATTTTGCCAAACTTCAGATGGAGAAATGTCTGGTGAAATTGAGGCATAAAAAGATTTTCAGCCATTGAATCTTTTTTTGTTTTAATAAGATTACAAAGAATATTAAAATTTTGTGTTGTAGAATTTTTTCTGTAATTTTTTTCAGCTATCTTTCTCTCAGCTATCGCAGCAGAACACTCACTGTCCCACCAAGGAGGTGATGGAATATACCCACTGCCACTATTATTTTTTATAGGAAAAGCTTCCTCAGCAGCCTGTAGTAGGGAACATGTAAAAGCTTCAGCACAAAGTTGATTATTGTTGTCATTTAGTGGAGGTATAGTTGATAAATTTTGTTGAACTTTATCTCTAAATAATGACCAGTTGGCATCCTTAAGTCTATATTTTAGCCGGGGAGGAGCCTTTGACATCTTTTCACCAATTTTTCGAGGAAATGATATATTTAGCGGAAAGTGATCGCTTACATATGAAGATGGTAGAGGCCACCAGTTTAATGTAGGAGCTAGGGAGGGACTATACAGGGTAAGGTCTAGTGCACTAATACCCTCATGGGGCTGAGTCCTTCTAGTAGGACAACCAGAGTTTAGAAGGCATAAATTATTATCATCTAAGATGTCTAAGATTCTAGCCCCATAATTATTAGACTTAGAATTTTCCCACATAATTATTACTTACTTAGAATGTTGTGCATTGAAGTCTCCCATGACCAAAATAGGGCGTGGGAGGAAAAATAGAATGCTACGAATATCGTCAAAGACTTCAGTGGAAGGGTGAGGTATATACATTTTTACAAAACAAATATTATTTACACTAACAGCAATAATTGAAAATTTATTACTGTGATTAGGGATGGGTATGTGGACAAAGGGCACACCTCCCTTAAGAATTAGTGCAACTCCACCATACCCATCTGTTCTGTCTTCTCTAAGACAGATAGGTCCTGGAATTCTAAAGTTGAATCCGGGACAAAGCCAAGTCTCTTGAAGAGAGACTGCAAATGATTTGTAACTATTCAATAAGAAAATTAGGTCACTTTTTTTTGCTATTAATACTCCGGCAGTTCCATTGAATCACCAGAGACTGGTTTCGTGGATGGTCCTGACTGTCCATGAGTTTAAAAACTTTTAGAAGAAGGGGCATCGTTGGACGGTATTTTAATTAGGTTAGATTGTGAAAGGTACTGAATTATAGAAATTATGAGATCCCTTGTTATTGTTTCTGATAGATCTTTGTAATTTTTGAGACAACCTGTAGAAAAGGAAGGAATGTTGCTGTAATCTTGGATAAGCTCTGCATGCGCTTTTTGATCATATCCCTTACTAGCATTTCTGGGACGAGCTTTGGGTTTCGAGAATACTGTTTTCCTATATGACTGTGTGTGACTCTTAGAAGGGCTTGTTGAATTATAGGGGCTGGAATAAGTAATAGTTCGACCAGAAGGGGCCAATGAAGCAGAAGCAACAACGTCAGCATAAGATTTCGAGACTGCTGGATGGACTTTACTGGCTTCTGAATAAGATATAGAGTTTCTAGCCATTGTTTCTTTTATAGCTTTTTGCCTAGCGTACTCCGGACACTTTTTGTCTGTTGCGAAATGGGAACCAGAACATAAGATAAACACAGCATCATCTCTTTCAGTCTCGCAGCTTATACCTGAATGGTTGTCACCACATTTGTAACACCTTGGAGATCCTCTGCATTGCATTTGGGTGTGGCCAAAACGGCAGCAATTAAAGCATTGCAGCGTGGGGTAAATATAAAGCTCTACAGATAGGGAGTTGAAACATATAAAGACCCTGGGAGGTAGCACCTTCCCATCAAAGCTTAAAACTACGGTCTCAGTTGGAATGAACTTGGGCGTCTCGCCGTCATATAAAAACGTAAGAAGGTAAGAAAGGCCCTAAAAAGGGCCTTTCTTACCTTCTTACGTTTTCTATCTAGTTCTTTACCCCAACACGGTGGCTTTACCTCAGTATGTCTTGGTGGAGTGATTTCTGGACATGATTCATGGTCTTAGTAACAGCTGCTACCTGTTCTTCTAGGAACGACTGATCTGCTATAGTATTTGTCCCCTCAAACCCGCGAGCGAAGACGTCAACCTGTTAAGGCACTTTGTTTTATCTATCTTGCGGGGGTTTCTCCATAGTGGTGTAGCGGGGATATCGACCTGTGTAGTACGAAGCAGATCCACCTATGGTCTGAGCATGAGGCCTCTTTCGACACATGCCATCCCGTAATTAGTTTAGCTGCTCCTTCTGTTGCATGGGTGAAGTCGATTATTGTGCGACAACGTTTGTTTATGAAAGTTGGTTCAGAACCTGTGTTTAAAATGGTTAGGTTAATGCTAAATAGATATAAAATAATAAAATAGGTGTTGGGAGATATTAGTATATGTATAATAAATTATATTTCAGATTATATGTATAAACATAAGCATGTTAGAGGAGAACTACTGCCGACAAACTGTAATGCAGTTTGGCAGATAAAAATGTTAAAAAGGTTTAATTCGAAGAAAAAAAATAAATAATATTCAACTAAAACCTTACCTCGTTCATTGGGTTTTTACATTCTCCAGAGGGGGTGATGTGCGTTGGAGTCCGTCCCGATCACAACCTCTAGTCCGGTCCTCTCACAGAAACGCACCAGCCTGACGAGGTCATGAGGGGGAGGAGTGTCTTCCTCCGGCATGTAGACCGATACGACTACTATTCTTTTCACCTGTGTGTTTTGTAATGGTACGGCATACATGTCTCTGGAACAGAAATCTGTTAATGGGTGTGCACAGATATCTTTAGTAGTATATTTACACGCTCTAGGCTTGTCGTGCTCAGTTGTAGAATAACTTACCTTTTAGGTTGTTTAGGCCCTTGGTTTTACCGACCCCAACCCACGGCTCTTGGATTAGGGCTATGGCCGTCCGTTGAGCCTCCACCCACTTGCGTAATAAGCCGACGCAGTTTAGCTGTGGTGGAGGTGGGCTTTCACAAGTCTAGTTTTGGATGAAGGGCACGCCATCATTGACTGCGTCCTCCTCGTCCTCGCCCAAAACTAAGCCTGCCAGCAGATCTAGGGTCGCATCGTTAGCCACTGAGTCGGAGTTGGACGGCAAAGTGCAGCCCTCCTCGTCACTCAGTAAACTGCCGCTGAGCTCGATCTCCGCTGGTGGATAGACTCGGTTATACAGGCCGATTTGTCACTGGTCTTGGGGTCCAGTGATCCTGCTGCCTCCATGTTTATGGCACCAGTGTCCGCGGCTTTTGAGTTGTTTACAGCCTCTGTGCTCGGTGGTGTATCATAAAATTTTCCTTCACGACCCTGGAATTTTACGTCGACCGCCCCACATACAAATGCGAGACGACGTCCGGCTTTCAACAGGGTCGGGATAAGATCATACGGCACCGAAACAACGAGGAACCACCCTTGTCGGTCTTGAGTAAGCAGCTCTTTTATATTTACCCAGTGGTTTTGGTACGCTAGCACACGACGAATGTCGCGTGAGTCTTTCCAGTCTGGGATGAGAATACCACATTTGATCCTCTGTGGTATCTTCTACTGCTTCTTGATTACCAGTGAGGTGTTGGATTTGAGGTCGAGGGTAACGGTGTTCCCCTTCGACCAATCTAAAGCCTTTTGGTCGTCGCACCACAGCCTCAGACGGGTTTTCCTCTCATCTTCCTCTGGTTGGATACGAGGATGTCGTCAGCTACTTCTTTTGTGATGTGTCTTGTACGCGCACACGTTAGGACCACACACAATTCATTTTTGATTACAGAAGCATAGCTGGTCTTTGCACCCTTGTATTGCTGTTCGAGTCTCACCTTTTTATGCTCGCCTCTCGGCGAGCTGGTCTCGTCCAGCCTCTTTTTGGCTGCTCTTTCTTTTTTACCAGGACGCTTGACCGCTTTCTGCTTCCTGGCGGTTTTCTTGGCGTTCCACGGGCTGGAGCCCGTTGGCTCCAGCAACTCTTTCTTCCAGAAGCGGTTCCACAGGAAGTGGACCTGGTCGAGTTCAACCTCCTGGTTCGACAAAAAATGAGATTGACTTCATTATGACGACCAGACGACAACTGTTCAGTGATGTCTCCGTGATCGCGAGGGTGAAAACTGGTAGCGATCACTGAATGGTTAGATGCACACTGAACCTAAACGTTAAGTTGGAGAGGTCTCGTCTAATGAAGTCAACGCTCCGTCCCCCTCGTGCTCTGTTCCAAAGTCCCGAAACCTTTCAGCTCGAGTTACAAAACCGTTTTCAGTTCCTAGAAGACTGCAATGAAGTGGACGATATGAATGACAAGCTCGTGGAAACTGTCCATGCGGTCGGAGCTAAGTTCTGCAAGACCCGCCGCAGAAGAACACAAAAACTCTCCGATCACACTCTTAATCTCATGGCTGTTAGACGGGAGATGAAGCTACATTCTTCAACAGACTTGACAGCATACAGGCATTTGAACAGACAGATCTCCAAATGCATGCGGCGGGACTTACGCAACTTCAATACAGCTCATATTGAAGAAGCGATCGAGCGGAACCAAGGCTCCAAAGTCTTTGCCAGAGATCTGTCTGCCAGAAAGAGCCAACTGTCAAAGCTGAAGACAGAGTGTGGCAGCATCGTTTCCGGGACACCTGAGATTTTGAGTGAGATTGAGAGTTTCTATGGGCAGCTGTACACGTCATCGTTGGAGCCACACGCAAGTGTGAGTAACGATCCAAGAGCGAGTCTCATCCGACACTATTCCGAAGATATCCCGGACGTCAGTCTGAGCGAGAGGCTCTCCAGCACCTTAAAAACGGTAAGGCCCCAGGCTTTCATAAGTCCACTGCTGAACATAGGCCTCCTCCAAGGAATGCCACAAAGCACGGTCCTGAGCCACCTGCATCCACCGACTTCCTGCATGTCTTACCAGGTCGTCACTCCATCTCGTGGGGGGTCGCCCTACATTTCACCTACCGGTACAAGGCTGCTACTCAAGAACCTTTCTTCCCCATCGGTTGTCGGTTCTTCGAGCTATATGGCCGGCCCACTGCCACTTCAGCTTACTAATCCGTTGGGCTATGTCGGTTACTCTGGTTCTACTGCGCATATACTCATTTCTAAGTTTATCACGCAGAGAAACCCCGAGCATAGTCCTCTCCATAGCTCGCTGAGCGACCTTGAGCTTCCTCATACGGCCAGCATTTAAAATTTATATATATATTATGTATGTATATATAAATGCTATTACGATTATCTTTGCATTTTTAAAGACTCCTGGTCTGTTTCCCTCTATTGCCTCTTAGTGAACATTCCTACACCGCCACTACACGGTCAAAAAATGCATAGTATATCTATACTAATATAATAAAGCGGAAGAGCTTTTTGTTTTTTTTTGTTTGTTTAAACGCGCTAATCTCTGGAACTACCAGTCCTATTTGAAAAATTATTTTTGTATATTATATCCAGATTCATGAGGAATAGTATAGGCTATCTAGCATGAAGCAATATCACTCAGCTAGCCTAAAATATGGATATTTGTTAAGCAAGTCAGAAGAAAAAGCACTCTCGAAATGATTTATCCGCGTACGCTGGTGTTATCGTCAGGGATACGTAAATACAATGTTCTAGAAATTAATAGATCTTTACTCCGTCTAAAAAAAAGTCCGCGATACCATATATCTGTTTCTTATACATAACCCATAATTAGGTATTTTATGACAAAAAAATATTGAAAATTAATAAAGTGATTTATGAGCGTTAGTAGCGTTCGTAAGGATAAATAGGCCATTAGGCATGGCCTATTTATCCTTAACGAAAGTTACTTCATCATCAAGACAATTTTATCAAGATAAACTTTGTTCTTTATACCATGTTATTTGGACGCATAGCTTCAGAGACAATGTAAAATTAAAATAATTCAATACCTACTTGGCTGGGCGCGCGAACAACACATAAACCTTAGCCGCCCGGTGAGAACTGCGAGAACTGCTCAACCGGGAGGAGGAGGGAAAGTGGATAAAACTTAACTTCGCTCTACATCATACATAATATGCCGACAGATAAAAGTACTCCATTAATTATGCCAATTTTTCCATCCATTGCTATCAAATAAAGTATTTAATTGCAATTATAAAATGCTTGAACTAGATCATAGCACAGCTAGTACTACATATTGTGGACTCTTCCCGTGGACATTTTATCTCTAGTTTGGGCTCCTGTCTCCCACAACAACTTAAAACTTAAACTATTTATGAAAGAAATGTAACTGTGTTCAAAGTGGGAGAAATAAATGTTTATTATTATTTCTTTATCTAAACATTGTTTTTGAATTTTTCAAAGATGCTGCTTTCCTCACGTTTTCCTTTACCGCCGAGCATGTGATCAATCAGCACTTGCAGTCGGGGATCAAACTTGAGTTGTTTACAGAACTACAATTCAACTTATTTAAAATTTTCTAGGTTGGTGAGATATTCAGGGAGGCGGGGACAGCTTTCAACAAACTGTCGGAGATGACAATGCTGCTACACCCTATGGGTGATTCACAACCAGGGTATGTCCTATATTGCATATTACAGCTTACAATACATATAGGAGTAGACTCAAGTCCGCAATATAAAGGTGACTTGAAATATTAGTTCAGTTTTTTATTGGGCTTAGAAAACGTAATTATTTAATAATTAAGTTGTTTTATCACGGTCTTTTTTATTTACTTAAACAAAAGGAAAGTCAAACACCGTGTTCTTCTTTGATCATATTATACCCTTGACAATGTTTAGGAATAGCAATTCTTGAGGTCGTTTATCAAGCCTTTTGTGTCGGAAGTTTTTGTATTCTTATTTCTCGAATTTTGGCTAACTCTATATCCCGAATAACACGAGATTTAGAGTTAGCGAAAATTTAATTTGTTGTTTATTAGTTTCAGAATTATCTGCCGTTTCTATCGGTAAATGAATATTTAGATCTATTTGATGTCTCAAAATTCACTTAACAATTGAGAAAAGTACTGTTTGGGAACTGTTTTTAAAATGAGTGCCAGTAATATAAAATTTTTGTATTTTCACAATATTTTGTTTCATTTTTATATTTCATTTTATTTTAATATTTTTATTCATTTAAATATTTTTATTTAAAGTATTTGAAAACATTATTTCATGATTAACCTTCTTTACACGTTTATTTTTTTCGGAATTTAACATTAATTTCGTACAAAAATGGTTTCTTAAAATTGGATTGGAAGATGCTGCATATAAAAAAAATTAAAGGTTGGGGAAAAAGTTTCTACGTATTTTTTATATAAATTCAAGACATTTTATTCAAAGTGAGAAGAGAGAGAGACGGAAGGAATACTTTGGAAGTGTGTTTATGAGTGAGGAGACGTTTGAATTAAATGAAATAAAAATTCCGAAAGAAGAGGAAAGAGATAGAGAGATAAGTATAGATGAAATCATGAAAGTAATGAAATGAATGGATATGATATCGAGAGGGAGTTGTAACAGGCCTGTTGTATACCTTGTTTAATTTATGTTGGGAACTGAAGCGGGTAGCGGGAGACTGGTGCAAAGCCGTGATAGTCCCAATATATAAAGGAAAAGGGTCGCAACTGGGCTGTAAAAACTTCCGTGGTCTCACCCTTCTTAGCATTGTAGGAAAACTGTTGAAAGAAACTGATGGAAAATTGGGTATATGCAAGTGGGATTTAGAAAGGGAATAGGGTGTACGGATCAAGTTATTTCCATGCGCGTGATCGCGAATAAGTTTTTGGCCAAAAACCAAAAGGATTTTTGTGTGTTCATGGAAAAGGTTTATGAGAGTTTGGACAGGAATGTGTTATGGCAAACACTGAACTCATTTGGGTTAAGTGCTGGCTTGATACCGGCATTAAAGTCTCTAGTGCTTGTGTCAGGATCAACAGGGCCTACTTGGACTGGTCTGGCATTCACAAAGGTGTCTAGACAGCTGTGTAGCTTCCCCGTAGCTGTACAACTTATTTATGGATAGTTGTTTGGAAAATTTGAAAGTTGGAGAATGTGGGTTAAGAATGCGTAAATTAACCGTCAAATTCCTTTTGTTTAAAGTTGCTGAGTTGAAAATGATTTTTACATTTATGAACATGTCATTGAAAGAAAGAGGAATGAGAGTGAACGCAAGTAAGACGAAAGTTATGGTTTTTGAAAGAGAAGAAAGTAAAACGATATGTGAAATAAGAATAGAAGGGGAGTTGGTAGAGCACGTAGATGAGTTTGTATATTTGGGATGTGTATTTAGCAGGGATGGTAGACATGATAAGGATATAGAACGACGAGTGAATGCAGGAAATAGAGTGAATGGGGCTCTACACTCTATTGTGAAAAGTCAGAATGTGTCCAAAAAGGCTCGTATGGCAATTTACAATGCTGTGTTAGCGCCAACTTTAATGTATGGTAGTGAAAGTTGGGTGTGGCAGAAGAAGCACCAGAGTAGAATAAATGCTGTGGAAATGCGGTCATTAAGAAGTATGTTAGGGCTAAATCTGAAGGACAGGGTAAAAATTGTGTGATAAGACAAGTGTGGTTTGCATGATGATCTTGTGACAAGGATTAAGAATGGAATGCTTCGGTGGGTTGATCAGGTAGAAAGAATGAATGAGGAAAGAGTGACAAAGCAAAGAACATCAGTCACGGCCCATACATGCTGTGACCTGGCTATAAAATATCGCGAACAAGACTAGTGTACAGATGAATCTATTCCTCTAGGCACAATCTCAATCCTAAATTGATAATATATTATTTAAAAGCCGAGGATCATGGAACGTTACACTTATGTATTTCGTCACTTTTGAGGTTATGATGTAATAAGTGCGCAGCCATAACTATAAGTTAGTGTTGCCCAAATGCAAGAACAAGGCGAGACTTAACCGGTCTTGGCCTTGGTCTTTCGGCAATACATCTGGTCTTGGTCTAGGAATTGCACTCCCAGTCTTGGCCTTGGTCTTGCAGCAAGAGTCTCGCAAGTCTCGCAATTACCTATTATCCTATTGCTATTTATTAAACGTTACTTTATGATCTTAAAACAACTTAACTGAGTGGGTACTGAGTTACTGAGAAATTCGAAAAATCCACTGGCACCGGGTGGGGTTTGAACCCACGACCTAAGCGATCCGTGCCGATGCTCTAACCAACTGAGCTATCTACCGCTTACTGCTAAAACATGGTTAAAACATATACGAGGGTGACACTGAAAGTTCTTATAAAATCAAAAACTGAACAAACTAGGAAGTTATTACTTTTATTATATCTTTTCAAAATAGTGTCCATTTACATCAATACTTCGCTGCATCCGATGGAACCACTGAGAAAAGCACTTTGCTCACTCATCCTTAGGGGTCTCTTTAACGGCATTTTGAAATGCAGCTACTGCTTCCTCGGCGTCCATAAAACATTTTCCTCGAAGTTTTTCTTATGTTTTCGGAAATTAATAAAAATCGCAAGGTGCGAGGCCTGACGGCTATAGGGCGGGTGACCCAGTAATTCCACGTCTGACGTCTCCAAGTAGTCGATTGTTTGCTTGGCAGTGTGCGACAAGGCGTTGTCGTGGTGAAGAAGGATCCTACTGCGAGGTCGTTTCTCCGGAACTTTTTCCAAGACAAGTGGCAAATAATTATTAGTGTACCACTATACAGTAACTGTTTTTCGATCCTATAAAATAATTGTTCCGTAATGATCTGTCCTTACGAAGAACGAGGCCACCATCTTTTTTCCCACCCTTCGACCTCACTTCACTTTACTTGGCAACTCCTCGGATGGAAACACCCCAGACAGCAGACTGTCTCTTAGTTTCAGGATCATAACAATAAATCCAGCTTTCGTCACCCGTAATTATGTCGAACACAGAATTTAAGTCACCTCCGTTAAATCTTTGAACCATTTCACGACACCAATCACGACGGAGCTTTTGGGCCTTTGTCAAATTATGAGGTATCTAACGGGCACAAAGCTTCCTGACCGCTAAATGTTCATGGAGGATTTTGTGCACTTGACTCATACCGATGCCTAAGCTTGTCCGAACCTTCTGATAAGTCACTCATTTCGTCAGTCTTTATCATACGCCTCACAACACTGATGTTGTCTTTAATCGTTGCCGTAGAAGGCCGTCCTTCATGCAGATCATCGGTAAGCTTAGTGCGACCATGTTTAAACTAATTAAACCAGGAACAATGGCACGAGATGAGGCTTCATCGTGAAAGGCCAATCGAAGTCTATCATAACTTTATTCTTGACTTAAATGACATCGAAAGGCATAAAAAATAATTTTACGAAAATTTTCTCGTTAAATTCATGCTGACGTGACACAGACAATTTTCAATTTGCCGCCAAATCATAAACGAATGACAAATTAATAAAATACATACAAAATAATATTGGCAAAGAGTTATATTTTCAAAATTTGTATTTTTTTTTTTATTATATCGTTTACAAGTGGTCAGTTCTAAAAACTTTCAGTGTCGCCCTTGTAAAAAACAAATTAATGATATTAACTTGACGGTTTTTTAAAGAACATTATCTGCCTAGAAAGATGATGAGACCTTACCCCGACTTGAAGGTGTACTTCGGTGAATGCTACTGGAACTCCTCGAAGAGTAGTAATAGTAATAGGTGTGCTGAGTTTAGGCTCGTTTTGTTAGTTATGATGAGACTTTACCTCCGAACAGTGGCGGATTATCCTTAAGGCAAACTAGGCACGTGCCTAGGGGCGCAAGATTAAAAAGACGCGCGCGGTAGTTTTTAAACGACAAAAATCGCTCTTACTCTCTCATCACATGTTTCATTTATGCCCCTCCGTTATTGGTACACGCATCCTAATTATTTTGCAATTATTAAACTATATTATAAATTATAATATAGTTTATTTGCAAAATGAGTATATTTAATTTATGGGCATTTCTCCGTAAACTGGGCAACTCGTTCTAAGAGAGTTGTCTAGGCGATTTTGTTGCTTATATATTTAAAAAATCTTATTCACGGGACATATATCCACCAATTTAATAATAAACGGCAGATGAACCAAAAATACTTCCATTACTTTATAAAATATTGAGAATTTTCTAAAAACTAGATTACAGGGGACTGTTGTTTGTCAGATAAAAATAACATTTCAGTTCCAAAATTAAGTCTCTTTATTTTCTAAAAAATTTGGAGCTTAGGAATTAAGTATATAAACAATAAAGAAACAAAAAATCTACTCTTCTTTTCGTCCTTCTGGTCTTTTATAATATTCTACTCATAATCAAATTCTAACTCTGAAATCTTAATAAGTAATTAATTAAAGTAAAGTATTCAATTAAAATTACGTACATTAAAAAAATGTTTAAGTACTATGAATTAGTCTTTACAATTAGTCTCATATAGTTAAAGATAATTATTTATAACTTAGAGATGGCACAAATTGGTAAAGAAAAATAGTATTAAGAATTTGGTCGTACTGTTTTTCAAAAACATTTGCAGGTGAGTAAAATTTGTAGAAGATTCTATTGCCTTTTTAAAACTATATTTGGAATAGGTAGTTTCTGTATCACCTGGTCCATTGTAACATCTGCTTCTTAATTACCACAGAGCTTTAGGATTGTAGCACAAATTTCGCCATCTTCTTCATCAATCTTGTTAATAATGCTCAATCCATGTGTGAAACATTCCATATTTCTGGCAAGCAATTTGTCGAGGATGTAATATGTGTTTAATGCTTTTACTGTAGCAGAACTAGCTTCATTGTCAGATTCCGAATCAGTGAACACATCTTCCACAATTAGTTTTGGCTTATACTCATAAATTACTTTTCTGAAGCTAATAATTTCAAATGTATATATTCGTGTGGTTAATGCACAAACAAGTATCGCACATCAATTTTGGGCATGATAATCCAAAAAGGTTGCAGTCTACAAAAGGTTTGATAATTCAGTTTGAAAGTGCTCTTCTGTTGCCGGAATTTCGTGTATAAGTCAAGTAACAAATCAAGCGTGTACGAAAGCAAATACATAGTCTAAAAAGATACTCAAAAAAAAAGGACTTTTTGCAAAAATAGTTTCAGAAAAGATTGTTGGCAAACATAGGTTAAAAAGTATTGCAGTATTTCAATATCTTAATTTTTAAGGACTCTAATTTCTTCATCTTTTTTCTTGTTTTTAATTTATATCTATCTTTTTCAAATAATTTCAGCAACTTCAGGTGTTGACATTTGAGATTAGATACAACAGAATCTAGAGTATTTTCTCTCATACTTGTTTGTAATAAGTTTTTCTTTTTGCGATACTTGGTGCAATGCTCTCTGTTTATGCCCAAAATTGGTCATTTTGAACGCCATCCAATAGCGTTCGAGCTGGCGCATCACCCGATGGTATGTAGGTGAGGAAAACGCCGCCAGGTGATGCGGCTGTGTGCGGCTTGCAGTGGCTCGACGCGTGGGCGAAGAGATGAGTAGCTCGCTGGCCGCGATGCGGGGAATCCGCGTATCTCGGTTATCGCGGCCGAAGTTCACGCGACCGGTAGGGTCCAGATGGTTAGATTTAGTGCGTCTTACTTCGCTCCGTGGATATGTGAATTTTGCAATGTTTAACTTGTTCGGGTGATGCGGAACTGCGCACGCGCGTGCCGAGTAGATATACGGTCTGGGATTCGAACCGCGCATTTCTTGTTCGAGAGCGTCTCCCGGTTGATTGTCTGGAAATCATTATAATTGTGCCATCGCGTAAAGTGCCCTTTTTTGTGTGTTGGCTAGTTTGTTAGTTTTACGTGTCAACGAGACGTATTTTGAATTCTTTTCGCGGCGTGGTGTTTTGGTGTCGAATGAAGGAACTTAGTTATGTTTAACGCTGAACCGTATGACTCAATAAAAGATCGCGTCAGTTCCCTATTTATAATTTTGTGATAAGTGAATCCGGGACATTGAATGTCGAATTTTGAACTACTGTCCGTACTGTGTCGGGTATCACGTGTTCGATTCTACGATGAATGTGGAATTAGGCGAGTTTAAGTTAGTTAAATGTACAATGAAGCTAATAGACTGAAATAGTGACAATGAAGAAAGAAATGGTCCAGCGGTGGAGCCTGCTGGAGCGATGCAGCATTGTGGGGCAGCCTGGAACTCGGCCGCTGCTGGTCGCCTAAGCTGGTCCAGGTCTCAGACATTTACGCTCTTCGTTCGACCAGCCACTCATTTTAAACAAAGAACTAAACATGCGCTCGTCGCGAAATCACAATTTCTACTAAACGCGCACCAACCTGTGAATGCGTTGCAAGCGCTTGCTGCAAGCACTCTTCGATCTGTGTCCAAAAACCGACACTAGACCGGATCGGGGACACGCGTCCACAAGCTCACGCAAGCCAAGCCAAACGCCCTCTTTACACGCTTGTGCTTGTGGATGCTTGCCGAGATTTGGTAAGCGTGTAAACCCGGCATTAAGATTACGTGACGCGTAATTTAAAATATATACAGGGGAACTGATTACAAAATGCGGAGACAAACTTTGATTCATTTTTTTGTTTTATATAATAACATTTATAAAAAAATAAGCATGTCCCATTTAAACACATACACATTATTGTTTGAATAATCAAACGATTTGATTAATTCCTATAGTTATTGCCTTAATTTGATCTGAAGTGCATATACTACTATGGTGACACGTAAGGGGATTGTTTTTTGAGGGCTATGAAAACGTTTTTTATAGAATAAAGTTTAATTTAATAGATATTACATGCTAAGCAGAGTTAGATTAGGCTATTATCTTTTAAAGTTATCTACAAAATATATAACAAACTGTACGTATTTATGTAATATTGGCCTGAGACAACGAGTTGCCCAGTTTACAGAGAAACGCCCCTTATAATAGATATAATATGGCCCCTAGCCAAACCTAGGGCGCAGTCGACATTTAATCCGCCTCTGCCTCCGGACTTGATAGAGTGGCCTGAAAGTGTACTTCGATGAATGCTACTGGAACTCCTTGAAGATTAGAACTAGCTGTGCTGTGTAGCTTTTTAATTGAAGTTTGACATAAAATTATCGGAAAATTGGAAGTATAGTAAGAAGGTTATAGTGAAAACTTGTGTGTACTTTAAAAGTTGTAGAAAGGTGTAGTTTGTATGTTTATGTATATATATGTTGGTATGTATGTATGTGTGTATGTGTATGTATGTGTATGTATATGTATATATATGTGTATGTGTATATATATATTCATATGTGTGTTAGTAAGTTTAATTATGTACGTCTTTGTACGTGTATATATGTGTATGAGTATATGTATGTACATCATGAAAGTAATATCAATATTTCAATTAATTTGTTAATGCTTAGAATTAGTGCTTACCGAATTTGTTTTTTAGATTTACAGTGTTATGTTTGGTTATGTACTTTGTGGATAACTATTATTGGCTTTTTCGTGTTTAATAATTTAAGTAAAATGTTTAAGTATTAATAAGCTGTTGTTATCCTGAATAAAAAAAAAATAAAAAAAAATAAAAAAAAATAAAAAAGTTATGTATAATCATGTTTGATGCGCTTAAGGAATGCACAATTGGATTTACCAATAGTTTATTTAATTTTATTTTTGTTTCTTTATTTGAATATGATTTTTTTGTTTTTCGTCTTAGTGGCAAATGGACAGAGGAAGAAATTGAAATGCTGAGGTCCTGTGTTCATCGCTTCGCCATTGATCTAAATAAACTTAGCCAGCATATTAAAAACAGGACTGTGTAAGTGCCTCTAATATTTTTTGTTATTCACATTGTTTGTGAACCTTGTGCTAGCGCACTTCACTGAGTCTGCTATACAAATACAATACATGTGGTTGGCACGAGCATGTTTTATAGTACATATTTAACTAATTTTATGTATCGTTTTCTAAAAATATAATATTATATGTAAGTATTATAGTTATAAGAGTAACTAAGTAAAATTGAATTCAAATGACGGCCATGCTTGTTTCCGTCATATTTTTTTTAATAACTGGTAATCCTTACTTACTTACTTACTTACTTATCTTCACGCACAATCCCTGACGGGGTAGCCAGAGAGAACAGATCGCCAAGTGTCACGATCCTTACATACCTCTTTCGCTTCTTTCAGATTCATTATCTTCTTCATACATGCACGTCTAGGTATCCGAGTACTCTTGACTCTCCCCTCTTCGAGCAATTTGCTCACATGGTCTTCGAAAGTTAGTCTCGGTCTACCTCGACACCTTTTAATATTTACTTTCGCGCTATATATTTTCTTCACTATTCGGTCTTCACTCATTCGCTCAACGTGCCCAAACTATCGAAGCACGCCCTTATCAATTTTTGTGATAAGGTCATCTTTCAAACCTGCCATAATGCGAATTTCTTCGTTTCGCTTTCGGTCGGCTATGGTAACGCCGCACATTTTACGAAGAGATCGCATCTCCACTGCATTCAACTTGCTTTTATGCTTCTTCTGGCATAGCCAGGTTTCGCTGCCATATAACAAAGTCGGTACCAACACTGCGTTATGTATTGCAAGGCGTGCACTCTTCACTACGCCTTGCCTTTTGACTAACGCAGTCAGGACACCATTGACTTTGTTCCCGGCAGCGACACGCCTGTCCACATCTAAATCACATCTTCCATCCCGGCTGAAAGCACTGCCCAAGTATACAATTTCATTTACCTGTTCTAGACATTCCTGATTTACCCATATTTCACACTTCGTTCTCTCTTCGTCCCTTTCAAATACCAGAACTTTAGTTTTATTAGCATTCAAACGGAGACCTTTAATTTCACATTCCTCTTTCATACACGTGACTAATGCCTGTAGTTCTGCCTCTGATGGTGCAATAAGCACTGCATCATCTGCATACTGCAGACAATTTACTTTAATGTCACCCAATTTCACACCCAAACAGCTATCTTTCAGCTTCTGTAAACAGTTGTCGAGATACAGTATGAACAACCAGGAAGACATGACACAACCCTGTTTTACGCTCGTTTGGACGCTAAACATGGGTGACAGGTCATGCCCTACCCGCACACAGGCTTTACAGTCACAGTAAAGTGTTTATACTGTGGTAGTGTGTACTGGTCAAGCTGATCACCCGATAGCACCCGCAGTCAAAATGTGAACCTTTACCTTTATATAAAGGCACAATGACTGCGGATCGCCAATCATCCGGGACATCCCCCGTCCGCTAGCACAAATTGCACAGCAGATGAAAGCTGTCCCAGACGCGAGGCCCACCATACTTGACCATTTCAGCAGTAACTCTGTCTAGTCCCACAGCCTTACCATATTTCAGACTTCGAATCGCACGTTCAATCTCTTTAATGCTAATGACCTCAGTGTCATCGAGGTCCGGGTCTGGCGTACCAGTCACGGCGTCATCCCCGGATCTCTCACTAAGATCATCACACGCATACATTTCTCTATAAAATTCGCTCCATCGCTGTATGACGTCCGATTTTTCTGAGAGGACGTCATTGGTTCTCGAAAGCACTTTGTTCATTCTTAAGGCCGTCGCACCACTTCGGGTCCTTCCAACCTCTATCCAGAAGAGTTTGGAGTTCTCCTTAAAGTTGTGCCACAACCTTTCGTCCGCTTCCATTCTACACCTTTCACGCACTTCCTGAATCAATGTTTTCGTATTAAATTTCTGCAGCTTATATCTTTCTTTCATCTTCTCTCTCATATCCTTATCATTACTAGAGGCCAAGTAGTCTAACCATACTTTCTTCTTCTTCTTTACAGATTCTTTCACTTCATCATTCCACCATGCATCTCTTCTTTTACTACTTCCTCTTTTTATCGTTCCACATACTTCTTCCGCTGCACGTACCATTCCATCCATGTTATTTCCACACATTCTTTTCTGCCACCGATGGTGTCAAGCTACCCTCGCATGATATTTGTCCCTAGTATCCGCTTCCTGAAGCTTCCAGCTTCGGATTACTGCCATCCGGTAGCGCCATCCCGCGAACAGACCCCTAAATCTAGTAATCACTAGATAGTGATTCGTTCCCAGGTCAGCACCACTGAACACTCGTGTATCCATCACCTGTTTTCGCAGTCGGTCATCCACCAGGAACAAATCGATCATACTTCTCTCATTCTTTCTTTCTCTAGTATACATATGGATTTTCTTGTGATTAAACATAGTGTTTGTCACAAGAAGACCCTTTTCCTTGCTGTTACTGTTACTGTTAATCCGGATGCTAATATACTACTTAGTTTAACAATCGAAAACTGAAAACATCTGTAACAAAAAAGTGTCACGAAAATATTAGGCAGTATACTTGTAAATGTGCTTTTTTTGTAGTAATAAACATGATATGGTTCTATAAATTAATGTTTTTAAGTTATCTATGTACCTACATAATGTATAATTAGTGAGTAGATATTATAATATCCAAAATTATTTTATTTCCATTTTCGTGACAACGAAGCTGCCTGACGTTTACTGGGTTGTCCGGTTTTGATGAATCAAAAAAAGTGTTGTTGTTTTTAATGACTGAACGGAAATCAAAATGACTGACTGATAAAGAAAGTGAATCGTAATAATTTTTTTTTAACTGAAGGTTTTAAAAATTACGTCAAGATTTATTTAACATCCATGTTGTCAGTTCAACAAGCGAATTATCCATAGTGTATGTCGTCATAGGAATTTCATCAAATATAATATCATCACTGTCACTGTCACTGTCAGTAACATTTATTATAAACTTGTCTAAGACACTATCGATCATATCGTCGAGAATAAACATTTTGTCTTCTTCTTTTATTATGTGAGCCACGCAGCTACTCCATTTTTCGGCAGTCACTTCATTTAGTCCTTCTTCGAAAAGTTGTTTTACATCTTTAATAGTGATTTTGAAAACAAGTACTTGCCCTTATGGCTGGTTTACGTTATCTTGGTCTTTAATTTTTATTTATAATATAGTTGCTTTAACATCCTTCTTTTAGCCTGACCTGTACGTATTGGATACATACCTACGTTATATGTGCGCATGAATGTAATAGAATTTTATAATTCAGTCTTGTACCACTTCCGGTCGTCTTATTAATCTTAAATTTGACCTATTATGAACTGATGACAATACATCAATTTTAGGACTATGATTTCACGACAAACAGGCACACAGTCCACCTGATGGTAAGTGGATGCTGAGGCCCATAAACACCAACATTTATCCTTGATTAAGAATAAAAATGCAGATTGCGTTGTCACCTGAGGACTAAGATGGAATGCTTCGTATCCAGTAAAAAGGGTCTCCGGATCTCTACAGTCACCATACGAAGCATTAAGCTGGTATTCTGTGAGAGCGCTGTCCTTCCCCGGTCGAGCCGATCCATTCGTGCTACAGCCATAATATATCTGCAGCGTGGCTCTACTACGTAAAACTATAAGGACACTTTTATACTATAAGAAAAACTTAAAGAAATGATTTCAAATTCTAGAAATAAAATTATATTTTCCATAATAAAATAAATTATAAAAAAATTATTATTCTAAAAAAATATCTAATAAAACAAATCAGCTATAGTTTACAAACAAAATAGGAATGTCTTATTACTTGACAACTTGGCAAAAGTATAACCGTACGAGTCCAGTACCAACACAAGAAATGTAACAAAAAATATTATGCTCAAGTAATTACTAAATAATATTTTTCTCGATTTGTGGTATTTTTCTGTTTTTTTTTTTTATAGAATTCCTCTTTAAAAAATGTTTTAAAAATGTATTCACCCGTGATACTCTCAATTAAGTTTGTATTTCGCAAAAACAAAATATTCCTAAGTCAGAGAGTCTCATGTGACTTTCACGAATTCTACTACTATGAAGTTTATCCTGTGCCCAGCTGTGTGATTTATATGTTACTAATTATTTTTGTAGTTAACAAAAGCAAACTCTGAATTTCAGTACGCAGATACAGACGACTTTGAAGAAGAAGGCGTTCGAGGACGCAGGTATACCGGTGAGGCAGGTAAGCAGCACGGTGACGAGTCACACGCAGCAAGTCCCGCAGGTAGTCCACCCACTCTGCGCCATCAACCAGACGAGCGTGTTAGGAAAAAACGCCGAGGTTCAATTCTTCACTGACTAAACACTCCGTTTTTTGCTAGTTTTGTTTCGTGCTCCTTAATTTGCAGTTTCAGTTAGTGAAGTATAAAATATTTAATTTTTGGTATAGGTTTTTTTTTGTTGACGCTTTTACACGCACTCGGCTGAACGGCATGCACTAGTACTGTATAATATAGAGGTGGCTGAATTAAGTTTTAAATAGATAATATACCTATGTTTTTAAATGTTTTTTTTTTTTTTAATAGAAATAAGTTATACATGTTATTCTCATTGTCAAAATGATTAAACCATAAAACGACAAAACCTGTTATTCGGCATTCTTCTTGCATACTAGGATATTTTTGTTATTAACTTCGAAATTTGAATAATTGCTATCAAAACAATAAATAATCTGTAGCGTAAAATTGGTATTTAAACCAAAACTTACTACAAAGTTTATGTGTAATTCCTCAACTGTTGGTAGGCAAGCGTAGTTTAGAAAAAATTATAACGTAATTATTATTCATAAAAGTTATGTTCATTTGAAAAAACTTAAAATTATTATGAATTAAACATCTTTTAAAAATATGTTGAATTAAGACAACATTTAAAATTAACCCTTGTAAATATAACTTATTATTATAGCGCTCTTCGAATTTGACAGTAAATAACGTTTAATGTGTATTTAATTTATAACTAGAAATTTTAGTACGTTGACAAAAACTATAATGAATCTATTTTGAGAAATGGACCTTTATAATATTCTGACTTCAAAAAAGATGGCAGCTCTATATTCGACGCGTAGGTTATTTACGTATGTTCACAGTTTTAATGGAAAGGGCTGAACCAATTTAAATCATTCTTATTTATTAAATAGTTTACAACTCAATGGGTCTCCTATTTAAATTTGAAGAAAACATAAGGGTGGAAAAGTGAGGAATGACATTTTTACTATAATTACTCAGACGACATTCTAGCTATTTGTTATTTCGAGCGTGGTATTGCTTTGTACTCTAAAAGGACAAAAAATAAACTTTTATTAAACAGTATAAACTTACTTGAAAAACTAAAAAAATAATTATCCACACAATAGCTTAGGAAGTCTCAAAGCAAAGCCTCATAGTGTATTAAAGAAAAACCTTGACTTCAGAAGCTGCCATGACGAATTTATTGTATTATATATAGTTTTTTTTTTTAATATGATTTTTACTTAGAGTATTTATAAGCATTATAAGTAGTCCAAAGGTTTTTACTTCGTATTTAAAATGTATTTTTGCACCATTAAATTTTAATTAATAGAAAATTTAATAATCATATTATACACATATTATGTGAAAACAGAAATAATATTTAATGTAACTTATTATTCGCTTTAGTTTTATTTAAAAAAATTGACCATAAAAGGATACAGTGCAAAAGAAACTGTATTATTTTATTAGAGTACTACCATTCCACGTAATGTCAGTGAAATTCAACCACCTGTGCAGTACGCTCATTTTAGAAAAGTTTGTTTTTCAATTTGGTATTTATTAATACAACTTACGTTTATGTAATGTGTTCTATTTAAGTTACCGAATCTTGCCTTTAAGTTTTTCGAGTAATATACAATTGTGCTGTAAAGATAAATAATATCTGTTATTTTGTAAAATTGACAAGAGTGCAATACGATTCGAATAAGAACCATAGAACTATCTTTACCCTCCATACATAGAAATTAAATTATTAACAGGTGTGCACTGTCATAGATGACGGTAATTTAAGGTTTCCTCAAAACATAAACCTTTTTTTAAATTATTCAATCTCAACAAGTGGCATCTTGAAAGTAATCATTGTGACAGTAGTTTGCACGTTTATTTTTGCATCTTAGAAGCTTGTGAAAATGAGATTTTACTTAGACCAAAATTATAATCAAACTGTTTTCGTAGTAAATTGTTTTACGAGTAGATGTTAAAGACTTTTCTTATTTGATACTCATATATTTTTTTATATTAGTTTTATTTTTATATTAGTGAACATAAGCATTTTAAAATAAAACTGCTATTAACTCTGCACTATTTTCGTTAATTCCCATAGTGATGTTCGAAATTTTCGAAACAAAACAATATCTTAAGCTGACAGAAATGTAAGAATATTTAGTTGCATATACATATTAAATCTACTTGGATTGCTGTTAGCCTGTGAGTTTCTACAAACCAATATATAAACAATATATCACGGTAGAGGTTGCTTGAATGAATGAGGTAACTTGGTTTACTTGTTTTTTTTTCTTTGTTTAGAAGTTACCAAGTTACTGAAGGATTTATCTTTGAATAAAAGAAATAATTATAATCTGTTTGACAGGTTAGAATCAGATATAGTAATTCTATTTCACAATGAAGTTTTGACTTTGGTTGTTGTTAACCGTGCATATACACATTGTGTTTGTGTGCCTAGGCCTCTTTTTTTCTGAATGTGTATGCTGTTGGCCCTGCGGCCTTGACAGCTTCGTCTAATTAGGTTCGTAAGTGAGTACTTACGAACTATTGAGTGCAACGATTCTTCGCCGACTGCAGTCCCGAGGCACCCCGACCCCTGCTTTCAGAGTGAGGCTCCTCGAGCTAGGGGGGGGGGGGGGCGATGTGATTCAAGGGCCCCTCAGAAGGAGGTACGAGCCTCGGCTTGAATCGCTATCGCAATTTTATTAATGAGTTGCAAAAGTTAGAAATGCCCCGTATCACGGGTGTTAAACCTCGTGTACGGAGTGTGTCTGTGACGTCGCATTCGCCGGCGATTGCGGTGTGCCCTAGTGTTCTATGCTAGAGTAGTGTCTGAGTGTGTGTAAGTGTTTATATTTCCTAATCTAGTTCCCTCACCTGTGGAGGGGGGGGGGGGGGGGACGGGATCGACCTATTCATGGAAGTGATCTCGTCATCGGGATCAAGAAGAACGTTCGTGGGACGTATCCTGCGGGGGGCAACATCCCTCAGTGGGGAGTACGAGCCCGCCTCATTCACCAACGGATTTTCGTGTTCCTTTATCGACTCGAAGTATCTAAAGGATAGTTCCTTAAGATACGTATGTATTGTGGGCATATCGAGGTCGCGGTGAAGATCCGCGTTCCTCACATAGTAGGGAGCTCCTGTGATCTGACGCAGGTGCCTAGGCCTCGGGAGCGCTACTCCCGCAGCTTACGCACACAAACACAATGTGTATATGCACTGCTAACAACAACCAAAGTCAAAACTTCATCGTGAAATAGAATTACTATAGTAACGTAACAACGATACTCGTGTGTGTGTGAGCTACATTTTCCTAGTTGTCTCATAAAAGAAATTTCTATATAGAAATTTCATAGGAATACGAAATGATATCATAGCTCCTTGTAGTCTATACTACAACTACCTAACATTCTTCAGGCACATCGAATTTATTTTTCTTCCTATACATTGAGTAAGGTTCAATAAAGAATAAATAAATTAAATCAATAAAGATAATCTTTTGTTATTTGTTATATCTACACATTATTTATTATCTGCTTCATTTGAGACAAGACGCGGATTTCACTACTTTTATCTTATTATAATAATAATAGTGCTGTTTGTTCCATTGAAACATAATTATTTATTTAATCGTGCATTGTTTGCATATTATCTTGAAATATATCATGCAGAATGTTACGAATACATATTTAGTAGTGAAAACAAAATATGGTACACACATAAAAATTTATTAAACGAATCATTCCATACTTCAAAACTTTCCCGAAGCAAAACTCATCTACAAAGCAATCATTATAGAATAGTTAGATAAAAATAATTTACCGAGCGGCTAGCGTGATATTGACAAGTCGACACTGAAGCCCAAACTCTCCGCTTCGTGTTCGAGGTGTGCAAAGGTGAAGAATTAAAACATATTAGAATAATTTATATATATATACAGGGTTATTTTTAAAAGATTAGCCAAATTTTAAACTTAAGTTCAAATATATAAATAATGATATACCGTCATTGCAGTTCTTGAAAATACTAGTAAATAAGGATTCTACTTTTATTTGAAATTACCCAAATTGAATGTGCTTTATGGGCAATAACATTATTGTCTACCGATCGACCCTTACAAATGTGTGCGTGCGCAGTAAAATCACTTAAAATAATGCATTACCACGCATTTAGAAATTAAAAGATAAAGGACAGAATGTTTGAGTTTTATAATTAATTTTTCTTCACTGTTTGCCTATACATATTCTGAACCTTCTCTGCAAATTTGACTGGTTATTGCAAAATAACCCTGTATATAAAATCTGGCAAACAGAGGTTAGTGATGTACATAAGTTATCTATATGTGCGAAGTGTTTTTTACATTTTCTTGACAGAGGTCTCTCTAGCGTGATATCCTTAAGATTTGGTTTGAAATAATCATATATACATATATATTGCGAAGATTTCGAACTGTTATTTTATTCGATAATACCCTTATAAATTAAGTATGGTAACGAATGTATATTCTTTAGTTTTAAATGTAGTTTAGTATGAGTTACTGTTAGTTTTAGTCATGATTCAATTAGTAAAACTTGGTAACCCAGGGGATTAGCCGTGTAGTGATGGCGTGAGAGAATCCGCTATTCCATATGATACCGTGGGTCCCGTAAGAAGCGACGGAATGAAATTGAAACACGAAATGGGTGTGCAAGGTTGCAATTTATGTGATGATTTACCAAGTGCTTGGCAAGTCTGATTTAGCGCTCTCATTCTCGCTCTAAATCCTCTGACTTAAGTGAAAACCAGTGCCCAGCATTGAGACTTTTTACTTTAGCAAATATAAGCGCCAATACTTTAATAGTTTCCTCGAAAATACTGGGGGGAAAAAATTTAACAGGTATTATGAAATTATATAACACGATAAATTATATCTTTGGATACATTGTATATGACTAAAACTACACAGTACAGAAAGCTTATTAAAATTAACGAATTTTAATTTTAATAAGCTTATTAAAATGAACTTTGTATATATATAAATAGTTCCATAATAAACAACGGTTATTATATTTTTTAAAAAATGTAGGTGTCCAAAAATTTTTAAATTTTTGTATAGCATTATTAGATGCTTTTTCGTCTATTAATAAATGTGATATTTTAAACTTTATTTTAATTTTAAAATTCTACCAATGGCAAACCGGTTATGGTTTCATTGCTTACGTGTTGCTTTGCGTAAACGAACTCAACGCGAACGATATGCGGGCGTATTGGCGCGAAAAATACCACGCACGAAAAGTATGCGGCGCGGGATTACCTGGAGTACTTTTCTAAGTGTTAGGACTCCTTTTTCCACCTTGGAATCCGTCAATATTTGCATTGCTCTGTTTCGGTCTGATGGGTACGTAAGGCATAGACTCAGTTTAATTACAGCTGTGAGACATTCCATCATAGTCCTCAGAGGGTACTACACATCTACAGTTGCCGCTCACCATCAGGTGGACTATAAATTAGATTGTCACATGTTTTATATATAAAAAAAAAAAAACAGATTTGAATGGTTTCAATTTGATTTTTTTTGAACGCTGCCTAACATTTGTGCATGATTTCCAATAAATAACAAACATTTTGAGATACCCGTACCGAGACCTACCATGAAGTAATAGACATTATAGACATTATATTTATATATATATATATATATATATATATATATATATATATATATATATATATATATATATATATATATAGTGTATTGAAAACGAGCGAGTTTTCTCTAAAGAATTTCTCTAAGAATCTCTTCCGTGTCAGTTCATGATACTCGAATCGTTTTGTGCCTTGTGTTCGCGTTAAGTTCGCTCACGTAGGACGACAAGTTACCTTACACGGCGCATCATTATGTGAATTTTATAATATAACTTGCATCATGCGTAACAGGTGACGCTTAACATGCTGAACGCTTCTGAGAACGAAGTAGACGTCGAAGGCCTCACTAGCGACGTCAAGCTCGAGTTCGACGGCAGTAACGACGAGGTGACTGCCTGAAACATGCTTGGCCTCACCTTCTACTAAAACCGTTCCACGTATCCTGCTCGAAGGACCATGTGGTACGGTTTTCAGAGGCCTTTATATTGAACCATAAAAACAATGCTGACATTATTGTGGTAGCTCTATAAACGTATTTTTAAATGTGTATAAGGTATGTTAGTGAAAATCTGCTACACTATATTATAAGGAAAATTAAATAGTAACATTTTTTCAATCAGTGACTTAGCTTTCAGTTGGTGTTCTATAGAAATATAAATGTTCATTTTATTTGAATATAATTATTTTCATAGTTACATTATGAAATAAAAGCTCGTGTACATTTTACCACAAAAATGGAACAATTTTTTTTTGTTTTAACCTTTGACGACATAAATTGCCTTGGTTTATATTTATAGAGTATTTTGCGGCTATTAAAAGGTAAGTTTCTGTATTTGGATGATATGTGAATAATTTATTTCTCGTCCGCACAATTATAATTACCTTGATGTAACGTCTATTACATTTATGAGTATAGATATTACTATGTTTAGATTCAGTACTATCATATCATTTCATTATTCATGGTTATTCATAACTAGTTATGAAATTTATACCCACCATCATATTAACCCACTAAACATTGAATCATTAAATTATAGTATCACTTCTCTGTAAAGTGTAAATAAATAGTCTATTTTGTAAAACATATTATATTAGTTAAATTAATATTTAATTGATTACAGTTCTAGTTATTGTGTGAAGTTTTTGATTCTTCACGTAGTATCTTAAAAATTAATATAAATAATCATAATGTGGTTAATGTTACGTGTAAATGTTATATCCATTAAGAATTCCTAAATGCTAAGAATCGATGTTAAGTTAATTTGCGTTGGGTCATTTTTGGAGCTAGGAATGCTTCCACGTTTAATGTTCGTTCACTGCAAAACAATAATAAATTAAGAATGAATCTATCAATTATGACATCCAAACACAATTAAATAATGGAAGTGTCTATTCGTCCGGACTATCGAACGATAAAAATAATTTTAAAAACACATAAAGTAATATTAGTGAACGGTCTCCACTTTAAGACTTAAAAGCCTTTCAAGTTTATTATTTTGTTGGGACTTTACAACTAAATACAAAAAAAATATCCGATTTCCGGACGATTAACGACAAGCTTAAATAATGGCAACTTGCAAATTCTAGCTCATCGTAAATCTTTTTAATCCTTTTAGATCAAATTTACTACTCATATTATTAAATTCTTAAATATTAAATTAAAGATAAGTGATTATTCTTTATATATGATAATATTTCTCGTATATTTATTTAGGAATAGTGCATAAACAGTAGCTATAAAATAAATATTGTTTTTATTTATAGCTGTAAGCCGCAGATGTTACATTCTAGAACCTGCATTGTTAATTGTCAGTCCACGGTGCCTTATCTTTTTAAATGGCACACCACTATAGCCTTAATTGCATTATACATAAACAGAAATAGCGTCTGTATTTTAGTCTGTTTAATCACATGTATGTCGTATGAATTACTTGTATTCTAGTGTTTAGTAACGTAAAGGCGTAATCGCCAATATAAGTTTCAAGCGGAGTGCATAAAATTCGAATATTGTTTAGGAGAATCGCTTTGTGATTCGAATAGCGATTTAGATGGGTAATGAATAAGTAGAAAGCATAGCGATATTATACGTATTAATTATATGATTGTAGCGTTAAGTGTTTTTTAATCTGTCAGTATTATTGGTATTTATCGGAAAGTATAGAATTTGTTTGATTCGCATTTATTGCGTAGATTTAAAAATCATTCTATAGTTCGTTCGATTTTCAATGGTTTTTATTTTTGCAAAGAAAATTTTACTACAATACTCGGCCGTGAGCATTCAACATAGAGTTTTATAAAGAAGCTCAGCTATTAATATAATCCTCTAATTTAAATCTAAATAAAGACCAGATTTATAAAATAGATATTTAACCACTCTATAACATAGGTTTTTCATTAAGAGAGCTCGAACTTTAAAATGAAATAAAACAACATGTGTAAGTGACATTGCCACAATTTTTATTTTATTTTAAATGCATTCGAAGATATAATGCATAGAATATAATTTCAGTCAAATAGCAGCTGCGACTCCGCTGTAGGTGGTATCCTGCTGGACCAATTTTGGACGACATCTTCGCATAAATGGGACTCAATTTCATGAAGAACACGAGTTATGGTGGCCTTCAGGGTGGTAATTGCTTGTGGTTTGTCTGCATAGACCAGAGATTTTACGTAGCCCCACAGAGAGTGACTACTCTTGTGTCGGTCGGTGCGGGCCAATTGATGTCGCCACCACGCGAGTTGACGAAGCCCTTGAACTTATCATCCAATAAATTCAATGTGTCCTGTATAGCAAGTGGCGCCGTCCTGTTGGAATCACAAGTTTGTGAGGTCCATACCATCTATTCTAGGTCAAAGTCTAACAAAAGGTCGTTAGTAAATTAAAAATGACGCTGTATATATAACGTCAAAGACATCTCCAATGATCTTGGCATGCGAGGTTTATGTAGTGCTTAAAGATATATAGAATTTGGATTTTAGTTTCATCAAGCTAGTAAATAGTTTGAAAGATATAAGATAATAATACAAACAAAAAAACTGTCACTAATCAACCGTAAAAACTTAGTTAAATCCGTATCTGCATTCTTTTTATATTGTTCCTCTGAAATAATATTTTTAGCAAATGGCGTATCGCACATATTCTTCACCGGAAGTGGTTACGAATTCACAGCGCAAAAACTACAGCTACTAAGGACTAGTTTTACAATCATCAGATAAAAATTATTCATGGGCGAAAATACAACTGTTTACGCTGTATTTTAAATAGAGTTATTTAAAAAGATAAAATTCAGTTGCATGTTTCGTAAATAAATTAGTTCAATTTTATATTCAGTCAGGTTATAATTTAATTGGTTATTAACTTTTATCTGACAGTTGAAAAATCAATCCTATTTAAAATAATAACCATTGAAAAATAATGCAGCTATATAATATTAAATTAATTTGTTTTATGTTATATGTAATTAATAAAGCAGAAATTATTTAGAGTAGCATGAAAGTATTAAGCCTGACTTAAGTATAAGGTGGAATTAACTCTATTTCAGTAGTGAGGTCGTAATTTTTAAATAACCCAGTATTGTTAATGACAGTAGTCGAATATCCGATTCAAATCCACGACTGTCGCAAAATTGTCGTTGCATTTCACTGTCAACACCAATCATAAAAAAGGCACTTTAGAATGTAATTATTTTGGTTTGTTTTTAATACTTTCCTAACAGACATTTATTCTAAGGCTCTAAGCTCTTAAACATTCACAATTTTATTGAATTTTTCTAACAAACTCCGTTAATAATATTATTTATAACCGCAACACTACGATTTCATTGCATATACAAGGAAATTTGTTTTTTGTCCAAACAATACTATTCGGTTAATTTGAATAGTATATTACTTTTCAGGACTTTTTTAAGTACTTTTCAAGCTCACCTTATTATTAATCAATAAAGTAGGATATAAATGTAGTATAAATGTAATAGGGTAACGTCTTTTAAAAGATAGATTAAAAGATTTTAAACAATAAGTGTATATTATTATGTGAATCGGTTTTGTAAACTTATAATTCAATTATTCATTTGAATTCATTTTTGCTAAATTTCGTTGCATTTTTTGTTAAAGTTCATAAAGCTATATACTATTAGAAATATTTTATTTTGACGTTTGAAGTGTCTATATAGTAATAAAAATATATGAATCATATTATTATAGATTTACTATATCACAAACACGATAGCGTGCGATACATTACAATTCAAATTCTTCATAATCTATGATAACATTTACACTACCCGCTCGCAAAAAGTTTGCCGATAGAGTTATGATGTCACCCGTCGATCAGTGTTGCTAGCGCGACGGAAGCAAATAAGCATGGAATCTGTTTGGGGAAGTGGGTGATTATTGGCAAATCTGCTGCGTGGGGCTTATACATTATCATGAAATGTTGCCAAAAATTATCTTAAATGATTTTAGCGCAAAATATACTAATTTTTCTTTATTCCTTTATAATGTAAAAAGAATTTGAAACTTTTAGTACCAAGTTTAAAATCGATTGTATTGTATATTATTCATAACAGGATTTGTGCAAAGAATAGATGAATATTACAGGGCATACATATTAGGTTTTGCCAGTCAGTTATTTAATTTTCTTAAATTGAACTTAGAAGATGAACTTGTAGATTCACTTTTTTGATTGGTAGATGTATAAAATAGTTTATTTTGTCCCTCGCTATCGTGAATTGATATAATTTATAGTTATAAGCAAATTCTTAAGAAGTATATATATATATATATTTATATATATATATATATATATATATATATATATATATATATATATATATATATATATAATATACCTACATACCTACATATAAGATTTAACGTGCATATATAGCAATAATATTATGTCCCACTGAGCACATCTGCTGTGCCAACTAGTTTAGCTTATTTTGAAATAGTTCCAAAATTTTATTAATTACGCGTAATGTTTAATATCACGTATTATTTTTGTGCGGACGATTATATAGGATATTATTTATAATTTAAGGTTAGTTATAAGGGGTATACATTCAATGTAATGGTCTGTATAATTATATCGTATTATATAAAAATAGTTTGTGTTATAACATGTATCATATTTATTGTAAAATAGTAGATTTTGTATTTAAAACATCATCAAGGAATAGGCGTTTATAACCGTTAAGGCCAGTAGCATAACTGAATCAAAATGTTCACAGAAATCGATATCCAGTTTCATTTTTAACAATTTACGATGCCACTATATCATAATATTAATTATTAATATTTGACATCTCACAGAGCATAAAGCTGCATTAGGCCAACGTAGGACACCTACGTCTATCTGGTCGCGAACAATTCATTGAACTGATTCATGCAGTATCCATTCATTTATAGTCTATAATTGCTGCTTTATACTGACTGCTGATAGTTCCGTTTGACTTATAAAAATATTCTTCATCAACTTAAATCCTTCACGAGAGTATGTTACTTTTTTCTTTAATTTATGTTGTGAAGCCAGTGCTAACGTTTTGTATTTTTTCTCTGATAAGAACGTCTTCTTCAAATCCTTACTCGGTCGACAATCAGCATGGAATGCGCGTCACTTTGCTTGATGCGCGTCGATTAATGCGTACACACTTTACATGTGTAAGACATCTCGGACATGTATGTAGGCCTATTGTAGTTTTGGCTTAAATGTCAGTTGCGTGGTTAGTCAAATGTCATAGATAAGGTTCGCAAAATAAACGTCGCAAAATAAGGCGGCTTCTTGTCGGCTAATATCCCAATAAACACATTATAAAAGACGTTCCTTTTTATAAAGTCCTGGTGACAAATGAGCTTATTCCTGCCGTATCCAACTTCAGACAAAAAAGCCTGCATGTGCATTATCAAAGAACCAAGATAAAATACCTCGCAGCCTGTTATTTTACTGGCTCTTTCTTCTAACTGCTACACAGCCCTAATTGTATCGCTGATTAGCGGCAGATATAGGCAAGGCAAGAAAGGTGCTCTATCAATCAGGGCACTTTTATTTTTCTTTTACACTACAATATTAAAATATGGTAATAGAGTTACTATGAACTGTTTATTGTGTGTAGTATTGTTATAGTTACTCTAAGAAAGGGCTGGTTTTCTATTCAGTTTGCTAAACATCCGTGACAGTCATGTTGAAATTAACCTGTACTTCAGTAAATATTAAGGTTATTAGGTTTTAGGCTGACATGATTTATCTTGATATGGTCGAGATATAGCTGATCGGAATATATCCTTTGTCTTTCATATATGCAGCTGTAAATATGCTTCTATTGATATTAGCGGTAGATTGGGTTATATTGGGTGGAGAAACTTGAAACACGATCTCAACTATTACAAACCATGTAATAAGTTGCGATTGCAAACTATACAATGTATGTTACGTGTATGATATATGTTGCTATAGAAACTAAACAATATAATATGTTAATATATAATAGTATTTTCGTGTTGGTGCCGCTTGCTAAATTCGCTTGTTCTCAAGCGTAAACTTATAAACCATTAAATGCATTTGTTAAATTGAATTATATGTAGTAATTTCTATCCTATGTACAACACATATTAATAGAAGTCGGATTTCGTGGGGGGGGGGGATGCCTTCAGGAGTAATATAAAATATGACCAGCGGATTTCGCAAGCAGCGTGTCGTTCTACATGTAGGTGGTCCTCAGAACTAGACCGTGGTGCCAACACTAAAATTGTAAAAATTCACCTTAACCAACCCAAACAGATATAACGATTCAAACGCAGTTCTAAAATCTCCTGCTGTTCTTTCTATTTTCGTAGTTCGTAAAAATTTTAAATTAATGTACTAGCATAGTTAGGTGTGGTCATTTGCTATTATTAATATTTAAAAGTGCATGTTAGTAAAATCTAAAAAAGTGGGTCATTGGTGAAATTAATTAAGGTTTATCTATTGATGTCATAGCCTGGATATTCACATAGTAAGTAAAAATTATAAAGATTTTAAATTGAAATGAAAACATTAATATTGTCATTTTTTTAATATTTAATACACAGTTTTTATAATATACAAAGTTTATATGTTATAAAAACTGGCTGTACAGATTAAAAATGTATTAACTACTTGGGAGCGCATCGCTTAAGCCCAAATTAAGCCAGGCTGAAGCAGTAGTGAATAAGTAACACTGGCATGATTTGTATCAATATTTCGATTGATTGAATTGATTGTTTTGATGACATGATTGATGGGTAAGCGCGAATTGAGCGCGATAGTATTAAGATAATTGTTGTAATATTGTTTCTATTGCTACATTCGTTATCAAATCTGTAAAAATAAGGAATTAATTAACATACCTAAAATAAACTTAGTGCATGCATAAATATTACCATCATTGTGTCTATCTATCACGTTAAACATATATGATGTACCAATTTGTGAAGTTCAGGGTTAGCGGGATTACGGTTTTCCGATTTCAATTAAATTTTGCACACTGTCTGCAGTTTGGTACAACTTGAGTGATAGGATAGTTTATTCATGATAAGTTATCCTCATTATTTTTATTGCGAATTTAAGGATTGTTTGTTTTTGGACAAAGGATCGTCTGAAAGGGCAGAACAACGTGTGCCTGGTCAGCGAGTGAAATTATATAATTTTAAAAGGTCTACAAAACTTTGTTACACAACACAAGGTCAATTAATCTGTAATTAATTGACCTTCGAAAATACGGATAGAGCGGGTATGCTACGGTGACTATAAGTGCAGGACTTAATATTACATGAATTGATGTTTAATATGAAGTGGAAGTTAAAAGCTATGTCCTAATGCTATGTAAGTGATGGTTTCTTGACATATAATCTATCATTATCCACTTTGGAAAATAATGTGTATCATCAAGTCAGTCCATTGATAGGGTATCAAAGAAATCAAAGTATCCAAAGGTATCTTTTGTTACTTAGATAAGTAAGGTTTCCAATTAACATTTTAAATATTATTAATCTTAGAGCGCTTTTAGA